TGGTTGCTTTGATGGACAACCTACACTGAGAACTGGACATTGGTTCTGTAGGGCCTTTTGGCATCTTTCTGGAGCATCTTCCTGAGATGGGATTGGGAGGTACTGTTAGGCAATGGGTCCAGAACCTTTTGGACAGGTGATATCAGAAGGAGGTGTTGGGGGATTCCTGCTCAATGCCTTGGGCATTGGCCTGTGGTGTGCATGGTGGCATCTCCCATGCTATATAACATGAAACCACAGGGAGAGATTGGCTTACATGATTCTTCTCCTCTCCATTTGATCTTCACAACAGTCCTGGGAGGTGCATTAGGCTGAGAGTCAGTAACTGGGCCAACATCACCCAACAAGCTTCATGGCTGAGGGGGACCCAAACCCTGGTGTTCTGAGTCCCAGTCCATCAGTCAAAGCACTAAATCACAGTGCTTCTCACAGTGATTCCAAAAACAGACACATTTCTGCAGCACCCTACCAACATTATGTAGCAATACAATTCCATGGTAAAGCATCTGTTTATAAAACTAGGATTTTTCACCAAGGTTTTTAAAATTTACAAAGCTGGGTGATGTTACAATAAAGGGTCATTTTAAAAAAGGCATTCTCCTTTAACTTCTCGCAAAACAGATACTGAAACTGTAATGCAGGAAATGCTAAATTTCCGTAATAAGTACTTCCTCCAAGGAGACTTGGAGGCTCCCTGAAGACAAGGAAACTAAATATAGACTTTTCCTCTGTTGTTATGAAGCTTAGATTGGTGAGTATTTATTTCATTCATCTATTTGTCTTTATAATAAGTAATGATTGTATTACTTATTATAGTAATACAATTACTATATAATAGGAATGCATTGCCCTCAACAAGCAGCTTGGAAATAGTAGCTTGTCTGCGAGCATATATGGGTTGCACCTCTATGAAACTTTTTTTAATATACATGAGAAACTCATTTATTTGAAAACCAATAGAAGGAGACTTGCCAGAAAAAAAAAGTGCAGTGGAAATGTTTAATATGATTAAGAAGCCTATTAAAGTTCTAAAAGCCCACTTACTAATTTAGTCAGCATCAGATTTATAAAATCAGCAATAGGCTACCTCTTAGGGAGTTCTTGCTGTCTTGGTTCTGTGAAGGAAGGTTATTGAGGAGGTGCTTAACACAGCATTTCAACCCAATTTATAATTCCACTAGAATAGGGTAGCTTGATTTATCATAATATATAGCCATGGAGTGAATCTGAGTAAGATAAAGATAATTGTGATGCTAGACACTTTCATTTGTCAATCCGAAATGCTGTTGCTGTGAACTATGTTCTATGAATGTCACAAGCTACAAATGCAATGGAAATTTCTGTTTGCACGCTTATATAGACAGTACCCCCACATCATTTTGTCACATTCTCAGACTCAACCATGCTCAGGCTAGCAATAATATTGGAGAAGGAATGGATCACAGTATCAGAAATGATCGTTGATGAGTTCTCCGTGGCTGGTCTTACGTTTTGCTCGTCAGGAGAGGGACACTATGGAGACAGAGGTGGTGGCACCATTTGAGTGCCTACCTAAGTCTGTAGAGCAAGGATGTTGAACTGCCTTCAGCCAGTGGGCTACATTCTGTTTTGAAAAAGCTCTTGGGGGTGGCATTCTAGCACTGACTGAAGCCACAGGAAAAAGAGGAAGGACAAAATGTAAAAATGCCAGCAATGTTGGCATTAAAGCTTAAAGCTTCTAAAAAAACAGTACATAATCTTAGAAGAGCCATTTCAACTTTTTAGAATGAGGAAAAAACTGTGGAAAAGTCAGGAAAACATCAAGGGGGGGGGGAGCGGGGAAGAGCAATGATCTCAGGAGGATTATATTTGGCCACCCCACTGTGATTTTGCATCCTTGCCTTATCTGATACACCTGAGTCACAAAAATTGCAAATGTAGAATCAGAAGAATCCAAACAAGAAACTTGCTGACATGTAAGTCTATGAGTACCTACAGCTATGGCTTGTGCTTCTCTGGCTGTTATCGAGCACTGAAGTTAGGAGGAGGCAGAAGTATGTGGGGCCATGATTTTAAATCCACAGCCAGACAGAAAAGCCTTTCCTTTGGAAGAAGGAAGTTTCAGAAGAATGGGCTGCTTCCAAAGAGAAGGCTCCTGCCATCGTTAAAATACCTTATGCAGCTATTCCATAGTATCCTCTGTAGTGGATTTTTAATAGTTACTGCTAGCCATAAGAGCATGCCTTTCCATACTGAAGATGTTATCAGATGAACCTCCTCCAAAATTCCAGGCAAAGTGATTTAATATTAAAACTCTTGCCTAGAGGTATGCTTGGCTGACCTGACATTTCATCTATGAATGCATTCACCATTCACAGAAATATAGACCTTGAAGGTTTTGCGTATGAAAGGACAGTGTTGCTCTTAATGGAATGCTATAGCAGCAACCATTTGTTTATTAGAAAAAAACTATGATATCTTTGGAATTTAGAAGGTCAGCATCAAAGACAAAACACAATAAAACATTGTTCAAATTTCATCATTTTACAACAAGGTATAAATTTAAAAGCTATCAATGGATACTTGATTTTTGCTGAGCAAGTTCAGCTTCAGTTGCTTGTGGTTCTTACTATTGCAAGAAAAGCCACAGAAGGTGAGTCTTTTTCCTGTTTCCTGCTGGGTATTACTACAATTAGACAAGCAGAAGTAAGGCACTCCAGTCACAAGCTAAAGACAGAAACCAGAAATTGACTGCAGTAGCTATTTATTACATGGTAAGCTGCCCAGAGCAAATGACACATAGGCACTTTTATCACTTTCTCACTTGTTTTTCTTGTTATAACTATAGCTGACAAATAGAAAGAAATGAGATCCGTTTCATTTATTGTCTAGGAAATGGGCAGCTTCAAGGCCCAGGCCTACCCTTCTTATGGTTCTTTATTTTTAAATTAGACCAGAACTTGAGAGCACTTCAAAATAATGGATCATCCCCTGTCAAGTAGCACACACTGACATCCTGATGTCCAGTGGCAGTATATATGAGGCTGAGGTCAGATGTTCTGAATTAACGCATGGGGATCCTCTTGCTCTTTTGTTCAACACTCTGTATGAACATAACTTCATATCCACATACATTATGCTGGATAAGTACCAGACTAAATGAATTAGGAATTGCACTGCTAATGGGAAGGCCCAAATGGAGGGAGGTTTTCTAGACTCCCTTTCTTTAAGAGAGGAGAGCTACCTTCAGTGTGAGGCAATGGCCTCATACAGATTGTCCCTGGCAGTTTGTTGTTTGAAGCTGCCAGGCCTTTGAACCTAAGGTTGGTAGGGCCAAAGTACTTTGAGATATAGCCTCCAGCTTCTGTGATTTGAATTGCATTAAACAACCCTGTGAGGTGGGTTGGGCTGGGAGTAGTGTGTGTTTGGCCCAGGGTCACCCAGCGAGCTTCATGGCTGAGTGGGGACTAGAACCTAGATCCCCTGAGCTCCAGGCCCACACTCTTAACCACTACACCATACTGACTTTACATCCACACATGAAGTTTACGTACACATGAAGTTTCAGTTCCGGCTGACACCAGAAAACCTATTTAAATCTGGCCTCTTGGGCCAATTATCCCTGCCCCCATCTACATTTTCAGCTGGAATCCCACCATCCCTGACTTTCAAACTTGACTTGGGTCACGTTCCTGCCTCTCCTTCCCTACACTACTGGTGCAACTGCAGAAAGTCTGTCTTTATATATGTAATTTGCTGCCAACAGATTATACTCGCCTATTTATATAAATTATACTCACCTAATTATACAGGTTATACTCACCTATACACACCCAACTGTTATTAATTTTCACAGTGTGGTTTTTGAGAAAACGTGAAGTCAGTGTGGAGTATTTCTTGAACTGCAGCTCCAGAGTCTATGCATCTCAGTTCAATGATTCAGTTTACATCAGAAAGAAACACTGTTTCAGGATCTAAGCAGACCTTTTCATAACCAAAGTGCTTGCATTCTTGGCTCCTGTGTTGCAGCCAGTCAGAAGGTAAGCGGTACAAATACTGCAGCTATAAAAAATGTGCCTGGATTACTGCAAAAGCCTGCTTTTCATTTACACAAATTCCATTTATACTACCCTAGGTGTGTAGAGGAAACAGGCTGCAATTCTATGCACACTTACTCAGTAGTAAGCCATGTAAGTAGTAAGCCATAGTAGTAAGCCATGTTATGAGTAAATGTTGACTTACGTATGAGTAAACATGCAGAGGTTTGTGCAGTTACAGTGCCAGGGGTGCTCAAACTTTTTGCATAGGGCACCAGTTGAAAGGCTGTGGTGACCGTTGCGGGCTGGTGAGGCAGGGGTGCCTGGGGGTGCGAGACCCCTGCTGTACACCCACAGGGGACAGAAAAATATAATGGACTGTAATCAGATGGGACAAGGGTGTGCAGCGCTTCTTTGTGGCAGAAGCCAGAGCTTTCACCCTTGCTGCAGCTTGTTTTCAGTTAAAAGATGCTCTTGGACCAAGAGCCATTGGGGTCTGGTGTTTTATTTTTGTTTTGTTTTGCATCTCCTCTGAGATGATTGGGATTGGGAATCAGTCCCCTCAGGCAAACAAGTAGGTGAGCAAATATTTGCTTTCCCCCATTACAGATTTAATATTTTCTTATGGGTTACAGAGGTAAAAAGTTACAATGGCATGATCTTTGCTGCCTGTGTACCGAAGCAGAAAGAAGATGCTCTGAAGGGGGTGGGGGTGGGGGGATGGGGTACTATTTTGGAGATGAGATGGAACAGGGGGAATTTGTTTGAGCTGGTTGTTATCTGTCAAGTGTGAACTGGCCCTATTTGGAATGGCACCTGCTTAATTTCAGCTACATTTCAAGGATATATGCATGTTGTTTTCTAAAAAGGATGGCTTATCTCTTCCTTGAGCTATTTGTCAATGACTGCATGATTTTACCTATAAAAGTTATACCTATTGATTTGTACATCACAGGGTTTTTGGTTTTGTTTTTTGAGGCTGAAAGTTCAGGAGAATGAGTTGCTGACTGCTTAAGAGCAAGATTGACACTACAGCTGGCAAAGGAAAGAAGAAGACCAGCTGGGTGGCTTGGTCTGCAGCAGATACTGTCATTTTGACACTTCCTCTGCACCCAAAGAAGGCCAGCAGGGCTTCTGCTGGCACCCAGGTACAAAATGACTGGATTGCTTCCTTTGAAGCATTAACTAGGCCCATTGAGGCACAATGCCTTGAGCAGCAGAATGAGGAGAAGCTGGAGGCAGTGGTGTAGTGGAGCTAGAGCTCACAGGGTGGATATGCTGGGACCTTGTGATTAGCAGGGATGCGAACATCACTTGTCACCTCATGCAGGCCTCCTTGTTCCTTCTTAGTTCAGACACAAGTCTCAGATTAACTGGGGGACATGTCTTCATCTCCTTCAGCTCACTTGCTGTACAACTCATTCTGAATCAGCCCTTGCAATGTACTTGCTTTCCGCTTGTGGAACCCTCTTCTGTAATTGCACAGTGACCTCTTGGGAGTTGATAATCAAATGGTCCTACTTGCAGACAGGACAAGAATGGATTCAGCTGCAGTTTTTAAACTGGTTTCCCTCTCCTGCTGGAACCTTGGAAACTACAGTCCTGGGGTGGGGGCAGGGTTTGGAGAATCAAGCTAGCAACTTATTCTCTGCATATTAATTGAAATTTCCAGGAATCTCCAGAGTTAAATTGGTATAAAAGCTATGTCACTTCTTAGTATCAATATGCATGGGAATCTTCAATGTCTCTAATTCCTGGTCAAAAACTGGTGGTAGTCCTTATCTGTGTACTGCATCTCAGGAATGTTTTTTTAGTCCCTGAGGGTGCACCCGGCTGGCTGCCTCGCTTGTCCTAATGGTTGTGTTGTGTCAGGTATATGTAACATTGCCAGGATCCCAACGAGTTGGCCCAGGCTAAACTAAAATGCAGAGAAGCACAGGAAGAACAGCGCATGCCACTTTCTCCAACCTCAGCTCTGTTTCTCTGATGAAATCGGAACCTCTTGCAACTATTGAAGGGAAAATGCTTCTGCCAATCCCACCACATCTGTTTCAGCCCTAAACTAGATCTTCATATGTCAGTGTCAGGAACGTAACTGCAGCTCCTCCAAGTGGCAAGGAAGGAACATTGCAACAGTGACTCTTCCAAAAACACCCACACTCCCAGCTTTGAGCAAATCTAATTTCAGAGACTACTGGGCACCCAACAGTCTCGGGTCTTTTAAAATAATCAGGGTTCTGAACAAAAAACAAAACTCTTGAGAGGGACCTGAATTGAAGGGTGGGTTGACATTGGCATGCTGGTGTTCTGAAGATGTACATGAAGTGGTCATCACAAAGAGCACTTTCTTAATTGATTCATATCTCCATGAATGCAAACCTTCCAATGGTTCACCTTCAAGTGATGAAGTGCAGAATTCACTGAACGATGCACACACAGCTATAGGTGAATCAATTCTAACAGAGTTCTACTTGTTTCAAGAGTCACATTTGGTTTCCCTCAGTTTTTTAAGCAACTTTCTCCTTAAGGCAGTTTTCTGCCCCTTTTTCATGCTTCCAATGATATATACCAACAGGGAATGGTGAATGTAGTCGGTATGGAGTGGCACATTGGCTGTAGGCCCTTTAATTATTATAATACTAATGGAGGTAACTTGTTATACCAGTGACTCTGTGCAATATCTACCATGCTGACAAAAAGAAGAAGAAGAAGAAGAAGAAGAAGAAGAAGAAGAAGAAGAAGAAGAAGACACTAACATAAATAACCATTCCAAAAAATCTCAGAAATACATACTACTGTAATACCAACTCAGTGGTCAGAATATACGGGGCAAGTTTTTGAGTTCTGCAGGCCTCTTCATCAGGCAAGAGTCTGCATCAGGTTACAGTATTCAGATGGAAAGTTGCAAGTGGCCGCAAACATACAAAGTAGACTGTCCAGGTACTGAGATGGTTTCAGGTAGCACCTGGGATCCTTCTAATGATGGCTTTTATTGTTGTAGTTGTTGCTAGTCACGAAGTCGTGTCTGACCCATCGCGACCCCATGGACAACATTCCTCCAGGCCTTCCTGTCCTCCACCATCCCCCGGAGTCCACTTAAGCTCACACCGACTGCTTCAGTGACTCCATCTAACCATCTCATTCTCTGCCGTCCCCTTCTTTTGCTGTCAATTGTTCCCAGCATTAGGCTTTTCTCCAGTAAGTCCTTCCTTCTCATTAGGTGGTCAAAGTATTTGAGATTCATCTACAGTATCTGGCCTTCTAAAGAGCAGTCAGGGTTGATCACTTCTAAGACTGACCGGTTTGATCGCCTTGCGGTCCAAGGGACTCGCAGGAGTCTCCTCCAGCACCACAATTCAAAGGCCTCAATTCTTCGGTACTCAGCCTTCCTTATGGTCCAGCTTTCACAGCCATACATTGCAACTGGGAAAACCATAGCCTTGACTATACACACTTTTGCTGGCAGGGTGATGTCTCTGCTTTTTAGTATGCTGTCTAGATTTGCCATAGCTTTCCTCTCTAGAAGCAAGCATCTTTTAATTTCTTGGCTGCAGTCCCCGTCTGGGGTGATCTTGGAGCCCAGGAAGATAAAATCTGTCACTAAATGATAGCTAGGAAGAAGAAAGAAACAAACAAACAAGGGAACAATGGTTGGGTCACCATTTTTGAAAATAAAATCTAGAATTTCTTAGTATGTAGAAAACAGAAGGTGAGAGAAACTAAACAGCTGACTAGATAATTTGATAAAGTAGAGAAAAACAAGGCAGTGAAGGCCAAATTATTTAGCTTTATCTACTGAAGTGACATGATAGACCCTCGGAGGATAAAGCCCCAGTATGGGGTGGTGGTACATGTGTGTATGTGCACATAATATTTACATTCCACCTTTTTTGCAGCATGTAACCTAAAGGGCTTACATAATCCTCCTGCTTTCCCTTTTTTCCTCACAACAACCCAGCAAGGTAAGTTAGGCTAAAAGTTCATGACTGGCCCAGTGATGACTAGAACCTGGGTCTTTTGGGTCCCAGTCCAAGAACTATGCCATACTGGCTTTCATAGGGTTTAAGGTCATTTTCCTTTATTGGAGGAACCTACTGTTGAAAGGGAAAATGTGTTATTCCCCAGGGCATCAGGTGATGAGAGTCATGTTGCTTAAAAGAAAAAAGCCCAAGTCCATATTAGTGAACAACCTTTATGGGGGAAACTCAAAGGGCACAAAATACTGTGCAAGTATAGAATTCTTCAAAACTCTATCAGGCTACATCAGGGATGGGCAAATTTAGCTTGTGGGCTATAACCTGTTCCCTGAACATTGTCCTGTAGTTTCCCAACTTTTGCTTGCTTTTTCTGCATTCTCAAAAGCTGAATTGCATCTTCTACAGCTTAGTTATGGGCTGTAAGAGGTTTAAGCTAAAGCATGCTGTTATTTTGGGTATTTGGGCCCTGATCCTTTTACATTTGGCTCCACTCAACACTGGCCTCTGAGAGTGCATCCAAAACTGAATTTGTCCTTTTGGCTGAAAGGTCCTCTACTGCTGGTCCAAAAGGGGGCAGCAGGGTGGGTGGGTTGTTAAAGGTGTTAAAGTAATATGGATTTTGACATTACAACTCTTTTAACACTACAACTATTTGATACTCTTCTTTTTTAACAAATTATTTTCTGTATACACGCAGACACACACACTACATTCAACATAGTTCTCGGGGGTGTTTAGAAGTTTTAAAATCATAAAAAACCCTACCAACTCCACTAGCTTCCAGATGAAGTCTGGGCCCAATTCAAGGTGCTGGTTTTGATCTATAAAAGCCTAAATGACTTGGGACTGGGATACCTGAAGGAACGTCTCCTTCCTTATATGCCCTCATGCTCCTTAAGATCTGCGGGAGAGGCCCTGCTCCGGGAACCCTCCCTGAGGGAGGTAAAAAGGACATCTACCTGGAGTAGGGCCTTCTCTGCTGTGGCGCCCAGATTGTGGAATGCACTCCCCAGAGAGGTTCGCCTGGTGCCAAGCTTATATTCTTTTCGGTGCCAGGTCAAAACCTTTTAAGTGTTATTTTAAAAACTAGTATTTAAATTTGATTTATTTTATATTTATTGTTTTATTATTTGTATCAATTGTTTGTTTTTGATTTTAATGCTTGTAAGCCGTCCTGAGATACCACACATAGAGGACAGCATATAGAAGTTTTAAATAAATAAATAAATAAATAAATCAAATAGACTAATCATCCCTATCTATATAGGCATACCTTGGAAATTTTGCAGTTTTGGTTCCAGACTACTGCAATAAAGCTAATAATGTAATGAAGTGAGTCACACAAACTTTTTGGTTTCCCAGGACACATAAATGTTTACACTATACTGTAGTTTATTTAGTGTGCAATAGCATCATGTCTAAAAAATGTACATACTTTAGTAATACTTTCGTTGCTAAAAAAGGCTAACCATTATCTCAGCCTTTGCTGGGGGAGGGTCTTGCCTCGATGTTGAAGGCTGTTGACTGATCAGGGTGGTGGTTGCTGAAGGTTGGGGTGGCTGTGACAATTTCTTAAAATAAGACAACAATGAAGTCTGCCACATCAATTGACTCTTCCTTTCATGAAAGATTTCTCTGTTGCATCCATCCATTAGACTCAATTTATAAAATTTATTCACTGCTAATAGATATTTATAGATATGGATTGTGGGCTGAGGTAACTATTGAGCTCAATAAGTATTCAAATAACTAAGGAAATGTGAGGCTGCAAATGCTTCCAAGGCCAAACGTAGTTTCTAGCAAATGCTGAAGATGACTACCCAACCACCACTGGCAAATTGTATCTGGTACTCAAATCAGAAATGAGGAAATCTTATCTTCTCCTACTAACTGATCCAAACTAAAAATCAACTTGTCTGTCCAGGTGTGCCACAGAATCTTTGTAAACCAATTTTTAAGTCTGAATTTTGCCATAAAGTCAATTTAGCATGAATTGGGTCAAAGTGTAATTGATATATTGTCTACACACATCTTGAGCTATCCTAACAGTAGGGAGAACCCTATCTGTTTGAATGTGGTGGGACCAGAAGGATTCCAAAACCAACCATTACATTTGTATAAACAGTTGAGTAAGCAGTTGTACAATAGGTTGAATACTGGGTTGTGCAAATGGAGGACACAACCAGTTGTGTAACATGTTGCACAAGAGTTATACGTGACTGCTTGTGCATGCACAAATGTACATTTAATTGAATTTTCCTCATTTTTAGTTTGGAACCTAGTTCCCCCAGGACAATATTATTTGCACTGATGGAATGACATGGTTGGATACTGCCCTTGATTTTTTTCCCTCTGGTGTTAAAAATTCAAGAAGTGTAGCAATTAACATTGTGTTCAGAACAGCACACCTTTTTTAAACATGTGGGTAATCTTATCTTCTTCATATTACAGGAAACAAAATGAACACCACCATGTATACAGATTACAATGCAGTCAGCACAACATATGATTATGATGTATTTGAACCATGTGCAAGTGACGATGTCCAAGCATTTACTTCTACTTTCCTGCCAACACTTTACTCTTTAGTGCTGATAGTTGGCCTGCTGGGCAATGCACTGGTTGTGCTGACCCTCATCCGATTCAAGAAACTGAAGAACATGACTGATATCTACCTGCTCAATTTAGCCATCTCGGACTTGCTTTTCATTTTCTCACTCCCATTTTGGGCTTATTTTGCAGCAGATGAATGGGTGTTTGGAGATACAATGTGCAAAATCCTCTCTGGAATCTACCTGGCAGGGTTCTACAGTGGAAGTTTCTTCATCATCCTTTTGACCATTGACCGATACCTGGCAATTGTTCATGCAGTGCTTGCATTAAAGACTAGGACGGTTGCCTATGGTATCTTAACAAGTGTCATCACATGGGGAATAGCATTTTTAATCTCTGTGCCTGAGCTAATGTTCAAACAAGTACAAAAGCAAAACAATCGCTTAACTTGCACTCTTCATTTCCCACCAGAACTTCACATCCATATGAACCAGTTTATGACACTGAAAAGGAACCTTATAGGTCTGATCCTTCCAATGGTTATTATGACTTTCTGTTATGCAAGGATCATAGGCACCCTGAAGAGGTGCAAGAGTGATAAAAAGAACAAAGCAGTTAGACTGATTTTCATCATCATCATTGTGTATTTCATCTTTTGGGCTCCATACAACATCGTTCTTCTACTATCCACGTTCCAAGAAGCATTTTCCCTTAGCGAGTGTACTAGCGTAAGTAATTTAGGTATAGCAGTGCAAGTGACAGAAACCTTAACAATGGCCCATTGTTGTGTCAATCCTGTGATCTATGCTTTTGCTGGTGAAAAGTTCAGAAAATTTGTTTTCAGCTTTTTTCGAAAGTATCTTGCTCACAGTCTCACAAAAAATTGCCGATTTTTGTATAGTGAGTCCGTTAGCCGTGCTAGCTCTACATACTCCCGTTCTACTGGGGAGCAAGACATTTCAGCTATGTTTTAAGAGATTCCAGAGAGAAATTAACCCACATGTGGGCTCAGCTTTCCAGACTGTCTTGCCAGCTGGGCTGCAGGAACACAATTGAAGGATGGAGCTACTTGTGACAAGGCAGCTTTTGGGTCAGAGACAAAATCTGGTTTCCATGCACCTTTTCTTTGATTATCTCATTTGTGGAACTGCACGATAAAGCCATCTGATGGGCCCGGCCACTGGAGCTATTGTAAACTTCATCAGGGCTTCTGAAAACAGAAAGAATGAAGCCCTTGCTCAAGCTCTTCATACACATTCTTCTCTGCAATATTTGAAATGCATCTGCATGTACATTTTAAGGCAGAACAAAAGTGTGGCAAATTTGATCCAATATGAATGGTGCCATGAGACTGATGCTTTCTTGCAGTAAATGACTATCCCTTATGGAAATTGCACAAATTAGTTCTCCTTGGTGAACATGTTCACATCACATTAACCTAGCATGCCAAAATAATTAAAGCATTGGACTGGAATTCTGGAGATGAAACTCACTGGGTGACTGTGGACCAGCCTAATCTACCTCAAGGAGTTGATGTGAGGATAAAATGGAATGGAAGAGAACTGTGTAAGCCACCATGGTTCATTCCAGTTTTGGCTTTGGGACTAAAACTGCCTTGGTTGCCTTGTACAATGACCTGTCCTGGGAGAGGAACAGGAGGAATGTATCCCTCATTTATTATATGTTTTAACATGCTATTTTAATTGTTCTGCTTTGTTGTGAGCCATTTTGAGACCTGTTGGTATAGATGGGATATATAATGAGAAGCGATGCTGAAATGTGGAAACCTTAAAACAAACTGTTGGTTCTCCATGGTGATTCATGGTAAGCAATTGTGCCACATTTCAACATGTTTCCGGTATTCACACCTAACAACAAGCCATTCCTGCTATGTCTTGTCATTGTGTGTGAATACAGCCTTTGAATGAAGGGGGTGTGAATTCTCATGTACTCCTTTCTTCTGCGCAAAAAGCCTTTGGTTTCTCCTGATATCTTGTTTTCTGACAGTTGTCAAAGGAGGAGGTGAAAACAATTTGGAGATACTTTTGGGTAATGTCCAGGTTCAGCATTTGTTGCACCCTGGCAGTAGTCCTCCTTCCCACTGGACACTTTGCCTAGTCAAGATTTCATATTCCCACACTTGTGGCTAATTTTTTGTGTGCATAAAAAGGACGGGGGGGGGGGTGTTTTGACAACCACAAGCCTTTCCAAGGTGCTGCCTGAGCATTCTGAAGGCGCTGTAAGTGGCTGTCAAGACAGAGGTTGTGAAAACTGCCTTGACAGCCTTCTTTTGTTATTTCCAGGAAAAAATATATGGAAAATATATAAATATATATAGTCAGTGACGTATTTATGATAAAATTCCTTGTAGAAATTACTAATAGTTTCTCCTCCTTTCTCTTCCCTAAATACATCAAATACTCCTTCCTAATGTAGCACAGTATTTTCTACAGAGTGAAGCATTAAGTCATAATGTTGGAGGCAGAGTAGATTGATTTAAATCGACATGAAGGGGTGTGCATCCAATTTAAGTCACTTATCGGGAAAGTGGTCTCTGTGCTCTACAATTATTTTTAAGACAAGACAAAACAGGCTGTGGAGACCAGCAGTGGAGTCTGCGGGGGTTAAGGCTAAGAGGAGAAATTGTTCATTTGATTAAGGTTTGGATTTTTAAAAGAACTCAGAATACTCGCTTTACTTTTCACACAATTGTCTTTTTTGCCATAGGGTCAACTTGTAAGTCTTGAATTTGGAATTGCTCATTTTGGAGAGGCAGATTTTCTGTTTGAAAAATTGGGTCCAACATGTCCCCTCCTACATGGCCTTGATAAGACCCTTCATACTGAATGAACGCTTGAACAAAAAGCCATTAACACATTCCACTGGCTACACAGAATCTGGCTAAGGCATTCTAGTACTTTTCATCTGTGGTGAACAGCCATTGCATCTTTCTATAATTCATCTCAAATAGCAATACACTCTAGATAAGGTATCAGCGAGCACAAATCCACATAACTCAGTGCATTATATAATATTAGCCTGAAGTGCCTGATCCTGCTTAATCTTGAAAACTAAGCTGCGTTGGGTCTGGTTGAAATCTATATGGCTTAATGTTGTGAACTGTCCAGAGACAGCTTTGGCTATTAGTGATATAGAAATGTAATGAATAATACTACTACTACTATTTCCGCACAAATGTAATCCAGCAATAAAAACTTTTTTGTAGTAGAACTTTCATGTGTAGTTACTGATTTCATGTGTAGTTACTGATACTGATTTCTCATGTTTGGGATTCTTGAGGAGGTTTTAACTATAATTAAAGGAATGATGGAGCTTACAACTTAATGGGAAAACTTACTCTTTTATGGTATAACTACCAATATTTATAAAAGCCACTTCCTAGTCAGATAACACAATGCATCTGGGTAATGCAGTAAGACTGCCATGGAACAGGGCTGGTTTTGAGAAGTAGCTTACAGGGACAGTATATTACACCCTCTATAGTGTGGGTCATAGTGAGATCAGTGTTCTCCTTTTACTCTTTTGTTCCCAACAACAACTTTTTCTGGTATTATCCTGACTGTAGGTTGAAACCTTACCCACTTTATCTCTGCAGACACATATTCACAGTTTTGAAAACTGTAAACCAAGCATCTGTGCCAGTATCTTCTAGATAGAAATATTGACCAATAATTCACAGAAATTTCTGGAGGAGCATGACATTGTGAATGAATTAATGGAATTCATTTATCGAAAGTTAAACATTTCATGAATATACAGCCTCGTGCTGCATGACTTTTAAAAAATCACTGATTTTTATCCGCCCTGCTTGGAGCCTACCTGGGATAAAACTTGCATGTACTGGTTTCTTCTCTGTGTGGCAGCTGATGCTTTAGGCTAGTTTACTTTGTACAAGTTTTTCCTGAATTACCAGCCACAATTTCACTGGTATAATTTATTTCTGTTTACTACTCCGGAATCTTTTCAGATATAGATTAGGGCTTGCCATCGTATATATACCCCCCATAACCTTCCAGATATTATTGGCTACAACTTCCAGGATTTCTGAGCAATGGCCACACTGATAGGAACTGAAATCCAAAACATCTGGAGAACACCAGTTAGGTGTTTTTATATTCGTTGCGTTCTGCAAAGAAATGACACACGTGCGACGCGGTCGTGCCCCTTTCTCTGGGTGCCTAGGATCCTCCTACAGAGAAAGCACGAACTCCAAATCCACAGCTGCCTTACAAGTTTTCCGGGACTCCAGTCAATTTGCTGTGCTTAACAAACTCCTTCCTTTTCATTCGACGGAAACAGAGAGAGAACGGTCCTAGTCAGAAACACACTCCGCCCCACTATTTAAAGGGGACGCGTTCTTTTCTCCCATCTGCACGGTCGTCTTCTGGCTCGCTATCGTGGCCTCTTTAAGGTGTTGTCGGATTCCGAGTCATCTGACTTCAGCGAGGAAAGGATGGAGAGAGGCCCGGGAGAACTGGCGCATGCGCACTTCGCCTAGCCGGGGTTTCCCGCCAGCCTTCGGAAGCTTGGAGTTCTCGGTAAGGCGAAGAGACGGAAGCAGCTCTGAGGGCAGGTAGTGGGTAAGAGACAGAGGCCGCACGGAGCTCCCGACTTTTCCCTTTCTTCCCCTCACGGCGTTTCTTAGTGCCGTTGCCTTCGCCCTCGGTTGTTGCCTGTGGGAGGCTTTCCTGCTCCAGCCGCGATGGGAAGTGGGCGGCTTGATGACGGGGAAAGAATAGGGAGAGGGTCTTCGTCGGTGATCATTGCCTAATAATGTTCCCTCTCGTGTGTTAGCTCTTGGCCTCGCTGACTAGGGATGATGGGCTATGTAGTGCCATGCATCGCGGTGGAGGGCATCCTGTTGGGGTTGTAGGAAGGAGGCGAGCGCCTGGCAGGGGCTGCGGGCAAAGTGTAGCAGTGCCACTGGAGGAGTAGACAGGGACAGCGAGGTAGGAACAAGGCTGCTGGTCCCATCAGGTGGCCCCTCTTTGAGAGCGATGTGATAGGCCCTGCCCGTGTTTTCTGCGTTGAATTTCCGTCTGGTATCATCGTTTACAGTTCTTCTAACTCCTCTCCAAATTTAAACCTGAAAACTTCCGTAACGGTCCATGTGCCTGATAAAGTGGGCAATAACCCATGTTCCTTAGCTTTTAAGGTGCTACGAATATTCAGTACCAGCAAGAAAATATTCATTGACAGCTGCTCAAGAAGTTAAGAGGCTTTCACTCTTGTTTTTGCTTGTCATATAGACACCTGAAAGCAGGGGTTGGACACTTCAGACTTGTGGTATCTATTTTATTTTTGACTAGTATCCCCAGGACCACCAGACAGAGGCAAAGCAACATAGCTGCTTAGGCAGGCAGATACATGCCAAATTAAATAAGAACCAAGGTGTTTTTTACCATGTGCTCAGCTCAGGAATTTGTTATCAGTAGCAGAACCAAACTCAGCAGTCCTTTTACCTGAAAGCCATACTTTTTCACCAACTTAATTTGCTATTGCGAGATAATTGGGAGTTAAAAACCCTTGCCAACTTTGCACAAAGCACCAATAGATTCTCTGGCCACTCCTGTGCTTCAAAAGGTTGGCCTCTGCTGTAGATTTAGCTGCATCGGGTCAAGAACCCAGAGACTAGGAACAGCTTTGTTTTTTATGAAGGAGTCTGATCTGGGTTCACCTGCTATTCCCTTTAATACTTCCTCCACACAGATGGGGCATACACTCTTTCTTAGAGAAACGTGGCAATGTGGCTTTCTGTCATCACACTGTTTTCAAATAGAAAAATGTAAGAGCTACATGTCATATAGAAAGCCTTGCTTGAAGATAGTTAGCTGAGAGTAACTTGCTTTAGTATGCGAAATGGACAGAGCCAGAGTCTAGGGAGCCATAGTATTGGTCAGATTCTAATCCCTGTGTTTGGAAAATTGCTCTGATCTCTGAACTGGGGCATCTACTCTCGGATTCCCAATCCTCCCCCTCCTCCAGCAGCTGGCACTGAAAAACATAATCTCAGCTGCTTTTCTGAAGACTTGAGGCATCCAGTGTTTTCTCAGCAGACAGGAAGAAGAGGAGACTAACATTGCCAGTGGCACCTTAGCCATCTTCCCTCCCTCTCTGAATACTGCAACTAGACAGCTGAAATCTGGCTAGCTGCTTTACAGAGTAGGACAAGTATGGAAGTGACCTTTGCCTCCACATTTCTCCTGCCCTGCAAAGGATGTGCATAACCCTACAAGTTGGAAGGTTATGAATATCCTATTAGAACTGTGCCCTAATGTGTTTTTACTGGATAATTGATGTGGCTGTAAATGGAGAGTGTTGATCAGAAGATCGGACTACTTATCATAAGTAGAGTGAGTTTTGTCTAATATGTTCCTCTGTTTTTAAAAGCTAGAAAATATTTTGGTGAAAATTGAGCTGTATCTTGAATGCATGAAAGTATTTCTTAGATACATGTTCATTAACAGCTGATTAATGATATAAGCCGCCCCGAGGCGAATGGGGCGGCATAAACATGTTTTAATAAATAAATAAATAAATAAATTATTCTATTGATCTGTTAATATATTTCCCCCATTTAATTAATGCTGCATCTGCTTCTTCCTTTCCTTGCTAGTTGAATGATGAGTAGTAACAAGGAACCATATTTTGTGAAGTTTATAAAGTCTACAGAAAACTCAGATTTTTTCCTTCAGGCCCTTGAGGTAAGCTTATCTAGTACATGTTTGAGTTGCTCTGTAGATGAAATGTGCTCCTGGAATATAAGTTGACCAAGGATATGTGTGTGTATGCTTAAAACAGCAGGTTTTTGCTAATATGATGGGCTTGATTCAGACTTAGTGATACTTAGAAGAGGCCCATTGAAATCATTGAAACATAACATAGTCATGGTTAATTTTGTCCCATTGTTTTAATGTGATGACTCTAAGCATGATTTAGAGTTAAATATAAGGGTTTGTTATGACTTGAAGTCGCATTAATTTCCAAGGGTCTAAGTGGGACTACTGTTGGGTCAAACCCTAGGTCTGGGTTTTTTGTTCTGAAACCTGTGCTGGAATGTACAGTTATTCTTCCTGTAATATTAAATTACAGTTGTTAAATATAGCTGTGACCCTAAGCATGTAGCTCTGCATAGGTCCCAAATAATGTTAAAACTTGTATTGGCTTTTCTGTTGCAAATGCCTGTCTGCAAGCCTGAGTTTACTACTGAGAAAACCTCATATGAAAATATACGTTGGTTTTCTTATACAATCACATATAATATCTGATACAAGCCAACATCTCTGTAGCCCTATGCAAAGGAAGATGGACACAGTGTTTTGGAAACCATCTGGGACCACAGAGCAAAGAAGCCCTCATGGGCCCAGGCAGGGTTCAAAGCATTTAGTATAAACTGTTTACACTTTTCAGGCTAATGCCTGATGCCATGATTGAGGAGAAACCTCTCATTCAGGAGACTTCACTTTATAACTATAAATAGGATTATTGGCATTTAAACTGTGATCCTGTAGGTTAAGGTTAAGGACTCATTTTCCTGTGTTGTTGGCCTATGGGAAAAATGGGTACAGGGCCAAAGCTGGAGTCAGAATTAGTCAAAGTTTATGGCAGAGCAGTATTGCATCACTCTTTTTCGGTGCCACCCCATGGTTGCTGTCCTCTTCACACGAACACACATGAAATGAAAGAGGAAGCACTTCCATCAGGTGAGTGAAAGGGCAAAAGAAAAGAGGATCTGCAACATCCAGAGGGCCAGATGGTTTTGAGGGCTGCATGGAATTATGCTGAGGATTTCAGGTTCATCACCCTCGGTTTACTTGGAGAAAGTTCCATTGAACTAATGCACAAGGTGGATAAAACAATTTTGATTGTTCTTACTTTTTTCAATACACATTGGGTTAAATATAGGAAACTGCAAAAAGCAGCTTCAGCTATTTATGTATCTGCATTTATGATAATGAAAGTGCAAGCAAATCCAGAGAATACTTAACAATATTGCTTTTGTATGTCTTACAGTCCATTAAGGAATTTCAGTCAGAGGAATATCTTCAGGTCCTCGCAAATGAAGCTGCATTGAAGATACAAGAGAATGACAAATCACTTTATATCTGTGATCAGTTCAGTGGCACTGTTTTTAATCACCTGCAGAAGGTTTATATTTTATTTATGCAGTAATTGTACTATATAAGTATCTGTTTTTACATCTTGTGTGTGGGTGTGTATATTCTGTGACAAGCTGCAAAAATCTAAAGTTGCCTGATTAAATAGCTGCTTACATGGGTTTAGTTAGTAGATCAAGATACTTATACTTACTGGCTCTGGGAGATTTGTTTTGAGGGAAAAGTATCCTATTGAATTCTTGTTTTATCTTGGCTCTTGTTTCAGCTTGGTTGTAGAACTGTTGGACCACAAGTGGTTATCTTCTGTATGCAGAACCAGCGATGTGTCCCAAGGGCAGACTATCCTGTATTTAATATGGCAATGGCTGATGTAACAGTATCTTGCACAAACCTTCCAAAGGAAACTAGGGTAATGTATTATATACAGCCTATACAAGCCTATTCTTCTATTGTCCTCAGAGCAACAACCTTGTGGAATGAATTGTTCAGTAATGATTATTTTTTAGCTTGGAAGAAAGTCTCCCATTTGACCCTGAGTGCTGCATCTATTGCTGAGTGGTTGTTTCAAGACTGTGCTTACACATGGATGCCCCATATGTTCATGGATTCATGCACTCATGCACACACTTTTCTCCCCCACCCCCCACTGCTGCTCCAGTCTTACAGTGCAGGAATGGAGAGACTGAGGAGTTAGCAATCACTGCATTGGATTTCTGGGGCAGGCAGTGAAGTTATCCCTGACCCCCAGTATCCCTGACCCAAATCTGTATATCTCTGCTACTGTTTGCAGTAGGGAAACAGCTATTCCCCACCTGCTTCCAGCAGCAGGGAGAAATGGGCATGGCAATCAGAGTTTCCATGAGTGGAGCAGAGAACATCTAAGGGCCATCCATTGCCCATACTAGATGTATTTTGAAGGTTACTCTCGTATATGTGGCTTATTGCTGTATAAACAGTTATGGTAATGAGGAACCAAATTCACTGTCTAAATGTAACCTAAAGATAGCACTAAAATAGATATATTTCTAATAGAAACCTAGAATTCAAGATCAGAAGGACCATGCTTCTTCAATGAGGCATCAACACTATTGTATGTAAAGCATCTTTGAGAAATATCTAATTTCTTAGAGATCTCTCATCTAAGATTCTGCAGCTTCCTTAAGGACATGCTTTATTGACCTACTCTGTCAGTTAAGAATATTTACTTATAAGAATATTTACTAGTTATTCTACTGATTACAGGATTGTCTATTTTTTCTGAATCAACTCAAGATTTTGAATATGTTGTGCAAAATTGGACATTATTTGAGGAGTGCTTTTTCTATGAGCATTACAGCTGTGCAGTATCATTAGTATTCATAATGCTCTGCCAGTTCTCATTTTCTCTGTGTACCTCATTTATTTTATTCACGTCTATTTTTATCTTCCATAGGAAGAGGTCCACAAACTTGTACAGATGATGGGTGGCCATGTATACAGAGATCTTAATGTTTTAGTAACGCATCTTATAGCTGGAGAAGTTGGAAGTAAGAAATACTTAGTTGCTGCTAATTTGAAAAAACACATTTTGCTACCTTCCTGGGTAAAAGTGCTCTGGGAAAAATCACAACAGAGGTAAGGCTACCATTTATACCTTTAGAAAAATACAGTTGCTTGAACAAAGCTGCAATATTTCTACAAGAAAATTTGTGATCTGTTAGCACCTGTGTTACAAAGTGTGTGACTTATTCTTTAACAAGAAGAGTCACTACTGAGAAAATAATCTCAAATTTCGTTCCTCACTTATAATGATGGGAGAAAGGTAGAAACAGAAAAATGATACCCTTGACACTAGTGCAAAGCCATAATAGTCTGTGCATTCTTTAGTTACTCATGAATAACTTATATAGGATTGATCACTTAGAGTAGATCTTATTGAAATAAGTGGTACTTAAGTTAGCCAATGACTAACTTAAGTCATATAGGTTACGGTGTATTTAACTCAAGGAATGAGTAAGACTGGATCCAAGCTAACAAATTCAGTTTTCGCTAATGAGAGAAAAAAATGAGAAATATATTTACTGCTCTTGCTTTTGACAGGATGATTAGGTACACAGACATAAATATGGAAGACTACCTATGTCCTTTGTTTCTTGGTTGTACCATCTGTGTAACTGGTTTGAGCAGTGCAGACCGAAAAGAAGTCCAGCGTCTCACTACTGAGAATGGTGGCCAGTACACAGGTCAGCTCAAGATGAATGAATGTACCCATCTTATTGTTCAGGAACCAAAAGGTAAGCATCTCTCTTAAATACTGTTCACTGGCCTCACGCTTAAAAGGTTGCTTGCATTTGTGTAACTATTTTCAGATTGCAAGTATCAAGTTTATTGTGCTTCAGGTTTACTATCAATACTATCAGTTACAGGGTTAGTATCCATTCTAGAATAAATGAATGGGACTTAAATTAGTAAAGATTTCATTAGACAGTAGGACTAAAATTAGATATTGCCCTGTGCATTATATCATTGACAGGTTTATGTGTGGCCAAACAATATAATATGGCTGCTTCCGGGGTCTTTTAAGGCCAAACACTTCTGTCTTCACACTGGATCTGCTCGTACTGCTCCAAGAACATAATGAAAATAGATATATTGAAATACTTGACCAAGAACAGCATGCTAAATTAAAATAAAAAATATGATGCTCATCTCATATGTACACACTCACCATATTTTCCAAATGTGTTTTGGATAAAATCAGGGCTTCTAATAATAAAACTGAATCTTATTTTCTGCTAGTAGTGTTAGATCCAGACTTTTCCTCCTGTGAACAGAAGGGTTCCTTATGTCTTGTTTTGCTTTGACTGAAAAAATTAATTTACATTTTCTCACGAGTTGTGTTTAAAAAAATGGTGCTGTAACACCCAAAATAGGAATTCTGAATCATTAAAATTTAATGGTTCACATTAAAATCTGAACCATTGTTATTTGCTAACCTTTACTAACTTTTAAAAGTGCTTGAACATCTGGTACAGTCTGTTTTGCTTCCACTTCATTTGTAACATGGAAAATTGTACTCGTACGGCAGGCAGGGTTTAGTATAAGGACAGCTGTTTGATTTCATCCCTAGTATATGTTTGAAGCTCCATGTTTATACAAAGGAAATACCACCATGGTTTTCAGTGCAGCCATTTTTTAAGGATCAAATGTGCATATGTCATGCTGTTAGTACATAGCCCTAACAAGGTTATGAGTAACAGCTAGCCACATATTTAACCTGCTTAGGGTGGATTAATTATTCTAATACAAACTTTAATATTTTTTTCCTTTACATGGGAAGGCCAGAAATATGAGTGTGCAAGAAGATGGAATGTCCACTGTATATCAATCCAGTGGTTTTTTGACAGCATTGAGAAGGGATTTTGCCAGGATGAGTCCCGGTACACAGTAGTCCCTGGATCTGGGGAAGAAAGTGCACCAAATACATCAACTCCTACTAGTGATGCTAGCAGGCCTGATTGTAAGTGAGACATGTTATAAAGTAGCTGAGTATAAAGTATAAACAATGCTTCTATTTTTAGTATTCTGATTTGATTTATGATTCTACCTCAGAAGCACTGCAATGTGTCTCTTTTTGGGAAAATTAATGGCACACAAAATCTTGGACTGGCATAAAATTTAGTGTTCTTTTAATCTGTGGGACTTTGAAAACCAAGATCAAACTGTTGCCATTTTTTTTAAAGTGGAGCAGTGCAGCCTTCAGCAAAATGTTGCAGTGTGGGGGAGTCTTATTCAGGATTCCTGACATGGTTTCATTCAGGACATTTCATTCTGTGCCCCTGATTTACCATTTCCCCTCCCGTAACAGTCAACTGCTTTTCCATGGCCACTGAACAGGATCGATACACACCAAGTTGTTTTTCAATATATTCTTAGACTTCCCCCCTGTACCGCCACTGGCATCTTTTCTTCTGCAAACCTTAGTGTTTACCTGAGCCTGCTGATACCTCTCTCTTGTGTATGGTTGGTGCCATTTTGGCTACTTAAGCATCTATACACACTTTGAGAAATAATATACAAGATGGCTACTATATCTATAATCCTGTCCTCTTTACAAGGAAAAAAGCAAGGGTTGTGTTTATAAATAAACTGAGGATAAAGCATACCCAGCATTTTATCATTGTACATTTGTCAACAGTGTGCCTTACAGTGCAAGCCTATGCATGTTTCCTTAAAGTAAATCCTACTATATTCACTAGGGCTTATTACTAAGTGTGTTTAGGATTATAGACTTGACTGTTTTCCATGATTAAAAGGATTCTTCTTTTTAAGATCTGTTCCTTATTAAAGTTCCTGAAGCTTGTTTTTCATGAAATACCAAAATCCTGAAATATAATTGGCAACTGATAGATGCTTAGTTCTTCTTTTTGAATTGCTTGCTGTTTGTTGTATTTCCTAAAAGGACAAAAGATAATTTATAACTTTGGAAAGAATTACTGAGTAATTCCCATGGAGGGAATCTTCTCTAAACATTAGGAAGCAGAAAGTTCTTTCTGTAGGCATTGATAAGCAAACTGTGCTGTAAGAGAACTGAACTAGTTAACAAAGGCTAGTTATCCATTGTTATTTTCATCTTGTCTTCTACCAAATTTATCAGATAAGGTCATAGGTGGTACAATTATGCACTCCTCTGAAATCATGCCTAATTTCTTTATCTGAATTTTATTCAAAGGTCGAGCACTCTCTGATGTCAGCCACATTTCAAATATCACTTTAAGTGGCATTAATGAAACATCCTGTAACTCTGCTATGAGTAGCAGATTGGATCCTCCTCCTGATGAGCTGAACAACTTGGATATTAGCTCTCTGCAAGCACCGGAAGACTTACTAGATGGATGCAGAGTATGTCTGACAGATCATATGCAATTGTCAGATTACCCAGACAATTATATAGGCCATTAGAATTTCTAGAATGATACAAATTGTGAATGTTGCTGGACAGAATTGGATGTTAGATTCACGAATAACAATGTGGAAACAGTTGCCATTCTTATTTTTGTTTTGCAGTGAGGAAGGGGATAGTAAGTATTATGAGATTTACCTGGAGGATACTATTCACATCCTCTCATTCTTTACTAGTATTTAAAAAAAAAAGAATAGAATTAAACGTAAACAAGTTTTGTTTTTCTGCATTTCCTCACAAATATTGCAGAAGATCAGAAGCAATGACAGAGGGTGCCATAGCTGATGCGTACTGAATAGTGGCTTGCCTCTTCAGTGGTAGAAACTGCTGTAGACCAAACAACAGTTAGGCTTTAACTTCATATGAGGTGACTCAACTTATCTGTAAATTACGAGTCTGATTCACTTCTTTTCTCTGTCATTCCTTGCAGATTTACCTTCATGGCTTCAGTGGCAGAAAATTAGATAAGATGCGAAGACTTATTAATTCTGGAGGTGGGGTTCGTTTTAATCAACTCAGTGATGATGTGACACATGTCATTGTGGGGGATGATGATGACGAACTAAAACAGTTTTTGAAAAAGACAGCACAAAGGTACTGTCTTAATTTCAACTATCATTTTCCTTCTGTTAAAATATTGCTAACAATTAAATGTGTTAAGCAATAGTTCTTTCCACATTATAAATCTTTTAGTGAACAGTGGTGAGTCTGTTACTCAGTTGCAATTTTAAAATATAATTCAATATGTGAAATATGGAAATGTCTTTTAGAGGGTTAAATTAAAGTGATCCTCTTGTTGCCTTTACTTTCCAAAATGATTATTCTGCCCTGAGTTATATGCATTGATTTCTGTTGAACTTACAAAAACAGAAAGAGTAATTTCAGGCCAACTTTTTCCCTAGGATCCCAAGCCTTAAAATGTAAAAATGCAAATTTAACCATGTCAAAGGGTATATATCGGACACATGTTTCTAATCTGTATACCACTTTTTATGTTCCAAAATTGTGCCTTATCTGGTCTGGAATATAAAGTATAGATGATCCCTTGAACAAGAATCAATATTTATCTCCTTTGTAATGCATGGTTTTGTGGGGTTTTTTAGGCCATATGTTGTGGCAGCACAGTGGCTTTTGGAGTGTTTTAGAAAAGGCTATTTGCTGCCTGAGGAGCTGTACACCCCTGCAGACTACCAGCTAGTGAACACTCCAGTTTTGGAGCAGCCTGTCTTCCTCAAAATAAATAGTCTCTTGAAGAAAGAAACAGCGAACATTGTGCAGGATCCAGAAGCGGATGAGGATTTGCTATCTCAGTATGTAACTCATGATTCCACAGTAGGTAAGAAAGCGATCTGCTATTACCTTGGCTTCTTTTTCATCATCTGAAATTCCCTTATGTTTAGCCTCACCTCCTTTACATTAGTAGCTCACAGCATCTCTTATCTTTAGAGTAAGGTTTTACCCAAATCTATTTCTAATCAGCTCTTTTTTTTTCATTCTCTACCACATTTTACTTTAGACTTCTGCCATTTCTACCCATTCTTCTCTGAGGACCTTCATTTCAACTGGCCATTTATTTTGCCCATCTTGCTTTAGTCACTACTCATCTTGGGATATATGGCTCTTAGTCCCCTTATCTTATGGAACCTCTTCTTGTTTGGCATTCTTACCTTCCAGCTGTCCCTTTTTCTTCCCTTCCCATCCTGCCAACACTACATAAATCCTTTCCCTCAAGAACTTAATGAAGTTATTCCCAGGCAACTGACTTGCCAATTACCTCACAGAATCTGTAATGTCACCATTTTGTGATGAAAATTTCAGCTATTATACTGTTTGTGAATATTCTTTTGATAGCAGAGGAACTCACCCAGTTATGACAGGCTTGCAGATATGTGGTAGATAAAACCCTGTTAAGGCATCTGTTCATTTGCCAAACATGCATGAATTATGCTACTAAGATTATGTGCCTCATCCATCTGAATCATTGAGAGTTACTGGTGCAGCTTCTGTCATATAATCTCACTTCATTTATTGAGGTTATACAAGAACTCACTTCAACATTCACTGAAATGAGGAAAAGTGTAGAAGCAGGGCTTGACGGATTAAGACTGAACAAGATAATCTCAAATATTTCACATGTTTAAATATGGTTAGACTCTACTTCAGTATATTGCTCTGATCTTTAATGTGTAGAATATGTTTCTATGAACTATATAATATGCATCTATAATATAATGTACAGATATAGCAGCTTGTCTTTCCCATATATTTATTTCACAGATACATTTAGATCATTTGCACTTTTCTTCCAGTTGGTGCTGGTGACCACAGTGATGTTGATCATGTGACCATTCAAGATGGAAAGAAGCTTGCTGTCAGCCACAGTTCCTTGACAGAGACATCAACCATCACTGAAGGAGCCTTATTCAGCAGAAAGAAGTTCCTCCTCCTGGGTTTTGGAAAAGAGGATGAGTCCTGCATAAGGGCTGTGATCGAAGAGTATGCTGGGAAGGTTCTGCCTCAGCAAAATAAGTCCATTGCTGACTATGCTGTGGTTCCTCTACTGGGCTACAAGGTGGATTCCACTGTAGGGGATGTGGTTACAAATACATGGCTGGTAAGTATAAGTGGCAGGATATCTGGAATGTGTGAGTGAAGGCAAAATTATAGGTGAGGAAAAACAGTAAAAATTCTAAATCTGCTTTGAGGGATGGCAACTGCCTGTAAATATTTGCCAGATTAGGAATTTTGTATATTTATTTGATGGTGTCATTTTAGTCTCAGTGAGGCTGCTGTGCTTATGCAAATGATGCAGTGCTGATATGAACTGTCTTTAGTGATGCATCAGCTGTATACACATGCAGCCCAGAGAATTAACATGGGAAAAAACTAGTTAATTACTAAGGTCCTGTGCCACAGATGTTACAATCCTTTTAAATTCACAAACTGAGTTTAGGTTGATTGGCATGATAAAACAGGTTATCATGGGGTCTGTGTGACTGCCATTTTCATAGGATGATACAATACTAAAGTTGGAAGGGGCAAAGCAAGCCATTGAGTCCAATCCCCTGCTTGGTGCAGGACTCCCTTTCAGATGGCTATGTAGCGGTATCTTGAATGCCTCTGTTGTGGGAGAGCTCGCAACCTCCCTAGGTAATTGATTCTACTGACATAATGCTCTAAGAGTCAGGAAGTTCTTCCTGATGTTCAGCTGTCCTGCACTCTGGAATGATTAAGAAGAGACCCCCGTCCTCCTCTGTGTGCCAATGTTTCAAGAAGCATATTATGATACCTCCCCTCAGTCTTCTCTTTTCCAGGTTAAATATGCCCTATTCTTTCAATCTCTCCTGATAGGCTTTGTTTCCAGTTCTTGGGTCATCCTTGTTACATTCCTCTGAACTCTTTCCATTTTGCCTGCATGTTTCAGAATGTGGTTCTCAGAATAGGACACAGTACTCCATATGAGGCCTAACCAATGCTGAGTAGATGGGAACTAAAATACCATGTGATTTGGAAGCGATACTTCTGTGAATGCAGCTTAAAATAGCATTTACCCTTTTTGCAGCCCCATCACATTGTTGACTCACATTTAGCTTGACATCTGTGACTATTCCAAGATCCTTCTCACTTGTAATATTGTTGACACAAGTATCCCCATCTTCTCACAAAGCATTTCGTTTCTTATTCCTAGATGCAGAACTTGGCATTTTGCCATATTGAATTTCGTTATGTTGTTTTCAGCACAGTGCTCTTGGAATTGCCTTAAATCTTCTTTCTGTCTTCCGGGGTATTAGGGATCCAACCCAGTTTTGTGTCTTCTGCAAATTTGATGATTATTCCTTGCACTTCCTTATGCAAATCATTAATGAAAATGTTGAAGAGCACCAGGCCCAGGACTGAATCCTGTGGCAGTTTGAGAAAGTGCCATGGATGAGTACTTTTTGAGTCCATTTCTGTAGCCAACTGTGGAGCCACCTGATAGTTGTTCCATCTATCCCACTTTTAGCTAGTTTGCTATTCAGGATATCATGGAGCGCTTTGTCAAAAGCTTTGCTGAAGTCAAGATGTATTTTGTTCACAGCATGCCCACAGTCCATCAGGGAGATTACCCAATCAAAAAATTGAAATCAGACTAGTCTGGCAGGTTTTGGTGCCAAGAAATTGAACTCTAATCACTGCATTGTTGTCAAGGTTTTTGCAGATCAACTGCTTTACAATTGGTTCCAGAATTTTCCCAAGGGTTGATGTCAGACTAACTGATCTGTAGTTCCCAGGTTCTACTTGAAGATGGGGACATTAGCTCTTCTGAAGTCAACTGGCACTTCTGCTATCCTTCATGATTTTGCAAAGATAATAGACGGTGGTTCTGAGAGTTCTTCTGTCAATCCCTTTATTACCCTAGGAAGCTGTTTATTGAGTCCTGGAGATTTGAACTCATGTATCCTAATTAGGTGATCCTTGACCATTTACCTTTCAATCTCAGGTTGCTATCCTGCTCCTTCAGCTTGTATGTTCCCTTGGTCAGGGAGATCTTTTGGGAAAAGACTGAGCCAGAGTAGGAATTGAGCACTTCTGCCTTTTCATTGTCATCTGTTATCATTTTGCCATCCACAATGAGTAGCTGAGCCACCATTTCTTTCCTCTGTCTTTTACTATGGACAAATCTGAAGGATTTTTTGTTGCTTTTAGCATCCCTTGCTATCCTCAGTTCATTCTCAGTTCATTAGCCTTTCCAATGCTATGTCTGCAAATCTTTTTTGCTATCTGTCTGTACTCTTCCTTTGTCGTCTGGCCTTCCTTCTGCTTCATATACATGTCCTTTTTTTGTTTACTGATTATCTCTAACATTTTGAACATGCAGACTCCAATAGGGGTGATGGGGAGTTGTGGAATGTTATGTGAATCCAGCCATTGTGGCTTAATCAAGGTTTAGATAACCTACATCTAGTCCAACACTTGTTTAAACCTGGATTAACTCTTGGTGGCTGGTACACCATAAGCCCCAATCACCCTGGTGGTGAGTTAGCATATTCAAAATGGCAACTGCATGTGTTATGACTAATCTTGAGTTAATTAGCCCACAGTAGTCAGCAAATTGGATCTCTGTTGGCAAATGCCATTGTTAAATTGATATTGGTATTTGTTGAATAAAGCAGCCACAATCACCTCTGTAGTTTTATATTTTATTTGGTTGTGATGGCCCAGATAATTGCTGTTACTAGAAGTAAACAGTAGCTTTAACTATAAATTTGGTTAACTTTCCAGCTGAATTAAAACAAATGAACCACTTATTAAATAGACATGCATATTGTTTCATTCACAGAGTTTTAGATTAGGGCTTGGGGCAAAATAATAATTCTGGATTATTTGGAGTATGGTAATCTTTTGTCCCAGAATCTATATTGCTGTAGCTGAAAGAATCTTTAATTTACTGATCAATGCTCACTATGTAATTCATCATTTTTAGGTGATGTGTGCAGAACAGCAGTGCCTGCTAGATCCTCAGTCAAATCCACTTTTCACACCAGTCCCAATGAAGGAAGGACATACCCCATTGCAACAATGTGTGTTGTCTTTCAGCCAGTTCAGTGGAGCAGAAAGAGATTCTTTAATCTATTTAGCTAACATGCTTGGGGCACGGTATGTGATCAGCCTTTACTTCTGTTTATTTTCTGGCACATAGTTGCATTAAACTTCTGAAGTTTTGAAAAGGGGAGGACTGACGTAAAATCTTTTAAAGTAAGATTTCAATCAGTAATGAAAATAACTACTGAAAATAATGATGAAAAGAACATTCATCATGGCCTTAGATTTGACCTATTTTCCCTCAAAAAGGAGGTGAAGGAGATTTTCCAAAGGAGATTTTCATTTTAAGGAGTCATGCATTTGTGAAATAGTAGCTCACGTTTTGTTTTAAAGTTACCATTGTAGCAGTGCGTGGTATACAACTGTTGCCTGGTTTTAATTTTAGAGTTCAAGAATTCTTTGTGAGAAAAGCCAATCCCCGGAAAGGAATGTTAGTCAGCACCCATCTGGTGGTGAAGGAGCCAGCAGGTTCCAAGTATGATGCGGCAAAGAAGTGGAACCTCCCTGCCCTCACTATGGCATGGCTGTTGGAGTCTGCAAGGACAGGGAAGAAGGCTGATGAAAGCAAGTTCCTGATTGACAATGTAGTCACTGAAGGTTGGTCAGTTGGAAGTTGTGTAGGTTGTCCAACAGCTTGTGTAAGTCTAGCAGTAGGTGTAGCCTGTTTGCTTTTTTTGTCATCCTGATTTGGGTTCCAGCATATCCATCATAAAATAATTCGTAAGTACTGTTGGTGTTGAAAGGACCCTAAAACAGTGGCATTGAGGATTGGGACTGAGATTTTAAGAGACTTATATCAGTTAAGATTTTTTTAATAAGTGCTTATAAATATATTCACTATGGTCCCTTTCTCTGCATGTCTGTGTATTAAGGAGAGGTGCAGTTTGCCACTCTGCTTCTCACCTTTTAAAATAAGTTTTCAGTCAGTAATGGAAATGACTACTGAACTATTGAGATGGCTTCATTTGACACATTTTACTTCTAAAAAGTCAGATTAATTTTTGAGGAGTTGCATATATATGAAACAGTAGCCCAGATTTTGTTTTAAGGCTGGCTTTATAGCAGGACCTGGTATGGAAATGGTTTTAATTTTTTAATTCAAGAATTCTTTGCGGTTAAATGCCAATCCCAGGAAAAGAATGTTTGATGGCACTCACCTGGTGATGGAAGTGGCAAAGAAGTATCAGTTCTCCCTCCTGACTATTCAGGACAATGAGTGGCAGCTGATCAATTCCCATCCCCCAGCCCTCACTTTTGGTCCCATTTAGGAAACACACACACAATAGTGGCATAACAGCCTCATTATACAGCTTTCCTAAAACTGGGAGATGATGAAAGGTCAATCCTTTCAGTCTGGAAAAAGAGAAGGGCAGTTCCAGCATAGACCGATCTGGATCCTGTGATAGGGTCACAGTCTGACCTAAGGTGGGTCATAACAACACCACCACCAGCAAAGAAAAGTATGGTAAACCAATTAAGAAGTTGGTACTCAAAAGCACCTTTTTACTTAAGTTGTGACCTGGGTGTGAACAGGTTGAAGACTGCTCATGGTAGCAAGCACTATCCTTCTTGTGGTTTTAAGGCTGGGGAGGCTGGTGTGTACAGTGTTCCAGTTTAGGCCAAGATTAGTTTGCTGCTTTTATAATTTCTATTTGAAAATAGGTACTTTTATGTTGCTTTTATTATTGTTTCATATTTTATAAATAAGTGCCTTGAGCAGCATATTTCAAAGGCGGGGTAACAGTTTGGGAAATGAATTATTAAATACAGCTGCAATGTACTGCAGTATTTTTTCACTGGGACAGAACAATAACCTCAGGCTCTCCTAGCTGCCGCCGCCTGTTTTAAGCCTCTGTCCCTCATTATGGCCAACACTGATCATACTACTGATACACCAGCATGTTATGAAACATCCATTCACTAAAAAACAAACAAACCTAATTAGAACATTTAATATTTTTGTACTTCTGTTATGCAGAGTCCCTTTTAAAACTTAAGATAATCAACTTGCATTTGAATGGCATGTAGGAAATGGTAATAAAGGACATGACTGCTTTTGGTTACAGGGCATTCATATAAGGTGTGAATTGTACAAAAATCTATGCAAAACTGAATTTATTTTAAATGAAATGTTAGAATAATACAGTGGTACCTCAGCTCACAAACGCCTCGGTTCTTGACCAAATCGGGTCACAGAACAAAAATTTAATGAAAATGTTGACTTGGGTTGCGAACTTCACATTGGGTGGCAACCAAGATCGCAGTCATCTCCCCCGGCCCCACCCGAGTGGGGAGATGGCCACGATCGCAGTTGCCTTCATGCAGGGAAGACATGAGTGATCACGGGTGCGCTCCTGCAGGAAAGATGGGTGCAATCTCAGCCATCTCCCCCCCCCCGCCCCCAGAACAGTTGTGGCCATCTCCCCACCGCCCCCCAAGTGGGAAGATGGCCGTGATTGTGCTGGGGGGGGGGTGGAATGGTGGAGTTCACGCCCATCTCTCCCAGCACGCCCCATTTTCACCCGTCTCTCCGTCCCCCAGCACACTCCGTTCGCGCCCGTCTCTCCGTCCCCCAGCACACTCCGTTCGCGCCCGTCTCTCCGTCCCCCAGCACACTCCGTTCGCGCCTGTCTCTCTCTCTCCCCCAGTACGCCCGTGATTGCGCCTGTCTCTCCCCCGTCCCAGCGTGCTGGGATGACGGTTCATGTGGGAATGACGGTGCGTGCAGGGATGACAGGTACAATCTTGGTCGTGCTGTGGGGGCGGGGAGATGGCCGCGCTTGTGCTTGGGGTGGGGAGGGGGAGATGGCTGCGATCGTTGTTTTTTGTCACTTTGCTTCACATTTTTCTGATTAAAAAAATGGTTACAGAACGAATTAACCTTATTTACATTGACGCTTATGAGGAAATTTAACTTGGCTCACGACCAATTTGGGTCACAACCAGAGTCCTGGAACGGATTAATTTCGTGAGCCAAGGTACCACTGTACTTAAGAAAAATTGCATTCAATAGAGAAATAAGGTTTTTTAAAATGATGCTTTTTAAACTTTCAAGAAAAGGAGAGGTTCAGAAATCAGCCAGATGAAGCAGAGACAAGTGCTCCAAATACACCTGATCAACCTAGAAATCTCTTTGAAACTGGGAAGATAACTGCAGTTACCCCTCTGGATATAAACCGGTTCCAGAGTAAAGCTTTCCAGGCTGTTATCTCACACCGTATTGGTAAAAAACAAAGCTCTCCAGCAGGAGGGAAACCAGTACAGAAAGAACCATCTTTGCATCTGGATACACCTTCTAAATTTTTATCAAAAGACAAGCTCTTCAAACCTTCTTTTGATGTCAAGGTAAATGTCTTGGAAACCTTGTTCTAGTAGTGTATCTATGAATCTCAGCTCTTAGCATGTCAATGTACAACACATACCATCTTTGATTTTTTTTTCTTGAAGACCTCAAAGGAAATGAAATGTGGATCATGCCCAATTATTATCTTGTACTACCTTTACTATAACTGAAAATACTTAGTAACTGAAAACACTTTGAATACTGCAATAAAAATGTCAGTCCTGTGCTATTTGTGTTACTAAAACACTTCTTATATGCCCAGAATACTAAAAATACGTTCCAAGTAATTGGTGACTTGGAGCCAGTCTTAACCACACGTAGAGGTCACTTATCAAACTTGGTAGGATTGACCTTAGTCACGATTAACTCAAATCCCATTTATTTCAATGGATCTACCCTAAGGATGATGACATCTGAATCTAACCCTTTATTGTTTCCTTTTATTGATGAAGAGTCTTGAGATCCCTTATGCAACTAACCCTAACCTTTGTTTAATAGTATAAACAAGCTGTTATGAAAACTTTAGAAAGCTTTTTAGAATAGCATGAAAAGGAATATTGTTGATAAAACAAATGCCATGTTTTAGACTTGTTTCTGGTTATTCTTTCTAGATCCAAGTTTGTATAAAAACGTTAACAGATAATGTGTGTGGGAAAATATGGAAATAATAAATTCTCGTATGCTTAGTTAATTTTCTGAGGGAAAAATTCCTGGAAGAGCATGAGTCATCTAAAATACATTTACTTCCATTAATTTCTGTTTTGCATTAGAATTCATTTAGAAGCCACTAAAGTCATAGGTTTTGTTCTGTTTTGTTCTGCTTTTGTACTCAAAGGACGCATAAGCTGTTGTCCTGAATCTTTCACTTATTCATCCTATATTTCCATAATAGCCATCAGGTCAACACTACAATGCCATTGCAAACTATTGCAAAAGGCCATTGCATTAACTCCTATAGAAACATAGAAACAGAGCGAGTCAGAAGGGACCTCCCGGGTCATCTAGTCTGACCTCCGTCACCAGCCGGCTCCGCTCATGACATCTTCTGTTATTTTGGCACCCTGTGGTCCCAGTTTCACAGCAAGAACAAAGAGCAAATTTCTCAAGGACTTTGCCTGGCAGGGAATAGAAGGGATAGCTGCAGTGCAAATAGGATGCCACATTATTTGATGTACTCTGCTGTTTGCCATGACAGCTAAACTAAATGCCTCTGTCAAACATTTTAGTGAGAGATTGGCACTTTTGTTTAAAATATATTGAACAGAGGCTTCAAAAAATATGCGGGAGTTGAATGAATTAAGGTTGAAGAGTACCTGTGGAGTACAGGTGGCTTGGGTAAGAACCTTATCTCAGCTTCAGAATTTGGAGGAGTATCCTGAGGTCAACTAATGGCATTTGCTGGTCCAAGGCATGTTCAGCACCATGTGCTAGAAGGTATAATTTTTATTTATTAGATGTATATCTCATTTTCCTTTTTTAAAGACTCAAATCAGCTTATATCAGTCTCCTCCTGCTCTCAATTTATCTCCACAGCAACAGCCCTGTGAGGGGGCTTGGGTTGAGAGTCTGTGACTGACCCAGTCACCCATTTGGCTACATGGCTCAGCAGGGACTAGAACCCAGATTGTCTGAATCCCAGTCCTGTGTTCTTAAACACTACACCACACTAGCTCCATGGTGAAGCCTTTCCAGTATCTTCATCCTCTGGGAAATTACTGGGGCATTTTGCACCTAGTGGAAAATGTTTTTTCGTTAACTGCTGTTTAGCTCTGAAACTACTCAGTGCTCTGGGTTCACACATCATGCTCAACAACCTTTGCTGGCTGATGTTTCAAAGTGGGGCTGAGGAGCATGTGGAAGGTAGCAAATTAACCTGGTCAGTATAAGCTTATGCCCCTAGGCTGGGACTCTGCAATGCTGTGATGGTGATCAATTTGCTTTACTTCCTCTTAGTATTTTAGTTTCACACAGTAAGACTAATATAACCCTTGGTCAAGAAAAACAGTAACCATGAAATAGTTCTGAAATATATGAGGAAATGTGCTTATCTTACATAATTGTTCCATCAACTAGAAGAAAAAAATGGTCCTTAATAACAAGTAAAGCATTGTTTTTATCTAACAGATTTTTAATGCATAGAACCGTTTAAAAATTAATTAATTTCATTGCCTTTTTTAGGATGCCTTGGCAGCTTTAGAAACCCCTGAAGGGCTTAACCAGCGAAACAGAAAACCGAGTACACCTCTTTCAGAAGTCATTGGCAGGAACTTAAAACTGGCTTTGGCAAACAGTGCTCGGCAAAACGCTGCACTTGCAGCCAGTCCTCAGTTGAAAAGTGCAGCTCAACAAGTGGTAAGTTTAGCTGTGAAGCTGATTGGGTAGATTTTTCCCTATTTGGCTATTCCAGTCCAAATATATATGTCTGTTGGGATTTAACATTAATGCAGGGTAGTTCAAGAACCTTCTTGCAGGCAGTCATGGGCTGCATGTGTATTTTTGGAATGGATAGCTGGTTAGTGTTGCTAGGTCTGACAGTGCCAGTCACCTGTTAACGATGGGCAGTAGAATGGGCAACCTGGATACAGGTGTCCCAAAAGAAGTAATCAGTTGCTATCATAGCTGGCACTGCTAGTTGTCTGACTGGAGGTATCTTCATGAATTTGGTCTTGTTGAATTACTCTAATGAAAGAAGAGGAAGGAAAGTAACTTCAGGTTTCCTTTTAATGGAGAGCTTTACAAGCAGACAAATTCATCCTTAGAAGTGCTGAGAACATTACTCATAACTGTATTTTCCTTAATATTGCTTGATAGGAGGAAGAGGCCAAACCTCTAGCTAATGTTGTCATATGTGTGAGTAAGAAGCTGAGCAAAAAGCAGGGTGAGCTGAATGCTATTGCTGCCTCTCTTGGAGCGGATTACAGGTATGTGGAGTTACCAAAGTATTTTGCTGAGAAAATATTGACATCTGGCTCTTGATACTATTAAACAATTTTTTTAGAAAGCAGCATAGTTCTGCCTTCAGGCTTACAATCTGTTAGTCATAGTGCAAAAAGGAGAGATGCAAAGGAAACCGAATAGCCTGCTTTGTTTTAGATAGACAATTTCTGTGTTGTAGGAATGCTGCAGTCCGCTTTAAAAGCAATTTTTCACAACTTCAGACTTTGCCTACAATTAATGTTGAAAAGCAAGAGTTGTGTTGAAATAAAAGCTGCATTTTTATATATTTTTTAAAACAAACGGGACAATTACACTAGGGCAATTTACACTAGGCCAATTTAGTGTGAATCACCTCCTAGAAGCATGTCCCCAAAACTGAGTATTTGATTTTCAGTAGCCTTTCAGATAACTGTCTTCATATTCTTGAGAAAAAGAAAGTGATTGCAGAGGACATTGTTAGTCATTCTATTTGTCAATTATTTTTGTCTGCATATTTCCCATAGGAAAAACATTACCATCCAGATTTTCTCTTAAGGAGTGTAGAAGCTCCTGCATGTGAAGATGGTATATGTGATATTTCTGAGAAAAAATTTAGTATATGGGTGCCAGGGAGTCCAAATCTGCAATCCAAGACCCAAGAGTTAAACTCACTCTCTCCACCACTTTGGAATTGGCAATTCCTTAACATCAAGTTGGTATCTTACATTTATTCTAGGTGGTGCTTTGATGAAACTGTAACTCATTTCATCTACCAGGGAAAGCAAAATGATAGCAGCCGGGAATACAAATCTGCTAAAGAAAGGGGCATACATATAGTGTCGGAACACTGGATTTTGGAGGTATGGAGAATTAACTTTGCTTCTTTATGATATTAGAATGAGGGTAAAGCAGGCTGCCCTGCATGAACTGTATCCAGTGGTGTCCCTTGGCTGATGGAAGGCTCTGATTTCTCCCTGCAGCTCCCATGCTGTCCCTAGTCTGCTTCAGACTCTCCAGAACAGAGTGGGAGATGGCACAGGGACTGGGAAATTGACAAAAACCAAAAACAAAATGGTTGTTTTAGCAACATTGTTTCCTCTTTGTCTGCTTTTAAGTGCAGATGTGAAAGTATTATATGAAAAGTGGGTAAGGAACCCTGAATAAGAAATGTAGTCTCTAATTCAGGGATGGGGAAGTTTTTTCTGCCAAGAGTTACATCCCCTTTAGGGCAGTCTGTTGGGGGCTGCATGCTGGCAGTGGATGGAACTGAAGCCAAAATAAGTGAGACTGAAACCAATAGTATATGGGGCTACCCTTCCACCCTCCCTCCCTCAGCCACAACTATTCGCTCCATCTCTTTGTTTCTTGCCTGCTTCCACCCCCTCTCTCTGCCACTGTCTTGAGCTGATCTGGTCCTCTTCCTTGTTTGCAAAATAGGACAAAATACTTTCTGAATAAAAACTTCTTGTGATAAAACTGACCAGGTATGCCTGCTTTGCGGTGCAGAAGAAGAAGATTGCATAAGTCAACAACAAAACACACATGCAAAGTCAGAATAGTTGCCAATTAGGAAAAAGTGGCTTAATGAAACTGGTTCCATACTGAACTGCTCTTTTCCAAACCTAAAAGAGCTGGTTCTGCCTTCTGGATAGATTGTACTGTTTATGGGTCAATTGCCAAGAACATCTGATGCTTCTAAAATGTCCAGCCTCTTAACCTGAGAGCATGTAATTGGACTAATGATGTTAGTCTATCCCTGCCCATCTCAGTTTGCTCCCAGAATCCCCTCCCCTGAACTGGAAACTGCCTGGTTCTCAGCCCCTGGCTTATCCCTGGTTTTGTGTGCCTTGGCATTTCAGCTGTGAATCCAATGCTGCCTCTTCTGAATCAGAATCAGTAAACAATATTTGAAGGCTGTATTATAGGAGGAGTAGGCCCAATCCCTAAAGTCCCTTCTCTTCCTTATCACTGCTCTTTATATGTCCTCCTTTATCACTTTCACTGTATGTCTGAACTGATCATTGGTAGAAACCTTTTGAAATTAGACAGAGAGCTACAAGTTGCCCACTCCTACTCTAAATAATACAAAAATAGTTGCTAAGGTTGCCTGGGAAGCAAATTAGCACTGTGTGGCAGTAGGGAAAAGCCAGTGAATCAGTCTGGAGTCACAAAGGAGTGCAGTGTAGAAGACTTTCCTCTTGGGAGAGGGTCCTGCAGCAGAAGAACACAAGCTGTAGACAAGAGAGCTCCATTCCCCTCCTCTGCTTCTGTCAAGATTAATTTCTCTTTTTCTTGTTTTTTTCCTGTTAAATTTTCCAGAGTGCACAAGAATATAAACGACTACCTGAATCTCTTTATCCTCATACATACAATCCTAAAATGAGTTTAAATATTAGTGGTGTCCAAGATGACGGATCCTCAGATAGGCTCGATTCAACTGGAAAAATGGGCAAAGCAGATGAGGTATAGTATTTATAATTATTCTGTTCTTCTTTTGCTTCATTTTATCTTTATTGGATGAATTAATACCAAAACAGTGAAGAGCTTTCTGAATTGTTTTCTCTTACTTCTGAGATCTAGTAGATATGAAATTGTTGTAGATTTTATTGATATGCCTCAGTATTTATGCCATAATAAAGGTAGCAATAACTTTATTGGGAGATCTTGTTTCTGGTCTCTGCTCAGCCATGGAGCTCACTGGGTGACTTTGGGCCAGTCACAGACGCTGAGTCCAACTTTCCTTACAGGGTTGCTGCTGTGAAGGTAAGATTGAGAGGAGAAAGCAAATTATGTAATGGGCTGTAGCTTACTACTAGGTTATATGCTCTGCATGTAGACAATCCCAGGTTCAACCCCATATAGGCAGTCCCAGGGTTATGAATTAGTTCTGTTCCAGAGAAAACAGAACTATGTCTTTAATTTGAATTTGTGAGTCGGATCATGTAGGCAGCTCTCCACATTTCCAGGGGTAAGGGACACATGTCTCCTCTGAAAGTGAAAAAATCACGAATAACACAACCCCTCCCCAGCCTAAACTCACCCGTGCCGCCTCTTTGCAACAAATGCCAGAGAGATTTCCCTTTCCGGATGGGCCAGGCAGGAAGGCATGGCTTTGGAGGCCTCCCTCTCTCCCCTTTCACTTCCTCTCTCTGTCTCTCTCTTTCTCTGTGGTGATGCTTTGGAGGCCTTCCTTCTGTTTCCTCTCTCTCTATGGTGATGACTATTTTCCACAGTAATTTTTTTAAAATTAATAGGCTTTGTGGCAGTTCATTTGTAAGTATGGGTTGTTTGTAACTTGTGCATTTGTAACTCGGGGACTGATTGTATCTCCAAGTGGAGTTAAGAAAGAACCGGGCCTGGAACCCTGAAGAGCTGTTGCCACCCCATGTGGACACTGCAGAACTAAATGAACTTCCAGTCTAAATCAGTGTGAGACAGTTGTCTTTACTCCTATGTTAGCAGTTGTATTAGTAATTGAAAAGTAGATTGGTTTGAATGGTGGGATGGATGAATCTTTTCCATTTATAAGTGATTTTGTATATAATCCCTCTTGCTTCAATATTTAACATTGAAACTTCTTCAATCTTCATTTGGTTCTGAGATGTGACTTGTGCATATTCTGAATTTCTACTCTTTTAGCATATTCCATTGGATGATAATGATCCAGAAGATGTTACTCTTGATCAAATAAATAAGGGAGTTGCTATCGATAAAGCAGAAAATGCATCCAAAGGAGGTAACTCTTCCTGTGCTGATTACTGTGTGGCTTGGCTCTTGTTATGAAGTAATTTTCAGTAAGTTCTTAAAATTTAATAAAGATGGAAGGCGTAACTGTACATATTGCATAAGTTTGTGAAAAGGGGACCCACGTGGCTTTTATGTTATTACATCGATATATTTTAAATTGAAAGATAATTTATTGGCATTTCTTTTGTGCCCAAGTTTTAACACAGACATTGGAGATGAGGGAGAACTTTCAAAAGCAGTTACAGGAAATCATGACTGCAACATCACTGGCAAAGTTGCAAGGACAAAGGAGCTCTTTGTCTCGGAATGGTTTTGACAACTCTCCAGCCACTCCTGATGGGCTTCGTTCTGTGCGTAATGGTCGTAGCAGAGTCTTGGAAGCCCTAAGGTACTAAGTAGGAAGTGAATGGAACCTAGATTTCTGCACTATAAGCCAAGAAAGCTAAAGAAATGCTGAGAAACTCCAGCTGGATTTTATAGAGCCTTCCAGCAACAGATGATTTCTGAATAAATGTTATTCACGAATAATGTGTCACAAGTACTCTTCTTTCCTCCTTTGGATGTGGTCTGTCTTTAACTTTCTTGATAGCTAATGCTGCCACCAGGAATTTAATTCCAATCCTGTTAATTAACCTCTCCCTTAATATTGTGACCAAGTTATAAGGCTTTTTGTTTGACTATGTGGTCCTGAGGATGAGATGATGTCTATGATGCTGAGTTAAGTATAAGCAAGGTAAAACTTTATTGGTACAAGAAGCATATTGGTTTCAAGATGCTCTGTAACTTAATTTCCTTGTCAAAAGTTATTATACACTGTTTTATTTACTGAGGTATCACACCATCTAAGAATTGGAAGTTTGTGACCACACAATGTCAGTATTTCTATGTATAGATGATTAAAAGCTTTAAATTACACAATGTGCCCCTTAACTATATCTCATTTTGTAGATTTTTTAAAAGTAACTATTTTTACATTGAAATAGGTAATTTTTGCTGCACTGATTAATGGCCATGAACCAAGCCATAACTAAGGCCAGTATGGGTTGTTGTCAATAGGCTGGAGCCAGTCTAAGTTAGTTGCACTTAGAATGCAATCCTGTATGTATCTATTCAGCTATCAATCCCATTAAGTTCAGTGGGACTTACTCTCAGGGTACTTTACGATTGCAGCCTTAGTTCTCACTAAAATCAGCAGTAAGGCTTATGTCGTGCCTAATTTCTTCCATCGATTTTAGTAAGCCCTACGTTTAATGTATTCTGTATCTAACGTACTATATTGCCTTTGCTGTAGTGTGAATTCCAGGAATTATCAACACTGCAGACATCCTCAGTGTGTCTTCTGTTTCATTCCTCAGGCAGTCCCGTCAGCTCGCGACTGATCTCAACACAGAGCCATCCCAGAATGAGCAGATCGTTTGGGATGATCCCACTGCAAGAGAAGAGCGAGCAAGGCTTGCTAGCAACCTACAGTGGCCCAATAGTCCTTCCCAGTATTCTGAACAAATTCAAATGAATGCAGTAAACATGCATGACCTTTCAGTTAAAAAATCTCTGACTGATACAGCAATTGCTGAAATGGGTAAGAAGAGAGTAGACACAGCTGGGCTGGATTTCAATTTTCATTTCTTTGTTGACTCGACTGCAGACATTCCCAACAGGATGCCCTCCAGATATTTTGGATAACAACTTCCCACAGCTGCAGTCAGTGATGGTGGAATTTTAGTTCAAAACATATGAGGTTGGATCTGCCTGTGAGTGGAGAGGTAGTGGAAGAACTCTGTGTGATTCCTTGTGGGTTCCCCCATTACACACAGCTCACCCCATTCAGCAGATCTCCAGACTCTTACCTGGTTCTCACAACCATGAGTGGTTAATAAGCCCCTGGCCAGGTTTACTTCTTTCCCCACTTGGTTAACCCTTATTGTGTGCCATGCAATTTTACCCTCACAGTGTGCAACTTCCTATGATGTCTGATCCCCTGTTGTAGCATTGCTTGAAGACACCCCCTGCCCCGTGTCTTGCCAGGTTGCAGCATGCAAGTGGTACATGGGAGGCAGGAAAAAGAAGTCACCATAGCTTGTTTTTTCCCCATGATGATGCAAACCTAGCCACTATAGCTTGTGCATGTTAGCCATATGCTAGCTGGATTTGCATAATTAGCCTCAGTTGTATGGTTTCTTGTGATGTCCAGACAGACCATGGATTCTAAGTGACTTGCTGCTCATAGCGCATTGTTTCTGGATGGGTTGTTACCCACAACAATAACCAACTGGGCTGGATTCGCATGACAGATCAGCCTGCACTGCTGAGAATTATGCAAATCCTCCTGACATGTGATTGATATCTGCAGTGTTGCCCGTTGATTGTGCAGCACTTTCAATGGGCTGGAGGGGCTGCCATAGGTAGGAGGAGGCCAGGAAGTCTGCTTCTGCCATACAGTTGATTCACTGTAAATCAAGATGTACAGTAACTCCTGAAGGGCACTATGTTGGGGAGACTGCTCCGTAGCATAGGAACCTGTTGAGTGAGCTACATCTCTAGGATTGCAGTGGGTTTAGTTGTCGTTCTCTTTTTTTCATTTGTGGTGTTAGCAAATGCCATTAGAGTTGGTGCACTTGTCCCCATAATTTGCATGCACATGGGTCATCCAAGAACTGGTATAAGCAGACGGTTGCCCACATGGTAAAAATTGCCTGCAATGCCACTTCAGGTAGCCTTTCTGATTTTGGGATGCTTTCTCCTTTTATGTTTAAATTCTTCCATGTAACTACTATTTTTGGGAGAAGGCCAGGTTAGAACCCTTCTCTAACAACAACTGCTTTATATTAATATATACTGTATACCGAAGATATTTTAATAATGAGAAAGTATTTTAATTGAATTTATTAAATGTCCTATGAGTTTCTCTAGGTGTTGTTCAAAACATAAGAATGCAAAGTATAGGACATACATGAATAAAAACAAGATGGTAACAATGACCGCCACATATAAAAATTGAAAATGCATTGCAGAAATTGAAATAATAAAATATTAGCTATAAATGGCTTTTAAAAGATTTAATATTTGATTATGTGGAAGCCTTTATCCACCAGCATCCTAGGCAGACAGTAGAACCCAGAAACAGTTTAAGCATATAAGTAGATTGCTCTTACTATATTGTTGTGTCAGCAGTTTGTTGTTAGCTAATTATTTCCTTGGTTTGTCTCAGAGGGGATCTTGATGATTAATTTAGAAAACTAGTACTAGTTTTTCCTCTATGTATTTTTTGGTATATTTGAAATCCCATTTTTACACAAAGTCTTTGGGTTTGAGGGAATAGTGGATTTTGCATAAAGAATGTGTTTGGAGCAGACTTGGAGACATGTAAAGTGTCTTGAAGGTGTACGAGTATTTATGTAGTCAATAACGTAAGGTGCATTTTGATTATTCAAAGATCCACATTACAGTATTGCATGTAGAAGAATTTTACTTTTCTCCTTTTTGTAGAAGTTCAAAAGTACAAGAAGGTACAACTGTGTTTACAATTAATCTGTTGTTTTTCATAGGCAAATAATGCTTAGCCTGTAGTTGCAACCATGTTTTCTCTCAAGGAAATTCCACTGAAATCAAAGGGGTTACTCCTGACTAAAGGAATTTTTTGGATTAGTGTGTAGGAGGAGATTTTTATAAACAGCAACCTCTGAAGGTTCAGGCCTGAATTATACTCATTTTTCTCTTGTCCATTTTCTGTCACTTATTTTGAGAACTGTTCCATGTTATGTTTGTCTTTGTAAAAGTAAACATAGTGATTTTTCTGATTTATAGGTGTTGATGATCTTGACAAAACAGATCTAATGGAAGCCTTGGAACCTCAAATCTGTAGAAATCCAGAGACACCTGTGAAAGAAGATCTAATCCCAACACCAGTAGCTCCTGCCATTGCCTTTCCACTGGCAAATCCTCCTGTGGCTCCCCAGCCGAAAGAAAACGTAGGCCAGATGACAGACATATGCTATTCATACTTGGATTGAGAAGTTATTCCAGTGTTTCATCTTTGACCTTTCACAGTTGATACCGTAAATTAATCTTAAAAGTACAAATTATAGATTACAAGCAGCAGTAAACTTTTTTGGATCTCAATTGCTTCACAGTGATTACTTTTAAAATCCTCCTGTAATCCCCTTTTTCATGCTAGCCTGAGAGTAATGATGAGGTAGAAGTAAGACAGGAAGTAGTTGCTGTTTATTTAGTTAAAATTATTCCAGTATGACCAATAGTGATTCAGGAATGAGTTATACTTGCTGAGATTCAAAAGGTTTGACAGTTTTACTGAGATATGCATATTGGTTAAATTCAAGAATTAAAATTCAAGCTCTTATAACTAAATCTGTAAGTTCTCTGTATTTCAGATATTTCATATAGATGGACTTTACCTTTGATGTATAATTCAGCTAAACTTGCTGAGAAAAAAGGGAAAATATGAGTATCAACATTTTTTTAAAATAACCAAATGTAGCCAGGCCTCTCCAGAGTATATTAGCTCAGTCTATTATTTAGTTACATTGCATGTGGGCATACAGAGAATAAGACTGGCCACCAAGTGCATCTTTTTATCTTTTCATCTTTTTCCCATGTATCTCCAAACTGTTCTTTTCAGGTCATTAAAGTGGACCCAAAAGCCTATGGCCATCCAGAAAAACAGTTCAGATTCCAGTTGTCTTCCCTTATTCCTCAAGAGCGAATTGATTATTGCCATCTGATTGAAGAGCTAGGTGAGAAGCTCATAAATCCTCTGAAATTCTGTAGCTGGATTGAGTTCTGCGCTGTGCATCATGCATACTGAGGCCTGCTTGTTTTATGTGGCTTGTGCTATAGTTCTTTCCTATAGTAGGGATGTCCTTTTAAAATACCTATGGTTAAATTTCATTCTTTAGGAGGGATGGTGCTTGAGAAGCAGTGTTTTGACCCTAGCTGCACACACACAATTGTGGGACACCCTCTTCGCAATGAGAAATTCTTGGCCTCAATGGCAGCTGGAAAGTGGGTGCTTCACCGTTCCTACCTGGAGGCGTGCAGAGCAGCCCAACACTTTGTAGAGGTATTTAACAGCATTAAGGGCAATTTGGCTTGTTTGCAACTTCACTTTAATGTTACTCATATTCTAGAACATAAAGCTCCCAGAAACACATCAAACAACCTTGTTAAGGCTAAATAAGTCTGGATGTGGTTAGTGATGAGTCAGAAAACCCTCTGAAAAACTCTGTATTGGCTGGTTGCTTTGGGTTCCATGGAAGAAAGGCAGGATTGTAAATGGAATGAAGAATGAACTGAAAGCTTGTTTAGTCCTGTTTCCATACAGGTTTGCATTTAAAAATAATATTTAAACTCTTTTCCCCCATTTTATGTGAATTTTAAATGTATGTATTCCCCCACAAGTATTTTACCTTGTGAAAATGCTGTTTTGTCTGCACTTAACATGCACGTTTGGTACACATTTTTCCTGATACTAAACTATATTAGAAAACTTGCAAAAATGTGTATTTTGGAATTCAACTTAGTTGAATTTAGTTTGCTGAAAAGGGCTTGGGAGGAACAAGCTGGGTAAATAGATAAAACCAAGGAAAACTCAGCACATCCTTACTGTCTTGATAAGTATGGCTGTATCTAAGCGACTTGCTCTTGCGATTGTTGTTTTAAATTTCCTGTTAAACACGACCAAATTCCTATGAATAAGAGATCATCATCATTCTAGGAGGAAGACTATGAATGGGGAAGTAACTCTATACTCAGTGTTCTGCCTGGGATCAATATAGTACAGAAGAATTTAGCAGTAGCAGCAATGAGATGGAGGAAAGCCATACAAAAACGGAGAGAGGAAACTGGCATTATTGAGGTATTTGCAAATCCTGTCTAGTTGTTTCTTTACTGCTGATGAAAGACTTTTTAAGATGTGCAGAGAAATCAGTAAAGTCACATTCCATGTCAGTCTCTAGATGTAGAGTGTGATTGTTGTTGTCACATGCCATCAAGTTACCGGTGAATTATGGTGACCTAGAAAAAAATGGATGCCTCCCAGAAAGTCCTGTCCTTGACAGTCCTGCTCAGCTCTTACAAATGCAAAACTCTGGCTTCCTTTATGGAGTCAATCCATCTCATAGTTGGTGCCTCAGTTCTCTTTTGCTGATACGGCTATTATTCCTGAAGAGAATGAATGTATGTTATTCTGGTGTCACAGCTTTTGACTAATCCACCTTGGTTGATCCTGCTAGGAAAGCAGGCCAGAGCCACTCTGGGTTCCTGGCAACATTTTCCTCTTCTTGTCTGACACTTACAAACCCCTTCACCATGTTAAGGTGTACATCCTAGATGTGGAATTTTGACTGAGGGAACCCAAAATCTCTGAAGCAATATCTTGAGTGCCTTTATCAGATCATTATGGTGTATGCACATTTTGTTGACATGTATTTTGTACATGATTGCATTGCAGAGCTGCATATCATCAAACATCATCACACTTAGTATAGTTCATATGTGGAAATAATTTGAGAAATACTAATAAGTACTGGTAGGTATAGTATCCAAAACTGCCATCATTATGAGGTTACAATTCATTCTCCTTGTGCTCTGCATTTCTTTGAGGATCAAACATCTCTTACTTAAAAGACCCATTCTGGATGGAAAGTGGGGCAAGAGCAGTCAATACTTGTACTGCTTTCCTGATGTGACCCCTCTCCCAAACTATTAGCTGTGGAGGCAAATCATAAAGGCACAGCTTTTGTGTCCACATTTTTCCCCCTATAGCTAATAGCAGTGTCGGGGGCAATTTAAGTTGGGTGAATCAACATCCAACTGCAGAACTCTTGGGTAAGATCTACAGTATATTAAACGTAAATGGAAGATTAGAAATGAAGCTTCTTTCAATGTGGAAAGGATAATAAATTAAGGAATTAATTTTTAATAAGCCTATCTTTGCAGGGAGCATTTAGTGGTTGGAGAGTTATTTTGAATGTGGACCCAGCCAAGGAAGCAGGCTTCAAACGTCTTCTAGAGTCAGGAGGAGGAAAGGTATTTCTTTGACTATCCTTTTGCCAATGTAGTTGGCAGTCATAGGAGGGTATTGGGTTGCTGCTGTTTGTTGCATTAGTGACTTGTGATTCCACACTGGCCCACAATCCCAGATCCATTCAACATACTCAAACCATTTCTATTGGTTTCAGTGATAAGAGTTGTAGTACCTGTTACTGATTGAAATCTATTCAGAGGAATAAAGTGAAAACAGTATTCCTGATTTTACAAATAAGATCAGAATCTTGAGTTGATTCCCTTACCTTCCCAAATCCTGTGTTTAAATCCCAGTTGAGCTCTCCCTTAATAGAATAAGTGGGTGCTTTTCACTGTATAATTCACATTTAGCCAGCCATTTCCTTAGTTGTCTGTGGCAAGTAATTCATGCCTCCACATTCCACCCAAGTCCTCATTCCCTTTTAGCTACTGACTCGTTGATAACAAAGACATCCGGTTGAACAGGCTCTAGAATGGCTTTGGAGATTGAATGTGGACAAGAGGACAGCTACCATGATCATATTATTTGAAAGTGTTGTACATTGCTAATGTTCCTTACCTATCCAGACTCCCTCAGCGTCTTCCAGGTTAGGAAGGACATGTAGACATGGTGTTGCTGAGGAAAGAGGGAGTACCAACATAGAAGAGCTATCAGAGGTGTAAGGAGGCCTTAGTCAAGTGGAATGGGCAGTGATCAACTATCATTAGCACTGCTCCATAGTTCCATAATGTACTACTAAGGGCAGATAAACATTTATTACATAGACTGTCCTGTTATTTGCAAGACAGTTTAGGATGCTGCACATGAGGTTATTTTGCAGTTTATTTCTGAAAACTGTATTGCCAAGGCTAGTAGAAATTTAATAGTATGCATATAGTATACATAAGGGTCAAGCAAAATCTCTTCATGTGTTTGAATTTTCAGGTGCTGCCTGCTCATTCGCTTCCCCCCTTTAGAGAAGTGACTCACCTTTTTGCTGATTTCAGTAAACTGAAACCAGAGAATATAAGAGTCAACATAGGAGAAGCTGCATCAAAGGGAGTGAACTGCCTGAAGCCGGAATACATTGCTGACTACCTTATACAGGTTTGCCTACCTGTAGCATGAGTTGTGTTGGTTTCCAGAAAACAATCTACATTTCAGTTTAGTGTGAGGAGACATCAGAAAAGGAGGCATCACTCAATTTAGTGTGAGGAGGTATCACTTCTTTCTCAGGAAAGTTAGGATCACATGATCAGGATTTTTGTGCCTTGGTGTGGTGCTGCTAAACTCTGCTCATTTCTTTTCCCTGCCTTTGCCTAGGATAGAGTTCTGTTGTTTAGCTCCTCTCCTACCTGGTTTGTTCATATTTTCCTCTTAATATGTTTAAACTTCTGGGTTCATGCAGAGTTGACTTGCTTATACAGCTATGTAAAGCAGTGACAGAATATCATTTTTGTTACACTTCTAAAACTTTCCACATCTAATAATATCCCCTTTATTATGGTTATTTTACTTGATTATGCACAATTGTGTTCACAAAGCCTTAGCCAATCCACAACCAGAGAAAAATTGTGCGCATGGTTAGAGAAAAGGTGAGAAAGACTCTTGCATTTCCCTAGCTTTGCATTGTGCTTCAGGTACAAGAGCTGTAATGATTAAGTTGCTCTTTACCTGCTTGGAGTGCTTCCAAATAGTGTCCCTAGCATAATAGAAGACATTGTGCAGGGTCATCTGACTAGATCCTCTCCCCGCTCCAACACCACCACCACCACCACCACCACCAAAACTATGTGGGAAAACATGGGGCAGTTATGAAGTCTGCTTTGTCTGAGCCCACTGTAAAATTCTGTGAATAAATAATAAATGCCTCATTTCGAGGTACTTTTGCTCAATTTTAGACAGGACAAGAAGATGACTTTTATTGAAAGCAGATACTATAATGCTATCAATTGGTAAATTCTTTTCTCCATTGCTTTTCTGCTGTAACAAACTGTCAGTTCTAGCAATGGCTAAGCCTGCAGGCAAGGTCCATGTGATACCAAGAGGATTAAGGTAAAGGCATGAAAAGAAAATGTAAGATAAATAACTTTGAATGAATGTTGGGTAGAAATGTAAGTATATGCATGTTGATAATGGGTAAGAAGGATCCAGGTAATAGAAATTTTGGTGCTAAAGTTAATGATACTTAAAATAGGATCTTTAAAAAGTAACCACTTTTTTTCAAGGACCCACCACCTCCAACAGAAAGCTATCGATTGCCAGAGGCAGTTGTCTCTCTTCAGAACAGCAAACAACATGGAACTGGATTATCTCAAAAGCGAAAAGCTCCCGAAGAAACACACACAGTAAAGCGATCCAGAATGTATTGAGATGACTGTTCCTTTAAAATATGCATTTCCTATTTCTATTTATATTGGATTTCTTTGAAAATAAAAAGATATTAAATGTTTTTGTAATATTGTGTGTGTATGGCTTCTGAAATGTTGTCTTGTTCTTTGTTTGCTCTGAAACATATACATGCAGCTCAAAAACATATGCTTTTGTTTTTCAGTTGTGCTCTTGGAGTTTATGCTGCTCTCTATGACCAACCCTGCCACTTCATGATTTAGTGGTAACCTAAAGTTATACCAACTGCTTGCAAGGACCTGAGGATACACAATACCAATACAGCATGTTGCCAAATGGTACAAGTTCCTTTTTTCCCTCCTGTTGCTTAAAACATGCACCTTAGAGGTCTGAAGTACACTCTAACTGCTATACAACCAGCTGTGGTGGGAGCGGAGGGAGCACCTTAAAGCAAATTTCTCCTAGTGCAAGTTATGAGTAGTTATCTATCATACAATGTCTTCTACTGCTCCTGTGAAAGAAATCCTTTTATGTAACAAGTTCACAAGAAAGCATGTTTACAGTAAACATGTGCAGATGCACACTGATACAGTTCATCCTCAGTCAAGAAATTGTTTTCCTTGTGTTTGTATACCATACTAAAGCAAACTGGATTCATCCTACCTTTTCTTAAACCAACTATATTGCTTAGTTTTCAAACTGACCAACATGTAAATAGCAAGATCCCATCAACCACTTGGAATTTTTCCCACTTCTACATCAACTACAGAGCTGAATTGTGCAAGATTGGTGTCCTGATTCTTTCTAAAGAAAATAGCAAGACATTAAGCATCAAAGTAAATAAGTATCAAGAACAGAACAGAGTATACAAATGGAGCTAGATGGTACAGCAAATGAACTTAAGATATACAGAAGCAATATATAGCTTTCTTTTGTTTTTACAAACCACTGTAAGAACAGTAGATTCATACAAACAGAGTGAACATAAATTTATTTCATTCAGGGAGTTTACAAAAAATTATAGTTCAACTTAATTTTCATGCAAAACCCAAGAACCTTGTTAATACAATTAGATCTGCAGAGTTAATCACATAAAACCAGAAGGAGATGCATAAAGATTGAAAACTTCAACCATGCCTTCTTGCAAAGTCCATTTTACATGATCCATACACATTTAAATAATGTTTTGTAGAGAAGCTTTCTATAGTAGCAAAATACTGTAATGAAAACTAAATTGAATTTTTATTGTGTCAGAATCAGCCAGATGTCAGCTGATTAGTTATATCTTGCACTTCAATAGCACCTTCCTTCAGGAAAACTCAAAAGCATCTTACAAACAATGAAGTCAGCCTCACAACACCCCTGTGAGGTAGGGAAGGATTCTTTTTACAGCCTAGTAAACTGAGGCACACAAAGATGTCCACCCACTTCTCTGTCGTATTTGGAACAAATGATGCTTTCCTTGCAATGGGTTCAGCTTTCTTCATCCATGTTCATGGATGTGCTCTTTGACAAGTTTTCATATTTAAACACTATAATAAAAGGGAGTAATCCATACCAGCAAAATTACTATATTTCATTTTTGATGGCATAAGTGACAACATTTCTAATTCTTAAGATTACTTAAATGTATGATTAGGTAAATGATTTTTCATTTCAGTAATGTTCTCATTTACTTAACCAATTCCAGATAAGAACAATGTAGTTTTGAATTTGCTTTGAGAGAAACCCCAATCCTAGAGGATTTCTTATCATTGTACTTTCCTCTCTTCTAACATTGAGCAGTTTTGCATATCTGGCAGAATGAGTTGGTAGAAGTGAAAAGAATTCAGGTTGTCCCACTTCAAAGTCATGCACAATTTCTGAATGCTCCTCCATACCCTTTTTTCAGATAAGTACACTGAGAAAAGTTTAGTGTAGTCCTCTCCCCCTTATGTGATCTTTTCCTCTGTAAGAAACATGATGTAGCATTCAAGATGTGAACCATCTAACCCTGCAGTCCAAAAGACACACAATTCTATCACCTCATTCTGTCCCATGTTGACTATCCTCATACTTGAATGATAGCTAGGCCAAAGGAGTCTTATACTGTTTTCTCAGAACATTCTCTACACCAGAACACACTTTATATCAAACAATTCTTCACTTCCCTTCTCAGACACATTATATACAATGCAGAATACAGCTGCATCAGTCTATTTTGAATTACATTATGTCATAGAAGGGAAGGAATCAATGCCAAAGCTTTTATTCTCACCCCTTGTAGTACATTTAATGCTTACTGTCAACTAGCATTGTGCTAGCTGTTTCACAACTTCTAAGTTGGATAAAAGGAATAGCCCTATTCAATATGGCATGAACTTTTGCTGTTGGAATTCGCCCCAAGAACCATTACTGAAAACAGTCAGATCAGCTGTCTCTAATTTGCTAGGCTTAGGCACAGTTTATCAAAAGAAATGCAAATTTAGTTTATTCTTTCAAATATTACTTCCAGTAGTCCACATATTCTGCTATAAGTATCAGAGGTCATAAGAGCGGTCGAAGGGCAACACTGAGCACTTCTATAACCAAGTCCTACTAAAGTAGAAAGAAAAGTGTATGGAAGATGCCATCCCTTCAGAAAGCTCTAACTAGAGTCTGAATGATGGTGGTAGGCTAAAGATAGATACTACCTGCCTGTTGCCAATTTACTGGCTATCAATTAGGAATAGGAGCCTGTATGCACACAGCCCAGTATTCCTCAAGTTCTTGAAACAATAGTTGTGTTCAGCACTCTGTGCAGCTAGACTCCTATCTAATGTGGCTTCCAGGATATATCCAGCAGGTGCACCAACAGTGTAAGGTGATCATGACCCCACACTGTGTATAGGCACTGCTACATCTGCACAGTGTATTGCAATTTCCACACTAGAGTAGCTCTACAAAAGCCTCTGGAAATTAGGTAAAGGCTCTCAAGCACTCCATTCCATGGGATCCCTTTACCAATACTTCCCAATATCAGGTGTATTAAAATTACGCAGCCATATACAGAATAAAAAGGCTATTCCACAAACTCTACTCTCAACATGTATTCCTTGTTAAGCTACCAACATTTTAAATTAAAAAAACAACCATACACACCTCACTTAATTGACCCTCACATTCATTTGTCCAAAGTTGGTTTTCAAGTGCTGACTGAAGTATAGGTTATGACTACTATATCAGTTTTGGACATGACAATGACATGGACTTTTAATAAAGTGTCAGTAATTCAGTGATGCAGCTAAAGATTGGTATGACCAATTAGTAATATGGTATACAGTCTACTAGAAGTATTTCTGTATTACATCCATCTATAGAATAAGTAGCTAAACGAAACAAGTCCGTAATGGATTCCTACAGGTCAGCTTTGATTTCAGTTGCAGAAATATTAGGGTATTTCTTGAAATTTTAGCAAGTGGCTACAGTAGGCTAGATCCATTCTTCAAGTAAATAGCCAAAAATCTTACTTGAGAGTTTACCAGAAATTAACTGAAAAACAGATGTCCAAAATATATCATTACCATTTGCAGTCCATATGACTTTACTTTTTCCTCACTTCTCAAATCTGCAAAGGAATTCTATAATAGGATATATGTTATCACAAAGAGAGCTAGTTAGGCTTCTATTAATGTCCAGAAACTTCAGTGTTAAGAGGGCAAAGATCACCTACAGAAATATAACTTGATCAAGTGAGGAAGACTACAATTAGCCCTAATGGGATAATTCAGCTGTATCAAATAACTAGGCATCTTATTTTTTAGGACTGTATCTTGAATTTAAAAAAAAAAACATTTCAGTGTTTTAGATAAATTTTAGTGGCTTACTATTTCAATCAAAGCATGTTCTTCAATGTGAAAAAAAACTGAGGAATCAGAATGCAGGGCAGGGGTACACTTCCTTTTCAGCCTCAAGTAAAACATCTTGTTTTGGCTCAGGGGATCCCATTGGAGCATGCAGATATTTTCCCTCCCCATCTCCCCATCCTGCTCAATTGGTATCTAGGATTACAGAGGGTTAAATCTTCTATCCCTATAAGTACAACCAAGTGCAGTTTTTCTGCTGCTTTAAAGCAGAAAAATGGCAATCTCAAAAGACAGAAAACAACATCTCCCCCCTGAAAGCCCAGGAGATCAACCAGACTCTGTGTTAAGTGGGTAAGGGTCTGCTGGCTTCAGGGTCATTTAGGGAGCACCCAAGAGTTACAGGGTTTGCAGATAAATCTACAGCTTCTAAAGAGTACTAAAATGGAACTGCTGGGTGAATAGTTGTTTCAGTACAAATACCTGTCATCCTCAGCAGAGTTGCTTCCTCACAAATAGCAAGCCATCAATTAATTAGCCACTTCACATTTGTCTGTGGTTTTTGCTAGTGGTAGTATGCATGCAGGGTGAGGTAGACCGTGACCAGACGTATCCAGCTAGCTGAGGGCCATCCATCCTTAGCAACAGCGTAAAGCTAATTCCAACTATTCAAAAGTAAGCTCACAGGATTAAATCAGACTTACTTTCTCATGATGTGCATAAGATTGCAGCCTCAAGTTTGAAGATCATGATCATACATCAGGTTTGCCATACTTATTTTAAATGATGCATGGTATCATGAAAACATGTACATTGCTATTTATTATATTTATTAATTTTATAATGTTATTCTGCTCTGCCATCTATGCCCAGTTACTCAAGAGACATTACAAAGGACAGCTTCATCTACCCTATCATACAGTATATGAAAACCTGATTCATGTGTAACAGCATTCTTAATAAAATGCAAAGTTGGGATTTAAAATTGTATGTTTCTGCTATGTCATCAAGTGACATACAATTTCACATAATTTTTTTAAGCTTTAATACCCTGCAAATGTTTTGTTGGCAAAAAGACACATATTTGGGAAAGACTCAGAACTCAGTGGTGTCAACTGCAGGTTTACTTCCAGTGATCTGGGCATCCACTGACCTGGCTTTATTTCTATATTAAAGGCAACTATTTAGTAGCTTTTTTCTCAATTATGACAAATCTCTATGGGAATGAAGACAATGCCATTCTAAGCAGAGAAAAAAGTTTGTTCAGTAAATTAGTAATTTCACATCAAAGCAGGTCTTTAATTGCAAAAGGCATCACATTTTGATGAAGTACCTATCTGTCTCACAAAGCAATAATTCTGTGAAGTCTGAATTCCTGCTCAAAACTCCAGAAAGAAGGTGGACTCTTGGAGGCTAGGGCCCCCTCAAGATTTAGAAGAGAGGAAAAAATAACTAGGATTACCATCTATATTCCAGGAACCTCTCCAGGAGTTGTTTTGAATTTTATTCACTCAATGTTATACAGTATACCATAATGCAAATATTAGCATACAAATACTTGCAGTAACTCTCCATGGTCATATAGGTCAGAAAAGTGACCTACAACTAAAGTTGTCACTAAATCTTCGGGCAGCAGAGGAAAAGTACATCTCATTCCCAGAATATTTCCACATTTCAACCAGTAAAAATCCACAACAATGGACATTTTTCATGAGACATAATTATTTCCATCCTGCAAATACAATAGTGTGTGCGACCAACAGCTGATACTTGCCATAATACATTGTTAAGGCTAAGTATATGGCATGTTTCCCCAAAAATTGAGCTTCCGATATTAGGGGAGCACAGACATTTATTGGCCATTGGAAGCAAACTACAGAAATCCTAGTCGTCACTTGGAAAACCATTAAAAAAAAGTATGGATAGTCTGCATATTTCATGCTGCTACTTGTCTATATTGCAATTTCTCAAGCCAGGAAAGTAATTAAAGAATGTACATAGCTGACACCAATTAATATATGCAGACAAATATCCCTACATTTTCTACCTGGATGTGTATTTTCTGGCCACCTAAATAAAAAACAAACTACAGCTCAACACTATACTGCATATGTCTGAAAGTGGTATAGACTAGAGGTTCCCAGTAAATTATGGCTACATATGAAAGGATGTAATAGATGGGGGCAAAGGACAAATTGCTCATTTAAGGTCACTTAAATTTGTCATCTATAGTAAACCAGAACCCAAATGGCTGACTTCTGCAGGGTTTCTGAGAGGAATCCAGGAGAGCTGGTTTCGAGTTTCAGATGGCCACTAAAGAGTTGTAACCTTTTCCAGAAGTTGTGATCCACATGGTGTCCACAATGAGTGCAGCAAGTCTGAGGTAGTCAACCCTTACGAAGGCTCAGTATCTGAACATAAAAAAATGTGAAATAACCACCGGCTGCAGAGTAAAACACTTGGGACTCTTGTTCGACCATTTACATTAATTTCCCTCATATCCAAAGAAGAAAGTCAGGTGTACCAAATTAAGCATATTTCCATAGTGCAGAAGAGCCAATCACGTGAAAAGTAGTCTGCACTTGATGCAGAAGATCCAGCAGAAATAAGACAGCACATTCATAATAGGTGTAGTTTAGTTACCTTAAGACTGGAAGGGTATCAAATAACCACTGTAATTGTAATGTGTGTGCAGCTTTACTGATCCCCAAGCACTGCATATTGGTTGTCTAGCTGAAGTTTAGTTGCCTGGGTTTTTGAAACCTCATCCCTACCTCTAGTTTTGTGTTTTACTACTTCAAAGCTCTTCTCCATTTCTTTATCCCTAAGGGAAAATAAATGTAATCAGTAAGTGTCTTACACACACTTTCCCCCTAGCAATATTAATTCAATGACACTAGTTTTGGCTGCAAAATTCCATGACCAGGGCCAATGACAATGTATAATGGGCCACAAATCCAGGGAGCTACCCACAGGCATGTCTAAGGGCTTGTGCATGTCAGTAGGATGACATTTCTTTGAACAAACCTACATGCCTTTTCACAAACTGCTTTTGAAACACCAGTGGTAGAACTGCGAAATGCTGGAGAGCTAGTGGTGTAGTTCACTGGACCATGGCCAGAAGCAACCATCCTAATACAGACTCCCATAGAAGATTTGAACACTGCCACAACAAGCAAACAATATGGATGTTAACATCCTATTGAAAGCAACACTGAGTAAGCTGTTCCAAAGCACAGGCCTAGACCCAAAGAACTGTATGCCCAAGAGCAATCTGAAGTTGTGTTCCTCAAACAGAAGCTCTTCATGCTGCTTGGCAAACCTCTTCCAAAATATGCTGCATGGATTCATTAGTAACTTGCAATATGGCACCAGAAATTCCACCAAGCGCACCCAAGATCTTGGGAGCATCTGAAGTTGCTCTCAGGATTTCAGTTACAATCCCAGGTTTAGTGAGAAACTGGGAGGAGTCTCCCTGTAACAGCTATATGTCAGTATAATTTATTCTACAGGCCAAAAACACGCCCCAAAAAAAAACCAAAAACAAAAACAAAAGAACCCTTGCAATATGGTTTAAGTTGCAATTTAGCAGAGCAAGCCACCTCTTAGGCACAAAATTAAACCAATGCCTATCCATTCTGTTAATATATGAAAAGTACTGGAGTCCTGCAATCAGTGATCTAAATTTAAGATCATACAAGGCTGCAATATAAAATCTTGAATGGGCACAGACTGAGCCTTCCAATTTTCTACCATCCCACCCCTCTGAACAGCTTTCTTTAAATTATTTAGAAAGTCTGTTATTCAAATGTATGCAAATTCAAACCATATGGTGGAAAACAGCACATTTGCACCTAAAGCCCATTTGCTGCTTCTGGTCCAAGTCACTCCACATACTTGTTGATCTCTGGATAGGTTTATGAAGCTCTGAAGAAGTGGCTGGGTAGAAAAAGCAACTTCAAAATAATTCTGCAGAGTGCTATTACTATACTTACTTTCTAGTATCAACATGCTTGGCAGTAGACTGCAATGATGGAAACTGTGTATCGCTATAGATCTCCGGGGGTCCTTGTGGCACTTTTCGTGTCCTGCCTTCTCTTGCACCAGGTGGCCTATATACTCCACTGGACTGCACTGGCTCTGGGCTTTCTGCTAATGAAACAGTTTTAGAAAGATGCTATGGAATTAGATGAATGAGGTACTTTCAGTACCAGAATAATTCTGGTATACATCAAATCTGATTCCAGTTAAATCAAGAGATTTATTCTACATTACAATAAATCACATGGTATGGGGGAATCTTTTTTTTTTTTTAAACACGTAGCCTATTATCATAACTAGTAAAAAAAAATGCCACCACCTCCCTGCTGCATTCAGGTCTAACAAGAACCATAATTTGTTATAGGCTCTCCTCTGTTAGTAATGAAAGAAAATTTCACTGCTGTTTGAAAGAAGCCAGCTTACCTATTTCACCCAAATATGGAAAATGTTGTTTGTACAAAACATAGTTAACAAACTAGGATTATCCAATACAATGAAGAAGGTAATTTATTTCAAATTGCAAATAGAAGGTTCAGATAAGTTCCGCCTTTGTGCTATGATTTACCACCATTGTTTGAAATGATGTCTAAATGTTACAGCATCAGAATCCAGGACAGTTTCAGATGATACATAATGTTCCTTTTTTAGAGTTAGTTATAAGGAGGCTTGTAAATTTATTAGTTTAATTAAGACAAGAGCCTATGCTGTCCAAGAAGTATATCAAGCCAAAGAGAAACACCCCTTTTGGGCAAAGGGAGAAATACCATTGTATCTCCTGCTAATTGTTCTAGCAAAACAATGAATAGTAGTAATCACATATTCTGCTGTTACTATCTTGCTACAATATTATGAGTGCATATTCTTCATTCTCCTAAATGCTTGAAGTAATAAAAATTAAAGTCTAATTATTAATAAACCTGAAAGTTCTGGTACCTAAGAATTTGATATATCCTTCCAACAATGGGTATAAGGTGCTATGCACAAAAAACGACATGTAGTGATAGAGGGTTGAATTGTGTTATACAATTTCTACTTACCACTGAATGGGTAAACATTAATTTGGTTTTAACAATACAGACCTACTACATTCACTATATAATTCACCATTTTCTCCCCCCAAATACCAATTTTACCCATTTGTATGAACTACATAACACAAATGTTTGAACTTGGCATATATATTGATTAGCAGCTATAAAAAGCTCAAATTAAAATAGAAAGCCCAAAACAGACAGTTTAGCTGACATTCCTTAATTAGTAAATGAACATGAAGCCAAACTCACCGACAGTTTCAACAACTGTTGTTTGTTGTGTAGGAGCAGATTTATTCCAAGGACCAGACACCTTATCCACACACCCACCTGGTTCTTCACTATTATCGCTTGGCTCTTCTTTTTTTTCACCTTCATCATCATCTTTTTCACTGATAGGAAAAACACCATCACTTGCATCAAGCATGTATATTTTAATACATGGTACATTTGGCCAATTGTGATATAAAACACAGTGCTCCTGAAGTGTTCCAACCCTGTGTATCATCAACCAAAACATGATATCTGATACTAAGAAAAACTATCAAGTAGAACATAAGCACTTCATCAAACTTTGTGCCTCTGGTTAGTAAAGAAAGTGGGTGCTAAGGATTTAGGGCTAAATAAACCATATATCTCAAGGTGTAGGAGAGGTCATTATGCATCGCTCACACTTGCTTTAATGGACATCATACAGGATAGTATTACTAAGCAAAATGAAACAATAAAAATATTAAGTATAAATTCAATCACTCTGTTTGGTTCCTGGTACATCTAAGCCCTGACTTCTGACTGTCTTATTAGGACAGAAACACACCAAAGATGCCAGTTCAGATATAATGTTAGACAAACTATGGACAGAGGCTTAATAGTTTACCTTCTTCCACTAGTGGGAGGAATGAAGCAAGAGCAATCAATCAGCACATATCAGCAAGTCTGCTTGTATTAATGTGTGAACAGGCCCAATGACTAGGAACAGAACTTCCAGAAATGTCAACAGGCTGTTTTGTTAGCCATACTAAGCACAGAAATATTAAAAACATTTTAATAAGATATAGAAACATGCAATAATGGCTAAAATGTGCAAACATGCAATGTGATTGCACTGAAGCAATGTAACATGTCACAGGTTAAATTTAGAAATATTACTTGATTAGATGCTTTTCTTTACCTGGACTCTGAAAATCCTATGTGTAATTGGTGATACCCATAAAACTAATTAGGAAACTATGGATATTCACAGATATGTCCTTTATAGACAGTAATACCTAATTTGCATGGATTGAACTCTCAGACCACTGTAGTCAACTATTTCTTCTTGCTCAAATTCCTTCCAGTCATCTTCTTCCTGCAAAATGCAAACATTAGACTCATTATCAACACTTCAGATTATTTTGCTGTGTCAGAAGCAGAACACTCCCTGTGTCAGAAGCACAACACACATTTCAAGTGTTCACATATATCCCTAAAATACATTATTTTTATTGCTACATTGCATTTATATCTAAACTTTCTTCCTCTTGCAAAAAAGCCAAGGCAATCTTCCTCTCCATTTTATCTTAACAACAGCCCTGGGAGGTAGGTTAGGCTGGGAAGCAGTGAATAGTCCAAAGTCACCCAGATTTCATAGTTGAGTGGGGTCTAGAATCCACATCTCCCACCTCCCAGTCCAACACTATACCACACTGTCTCAAAACAGTAGTCGTGAGTACTGAGAGTAATTTGCTTAAACGAGTGTGACTTGTTCCGTTGCCTGAACCCAGGCAGCATGGCTTGTTAGATGGAGCAATACTGGGTTATTTGAGAATCTTTTCCTGATTCAACAAGCAACACTGACCAACCTGGCACAACACAATGAGCCAAGAACAGGCAGATAACTATGTGAATAGCACCGAGCTATGGTGACAAGATCCATGGCTATGTTACACTTCTAAATAACTAATTCAAACCATGACCCAAGTGATTTATGAGTCTTAACTGGTTTTTATTTAACATTATGTTATTTTAATGCTATCCAAACTGGGTGCCTGATAGGAACAGACCTTAATAGGTGAAATATTTAAAAAACAAAACAAGCGGCATATCGCTTTACAACTTAAGTCTTCTTTCCAAAAAATTAAAACCTCTTTATGGCAGACATAAATGTAGTATACTGCATGAATTTTTTAGAATGTTATTTCTTGCTGTATTTCTTTCATTCTGTTGCAGTCTATGGTCCCAGAGCCAGTATTCAGAGTGCAGGAAACAATGAAGAACTGAACATCCTATCATAAAAGTGAAATATGTGATCTTTGGATCAAAATCCTTTGAAGTTATGATTTACCTACATGAAGAAAATTAAGTTTCAACTGGAAAACCATTACCTATGGCAACAAGGATTAGGAGCAACCTCTCGCCTGCAGAGGCTTTGACACATTCTCCCTCCCATTTCTGCACACAAGAGAAGACTAAGAGCTTCTACCCTCTCTACCCATAGTCTACCATTATGTATAAATGCGTACTTTCTCCTAACCATGATGCAATATTCTGTCTTCAAAAATGAACATAAAGGCTATTACTCTCCTCCTCTTACAGACAGAGAATACAGAGAAGGAAATCACATGAGCCTGAGGCTAGCCTTAAATTGCTCATGATCATCTATTCAAAACCATGTTTTAGATTATCTTAGCTGAACTAGGGGCTTGCAAAATGTTTAGCTACTCAGAAATGGTTACAGTGATAAAGAGATTAAGCATGATAATGGAATTTGATAAAGATTTTATCCCTTGCTATTTCCTTTGCTCTGCTAGGATGAAAATGTAATACCAGTTAAACAGTCTTTACTTGGTCTTATTATTGATATGAATGAACAAGGGCTCATGGAGGCTGTTTTAATCCATTCATTATGGTACTTGCTATTCCTGGCCAGGTGTATGCAAGCAACTGGTTGCCACAAAGTGATTTCTTAAAATACTACTGGAAATATCTTTCTGGACAGACCACTGAGACGTGACTATGGCTACATGACAAGAGCACGATGACCATTTCGAGCAGCAAAACAATTTAGAGTAGAGTTTATGTAACTACCTGTTCATTTGTAACATTTAGGAAGAATAAAACTTGATGTGACAAAATCACAAGCAGGAGGTTGCACCTGATGGTCACTTTTGCCCCTACCAACTCTACTATTCTGTGACAAAGGTCTGCTTTAGTGACAATAATGAAAACACATGACTTAAACACAGCTCTGCCCTCAGTTTTTCAGAATCTTGAAGATTCACAGCCTCAAATCTTGAAAGATATTAACCATAGATGTAACTCCAAGAAAATTTACAATTTTGCCTTTTTTACGCTTGGAAAAATATAAGGGGAAGTTAGTTATACACAGTATGAAAAAAGCATATAGAGAAAAGTTTTTCTCCATCTCAGATGGTCATCCTAAGAGGTCATCCAGATCCATTTCTTGAAGAGACAGAAAGTACTTCTTTACACAGCTCATAAACTAAAACAAATTTTGTTTGTTTACCAATATGAACAGCTTTAAAAGAGGATTAGGTAAATTCATACAGAATAAAGTTACCAAGGGCTGCTAATCAGGACCCTATTATCTCAAAGGTCATACATCTCTGTATACCAACTTCTGTGGAATATAAACTAGAAGATGCTACCACTTCACGTCCTGCTAGTGGGCTTCCTAAAGACAGCTGGGCAGCCACTGTGGGTACAGAACTATGGCATTTAGCTGTTATGGATCAGGTAACACTTCCCCAGCCCCTGAAACAATGTGTATGAATTTGAAAGTACTCCTAGATTTCTACTGTCATTAGAAGCTCAAATGATTTGTGGCACAAACTGCCTTTACCAGCTTTAGCTGTTATGTCAACCATTCTTAGAAGGCAATAAAAGGTCTACTCCTGTAACTGATGGTGAATACTCCCCTCTGCTTAGCCTTCATAGCCATGATTTTAAGAATGCAGAAAGTTTCCTCTTCTACCAGCTAGAAGTTTAACAAGCTCCAGGAAAGCTATGGCTGGGGTTGCTACAGCCATGAATCCCGATCTCACATGATAAAACTCTATGAGTAATGAGAGTTTAAATAAATTCCCAGGTCAGTATCTGACAGCATGCCTCGATCCCACAGTGAGAACAGAGGCTCTGCCACTGAAACGACATGATCTGTTACGGGAGAAGTGGGCAGAGCTTCCCCCCACTCCACGTTCCCTTGTGGCCTTACACCGTTCAGTTCCCAAAGAGGAGGGGCTCGCAGGATCCTCAAGCTCAGTCACCTCCCTAGAAGCAAAGGAGACTTCCACACGCCTCATAGTAAGGTCTGGCTGACCCCGCATCGGCGCCCTCTGCCGACAGGAAGCTACCAACGCCCACAGGAAGCTATCAGCCAAAGATCTACTCCTCCTCCTCCTGCTCCCCAATCTCTCCCCCCATTTTCCGACACCCAAGTTCCTGGCCATACTCGAACTCAGAACCCACCCAAATTGAGTCTCGCACCCCCGGCCTCTTACCTTATATGCCACCTTAGCCGTGGCGTTGGAATGAGAGGCCGCCCCAGAGCCCGTTTCGGCTTGCCGGCTTCCCCCAGTCCCACTGGCGGCAGCGGCGTTGGAAGAGGCGGCCGAAGAAGCCGCTGCCGTGGCACCTCCCCGGCTGCTCTTCTCTTTCCGTTTCTTTTTATCTCGCTTCGCGAAAAAGTCGTCCAAGCTCCTCTCCTCAGTCTCAGCCATGGCGGCAGCTGAAGCGGCTCCTCCTAGCGCTCCGGTTCAAACCGGTTATGACTGACTGACTGACCCGCCGCGTCCTCCTCGCGCCTCAGGTTCTCTCACTCAGGAGAGCGGTTGGGGCGCGCCAAACCTTCAGCGACTGCGGGGGTGCCGGGAAGGGAAGTGGCGACCCTTCTCACAGGTGAGAATCCGGCACCACCCAGCAGCCTCACGTGCTGCTTATATCTGTCTGGTCTCCAGCCGCTCCCCTGTTTATCTCAAGGTAGGCGAGATGGTACAGTCCCAAACCGCCGCCACCTGCGCTCTTCTTTCTTTTTTAACTCACACAGTGGAGGCGTTCGAAAGAGAATCACGGCGGCTTCCGCTCTCCACGTTGGTGGCCGCCACTTGACACAGCCAAAGGAAAGGCGGGGGCGGGGGCAGGCAAGAAGAGAGAGAAGGGCGGAGTCAAAAAGCAGGAGCTTCTCTAACGTGGTACTCTAGGCGACTCCTTATTGGGTATCGTTGCGGGAAAGCCGGAAGACGCATGCGCCGGTCATCCTGCCGGCCAACCCGCCGAAAGGAAGAAAAGGCCTTTTGAACCAATAGAAAGGTGGCAGAGGATGGGCTTGTGCGTATTGAAGAGCGTCGCGGTAGAAAAGGACGTTAGAACCGGCGCTAGTGATTGGTCCACTGTGTGCATGCGTGTGGCGAGGTCCTCGAGGGATCGTTGGCGAGAAACGGGTGGGGTCGAACGCAAGCGGTGTGGTGCGCATGGTCAAGAACTAAGCCTCGCGCGCTGAAGTGACGTTCTAAGCTGGAGCCCCTTGGCCTACAATTCCCATCATCCCTCACCACAGGCTATGCTAGTTAGGGCTGATGGGATTTGTGGAATAAAACATCTGGAGGGCAACAAGTTGCTTACTCCTGCGGGGCTGGGGCTATGTTCTGTCGAAGTGCAATTTTGGCCACGGTTGTTCTGGTCTTTTCTGCGCTGAGCACAGATCAAATGGAGAGCATGGGGAAAACAAAATAGGATTCCACTGGGTTGTTCTTCTGGCTCACCTTGCCGCAATTTTGTATCCATCTGTAGTTCATCGTTAATTGGAGAATGAATCCACATGAAACGTGCCTCCCGTGGGATTATCGTGCCTTTAACAGCTATGTGCTACGCAATAATTCAACATTGCATTTTTGTGAGGGTGTTTTTGCTGTTGTGTAGAAAATTTCCACTCTTGTTCCTGCATAGCAAGTTTCACAATAAAATTGTGAGCAGTACACTTTGTGCCTTACACTGCAGGGCTACAGTTTTCACTAAAACACGTAACTCCAAAGCAGGCCAGTTGGACTTGTCACTTTGTAGAGACAAATCGGATGTTTCTGCCTAATAATGAAGTAGATTCCAGTAACATTAAATGATAGGTTATTTGATTCATCATGACTGAAGAATTACTTTAAATAATTTAAATTCAAATTGGTTAGGAAGAAGCACATAACATGGGACATATTTTGAACCATCCCTATTTTATAATGTCCCTTTTTCAACAAGAAGAATGAAGGAGTCAGTAATGACAGAAAGCTTGATGGCCACCCAGAAAGCATTAAAACTAGAGAGCGGCTTTCAAATTTAATAAATAAAAATCAGAATACATATATTGAAACTTGCTTCATTTGAAATTCAATTTAGGGGCAAATTCCTTATGCAGTTTCTGGCCCATGGATTTTTTAGATGAAGGGAAACTGCTGGACAGGCAATGCAGACACCATTGTTTTGGTCAAGCTTCCAGTGAGCTACAGTGGTATCTCGGCTCACGAACGCCTTGGTTCACAACCAAATCTGGTAGCGAACAAAAATTTCATGAAAAATTTGACGTGGGTCACGAACTCTGCATTGGCTGGCAAGCAAGATTGCAGCCATCTCCCCCCACACCCACCCCTGAGTGGGGAGATGGCCACAATCCCAGGGAAGATGTGATCACGGGCGTGCTCCTGCAGGAAAGACGGGTGCAATCGCAGTCATCTCCCCCCCCCCCCCCCCGAGTGGGAAGATGGCCACGATCGTGCTGGGGGCAGGGATGACGGGCGTGTGCAGGGATGACGGGCGCGATCTTGGTCGTGCTGGGAGGGCGGGGAGATGGCTTGTGCTCAGGGTGGGGAGGGGGAGATGGCCACAATTTTTGTTGTTCTTTGTCACTTTGCTTCTTCACATTTTTCTGATTAAAAAAAATGGTTACAGAACGGATTAACCTCATTTACATTGAACCTTATGGGGAAATTTAACTTGGCTCACGACCAGAGTCCTGGAATGGATTTAAGTTCATGAGCCAAGGTACCACTGTATTTCAGTGAGCACTGCAGCATGCTATCTGAATTGGCTGTTGGGAATTCTGATGGTGACATTTACTTGCAAGTTTCACTGCATTCTACTATTACAGGTGGCATACTGAACCCTTATTCTGTCTCTTGTCCTCTAATGTGAACAGCACAGGAAAAAACAGCATCATGAGAGACAAATAGTAAGGAAACAAAAAGGAGCAAGGGTCAATTTGTTGTTGTTGTTGTTAGTCGCAAAGTTGTGTCCGACCCATCGCGACCCCATGGACAACATTCCTCCAGGCCTTCCTGTCCTCCGCCATCCCCTGGAGTCCACCTAAGCTCACACCAATTGCTTCAGTGATTCCATCTAGCCACCTCTTTCTCTGCCGTTCCCTTCTTCTTTTGCCATCTATTGTTCCCAGCATTAGGCTCTTCTCTAGTGTGTCCTTCCTTCTCATTAGGTGGTCAAAGTATTTGAGTTTCATCTTCAGTATCTAAGGGTTAATGGTATAATGTATAACTGCAGCCCCATCTAGATTATGAATGACTCTACCCAGTTTGGCATTACCACAAATAGCCCAGACCTATGCATATTAGCTTAGAAGTAAATCTTTCTGTGTTCAGTGGGACTCCCTGCCAGGTAAGTGTATATGATATTCCAGTGTAAATACCAAATACAATGAGCTTGAAGTTGTTGGCTGATTGGCAGCCCATCCCCAGGTATCACTATTCCCTTACGACAGAGATGGGTAGGCCATGGCACTCGAACTCATGTCAAAAATTCTCTGCAAGTAATTACTTTACACATCTGGCAAGGACAATTAGTTCCTTTTCTGGCAGGCTGCTGGCTGGAGATGGAGCAAGAAGTGAATGTCAACAGGAGAAAAAAATGGGGTAGCTTTGCTCACATGTGGCTTTGACCCCATCTGTGCCTGCTTTGATCTTACCCACCACTGCCATACAGCCCCTGGCAATTACTCCTGAAGGAAAAAAAAAAAAGGTTCCTCCAGTAACCTTCAGAGGGGGTCACTGCTCAGCACATCAAATAATGACGGTTGCATTAGTGTTGCAATAGATTGCTATAACTGATCCATTAGATAAGACTGTAGGATACAGTAAATAGGGACTTTGATAGCCATAGTCCACAACTGCTTCACATTTTTTTTAAAGCCTTTTCTTCAACTTTTTGTACAGTATTCAACTTTAAAGTGTTTTTTAAAGCAGGCAATTGGCTACCCTCCAGAAGTCTTAAAGACTACAACTCCCGTGATGTTTGACACATGTTCCAGTTGGCTGGATCCTATAGGTGTTGTAGGAATGTCTGGAGGCATTTTGTGGCCAATCCCTAGTTTTTAACTTGCTGCATATTCCTCACTAGTGTATGATTCCTTTATATAACGGAGGTATTTGCAGTGTGTGGAAACACATTGAAGGCACAATGCTCATTATAAAACTTAAAGAACTGATGAAGGAATCAAGCCCATCATCTTCAATTTTCATTGAGCAAGGATAGTATAAATGCAGAATACAGGAGGGCAACACTCTGTCCATGGGTTGCATGCAGCTCTCCTTATTTTACTGTGGCTCTTGCTTCCCAGGACCTGTGCTTTCAAACATAATTTGCTCCCAGAACAGGCCAACTAGCACGTGCACTTTAAAGTAAAATTGTCCCATTTTGCCACTGCTACTGTATTGACAAATTTGGGCAGCACACTCAGGGGCAGGGCTATGGCTCCTGTTGAGACCAAGGAAGGCAATGCAGCTTCCCAGCCACCAGCTGTTGCCCACCCAGTGTGTAGAACAGAATAAAATGAGAAACAGCCCAGTAATGTGATTAGTGTACATTTAATTTCTGTAACAAACTGAGACTATAGTTTTGTATAACATTAATCTCTATAATGGTGTGTGTGTGTGTGTGTGTGTGTGTGTGTAAACAGCATTTTATGTGCAGTAATATTGCTTGTTAGAGAAATTAAATATTTCTTAGGGTGCAGCCCTATGCATGTTCAGACAGAAGTCCTATAGCTATGCAGCTTCCCTTTTGAATTAAGGCTGTATTCTTTGTGAAACATGCATGAATTGTGTACTTCTGTAGGACCTTAATCCAGGGTGATGAGAGGAAGAGAGGGAGGGAGAGAGTGACCTGGTTCATATGTACTATCCAGCTATGGGATAAACAACCCATAGTGAGCTGTGGCAATGCCAGAGCGAGCGCGCTCATCATTTCAGCTTTTCCCTCATATCACAAAACAGCTCAGGACTGGATTGTTGTTGTAACATGTTGACCTGATGCTGCTGAGGAAGAAATACCCCAGAGTTTGACCCAATAATAAGCCATGGGTTGCTGTTGGGTTAAAACTCTGGATTACCTTGCAATCTGGCAAGAAAGTGAAAGTTGTGAATAAGTGTGGGGCATGGCCACAGGCAACTACGGGTTGTTATTGGACCATGGTTCATTAGAATGGTTTAAATGCTTTACACTGCTTTGAAAGCCAGAGTGAGTGGGCATTGTGTGACGGTCTCCAAGCTCAAGAGACACTGTGGTTTGGCTAGGAATACATTTTCAGGTAAATGTGAATGGATTAACACCTGCAGCTGTCACTCATCTTGTCAGTTTTCTCTTTCAGCCTGGTAAGTTTTGTCAGAGTCAAAACTTTCCAGTGATCATGTGTACACGGTATTTCTACTGTGATTTAATAGTGTTATGAAACAGCACTAAGGCTGTGAGAGCTTGTTTACCACCTGCTGAATTTTGGAATGGTGGCTGGAAGCCAACCACTGTGTATGATATTCTCTATATCCACAGCAGCCTTTTAGCAGCTTTGCTTCTCAAAGTAGCATTCCCACAGACCCCATGAAGGTCAGAGCATTTAATGAGTTGTGAGGGATGCTTATGAAGGTTAAAGGTTGTGTGTAGCACTATCATCTGAGCTCACATGGGCCTCTTTGGGTCCTAGTCAGCATTGAGAAGTTTTGTGGCTCAAGAGAACTCTTTTTAAAGGCCATGCTAGATGAGATGTGGAATCATATTTTAAAGCTATGAAGCAGCTGTAGGATTGGATGGATTTGAACTGGAGCAGGGTCATGGCACTCAGGGAAGCCAGAATTAACATGGTCCCTTGAGTAATTTTCTTGTTTTAAATCAAATAAGGAGCAGTTCGAAGAAGTTTGCTTTCCCTCCCTTCCAGAAAGAACACTTCACTCTGCCTACTGCTAGCTGCCAGAAAGAATACTCTGCCCCCATCCATGGACCGAACAGATATTAATCGATGTTCAAGCAGGACCCCTGCAAGGGAAAGCAGGACACTTCAGCCTAGGCTGACATGCATAAATGTCTACATATAGCTCACCACCTTGTTCTGGCCTTGGGAAACTGATCTGCCTTCACTTCCTCTTGTCATTTTAATCTGTAAGCATGAGGATGGAGCCTGTCTCATTCTTCTTTTAATTGGTGCTTTGAGAAATAAATATTATCTAAAAATTAGATTTACAATGCAGCAAACAAATATATGAATGCATCTCCCTCTGTTACCACACATCTCCATATCTTACTTAAATGTTTCCGTAGTGGAGCAAAACTCAGGTTGGGCAAAGTGAGAAATTTAGATAGGCAAAGTGTTTCAGGAACCAAGGTATGAGTTAAACAGTTCCCAGTATTGTGAACAGATCCAACTGCCCTCCGCTCTCTGCAATGCTGCTGTTAAGCTTTAAAAAGAATGTTAGAACCAATCATGTCTTGCTTGGTATGGCAAGGTCCATATTCTAGCAATCACAGTTAGTTAGGGTACTTGCCAAGCCAGTTCAGTCTCAGCATTGCCCTGTCTGAACTGGGAGGCTGGGTTCAAGCAACATGACAAGCAACCCTGCAAGGTTATCATGATTTGCGCTTTTATCTACCTGACAGAGAATTAAGTGGTTTCTGTGTTGTTATGGTTTCCATCCTTCCCTGCTCAGCCCTCCCACTATAGGTATGTATCCCATCAGCCACTGAACCTTGAAATTCAATCCCAAGATGCAATGCTCCTTGTCTGTGTTGCCTGCTTTGTCCTCATTGGTTTATACAAAGAGGCTGTATGGCTGCCTCTTTGCAGCTACAACTCTTTCCAGAGGACTCTGTGGGAGCTGCATACTAGGACTGTGGAAACCATGATACTGGGTTTAGATAACTTGACAAGTCATGGTGGTACAGAGAAACCATGAAACAAGCATTTCTTGTTATGGTTTCTAAAGAGCAGACACCACAGTGAAATACCAGACATCACAATTCCACAACAATGGTGAAAACTACCATGGCATGTCATGTTGTCTGAACCCAGCCAGAGTATAGTATAGAAAACATCCAGTCTCTCCTGTGGTCATGTATTCCAGGGTGAGATCAGTAAGGTGGCTAAGTTGAATCTCAAATAACCTTCCAGGGAATCCTAAGATTTGCAAAGCATTTCCTGAAAAATGAGATTTTAGATATTATTACACTTGCAGCCCAATTGTACATGCAATTCTTGTTGCAGACGAAGATTTGTCTGACCACAATCGAGACAGAAGACAACTGTAAGCTTTAAACAGGACCTTTATATTAATAAGCATCTTCCAAACTAAATCAGGACAAGTAGAGCAGGAAAAAGTGAAACTAAAACCAGCCCCTCCACTTCCTACATGCATTAACCATTGAGTGACTTTCCAACTAATTATTCTTGTTTACAAAGTTGGTTTTCAGTAGATGTTGTTGTTTGTTCTAACAATCCTTCTCTAAGAAGCAAATCCCACCTAGATCAGTATGTTCTGCTCTTAAAAAAGCATGTGTAAGGATGCAACATTAGTTTAGTTTAACTCCCATTTCTCACCATTGGCTATGCTGGCTAGGGTTAATGGGAGTGGCAGGCCAAAACATCTGGAAGCCACAGACTGTTCACCCGATTTTTCTGCATGTGGACTCTCTCTCTCTATACATACATACATACATACATACATACATACATATTTAAATAGAATCAGCTAATTGGAACTGAAATTTTATTCTATAATCACAATGGATATATTGCAACCATCATGCAAAGCAATCACATGTGGGGCAGCACTTAGTACGGTAGGACAAGCAATGGCCTACTTAGGTTTTTAAATTGGGCTGGAGCAGACTGTCCTGTCTGTTGTTGTTTCCATGGACACTTTTTGCCAGTGAGATCAGTGTTTGTGCTGAATGGCAATAATTGTCTTCTGAAGACAGAGAATGTGGAAATCCAGCTGAAAGTGAAACAAAATAAAAAATAAAAAATTGCAACATCATTATTTCCTCAGGAATAAGCAAACCGTTAATAGCACAGAGTGCTTTGTGGTTTTGGCAAGATAAATCAGCAAAGTCACATACCAACACACATTTTGTATACATCAGTTCTGTGGTTGTGGCAAAAACAGTTATACATGAATGATTCATTTCTACCTGACCTTTTGCAGATTGTTTATTTAGGCTAAGGGATCTAGGGTGGGATTTGGCTATTCCAAATCTTGGTCAAAATTCTTAAACCAAATGCATTCAATATGGGAGTGGGCTGAATATATGCCTCTACAAAGAGTATGCAGGTTTGGCCAAGACTTCAAGGCTGGGTAAGAAAAAATCAGACTCAGCTGGCATGACTGTCAAAGAAGGAATATACCTTTTTTGGAAATAATGCTTTTCTAAAGAAAAGGGCAGCTTTTGGTGAAGTCTTACAGATGAGAGTTCCATTTATGGTCAACCACAAGCATACATTTTTGGTGTAGCCTTTCTGCTGGAAAGCATACTTTTCCAACAGAGAAAACTTGGTTGGTTTTGCTTTTATGTTTGAAATGGTAGTTCTGGAATCTCAACACTGCTTCTCTTCTTTGCTCTGTATAGTGTGCCACATGTGGTTGGATGTTTAGGCTGCATAGCATGTACTAAGCGAATGTGAATTCATGTTTTTGTCATATGTTACTCCAGCTGAAAATGTAACTACTGTATGTTCTGTAGAATTAGAATCTGAGTAGCCTTTAAAAGTGAAAGGTGATTAATTAACTATGATCAAATGCAAACAGCAGTGTTTTTCCTGAAATCACTTTATCATTCATGCAAATACTTTGCTAGACTGGGACCAATACTTCATTACTACAAGGATAGCAAGACCTTGTATTGCAAATCTGTTGCAGTTAGAAAATCTGACAAGATACAGCATTATACTGGCAATGTTCACACACCACAATAAGCCACTTTGTGAATAAGCCACTCAATGTGTTCCTAGAAAAACCCACAGTGTGCCTGACGAACTGACTGTGGGTTGTTCTTCCCCTCAATTGTCCAGCTAGTATCTTTTGTTAAAATGTGATCACTTGCCTTTGAAAGCTGAAACTTATAAGGCTACTGTCCAAGCAAAATTTAGATCTATATAAGTGCACACTTGCATACCTGTGAAAGAGCAACAAAATTAAAATAAAAAGAGAAGTGTAATTTTCTGGGGTTGAATTCCTACTGAAAAGGGTGATGAACCAGTGACTCTCACTTCAAAATTCTGCTTGGGCATTGGTGGAGAGGCAATTGTTGGTACTGTGGCTGGTCTTCTCCACTTCCTTCCAAGCAGATCAGGGCAAAGGCTTTCTAACTGATAGAATGTTTGTTAAAGCTGACCAGCTAGGCCGGCTCTCTGATTCAAAAGAAGCATTTAGCTGAAGACATTGGCGAAAGAAACAAGCGACGCTAGAACACTGGCTGCTGTTAGTGAAATGTGTCTTAGTGATACAAAGCTGATTCCAAACTGAATTTTCCTCACTTCCAAACCCAAAACTGCACACATGAATAATGTGTGGGGGCAAAACTGCATGACTCCCTCAACCTATGTTTTACATATATGTTATTCTGAACGTTTGGACTGGGGGAATTTTATCTGGGTTAGGATCAGTATCACTGAGCTATGCAGCATGTACTTGCCTGTGCAAGAATCCTATATACACGTAGCAAGGTCATTCTCTCAGTGTGGATCCTTCTGTAGCCAAAGCAGCACTGAATGCACACAAGGAGGAGATATCAGCAAACTTCAGGATTTGCAGGAGTACAGCATTGTTAGTACTTACAGACAATAGTCCTAAGGGCCAGTGGCCACAGGATGCTAGCAGAATGTTGAAAGAGGACGGCGGAGAGATGGAAAGGAGCATTCCTTGAAAAGTGCATGTGTGGCTGTGTGGATGGAACCCTGCACAGGAGAATGTCATGCTGCAAGATTTTGCTGCAGTTCCCATTTGTTACCCCTGTGAGCCAAGACTCTAAAGCAGCCTTTTCCAGTATCCCCAAGATATTTTGGACTGCAATTCCTGTTATCTCTGCTCATAGGCCATGCTGGGGGGGAGGGGTGTTAGTCCCAAACTTTCCAGAGGGCACCATTGTGGCACAGGTGTCCTAGGGAGTGACTAAGATCATCAGCCTATTTGGAAAGTGTGCCACAAATTTAGTCTTATAGCGGGGGAGGCCAGCTTGAAGTTTTTCAGATTCTCAGACCACAATACCTGCCAGAACACCTGTCCCAACATCAATCTACCTTGACCTTATGATCCTCTTTCTGGGCCTCGAAGGGACCTCAAAGGGAGGCCCAGAAAGAGGCAACAAGGAGGAAGGTCTTTTCAGTAGTGGCTCCCCAATTGTGGAATAGTCTCCCTGTTGAGGCCAATCTAATGCCAACATTATCATTTTGGCATCAGGTCAAAACTGCCCTTTATTCCCTGGCATTTAATAGCATATGATGAGTTATGTCAACTGTTTTAATTAAATTAGTTTTATTGAAAATGTTTTAGATGCTAAACTGTTTTATATTGTTGTATATTGAAATATTAAGCTGTTTTAAATGTACATATTGGAATTTTATATTGCATTTTATTGTATTTGCATTTTTATTCTATTGTTTTGTATTTGCTTAACTGTTGAGAACTGTCTAAAGAGCGTCAGCAATTGAGCAGTACGGATGAAATTAAATAAATACATAAATAAATGTATATTTTGGACTACAATTTGCTTTAACCTTACCCAGCATAGCCAATGGTGAGGGATAGTGGGAGTTGTAGGCCAAAACACATCTAGAGGACTAGATCTAGTGGGCAAGTTGCCCCATTCCTGGTGTACAGCTGGCAATAGTGCCATTCCAGTGAACTCAGTATATGGGGAGACCTCCTCTGGGACTTCATGTGGTTTTGTCACTAATCTGAGCCTGCAAGCAGGTGACTATGCTGCATGAGAAAGGCAGATGAGAGTGTGGGTATGATAAGGAGCTTTCGTGCACCACCCACTCTGCCCCAGCTGGTCCTCCAGAGGCCTAAAATAAAATTCAAGTGACAGCAGAGACCTAATGTAGGACAGGATCAGATGAACTGGGCTGCTCCTGCTGCTCCCTGGGCTGGAGAACAGGAATCTGGAGCAAATACCTTGTAAATGGTTCACATATGGTTAGGCTGATCTGGAATGTCATGTTCAGGATATAGCAAATTCCGTTAATGGGCTGCTGTATTTCCAAATAAGAACCTGGGGCATCAACAGCAACACTGAACAGAGTGGGCAAAGTCTTATCTCAGCAAAGCATCCAGTATCATGGCAACTTAGCGATGTCACCTTTGCTAGGTCCTGTTTGAGCTTTCCTCTTGTTTTCACTGGCCTGCCCCCCACCCTGCCCCGCCACAGCCAGGGCACAGAAAGGCTCTTCTGAAGATTCCCAGAGCACAAAAAGTGATACCTGCTCTCTTCCTTGTCCAACAGGCAGTGATACGCAGCAATGTCTTTCTCCAGTTCTGCTTTCATAGACAGCAAGGTTTCACGATCCCGCTGCTGCTGCTCCGTCTCGCCTCGGATCTCTCCTATTTCTGCTTCCAGCTTGGTAATGACTGAGCCTAGATTCTGCAGCTCTATGTCATGCCAGTGCTTGGCATCATAGAGGGAGTTTTCCAATCCTCTCTTCTGCAAAAGCAAGAGAATGGCAGGGCTTGCAACAGAGGCTCATTTCGGCTGACTTTGCAGAAGTGTCTTTATCAAGGTCATGCACAATGCTCTTCGTGTTTTGTCTCTGTACATTTTCTTAGGAGAGGGAAACTTTGAACCCTTTTTCTCTCCTAAGGGAAGAACTAAAGAAATGCAGGTCAGATGGGAGCGTATGGGCTTCTCATCAGGACATATTCAGGGGTATTTCATTCTTGCTGGCATCACTGCCCTAAGTTCTGTGGTAAAAGGGAAGGCACTTTCAGGTCAACAGTTGCCTCTGCATTGTCAGAATGCAGGCTTATCACTGCCTTGACCAGTTAGAGCTTAAAGCATGCTCTGTTTAGTGATAAAAGCACTCGTCATATCTGCTGCTATAGAGGGCAGGAATAGAAACGAACAGGGGAAACCGCCATGTAATAACACTGACTTCTACTGCTAATAATGCAGTTTAAGCTGCACAGTTCCTTTTTGCGAACTGTGCAGGTAGCTTTGGCTAATGGGTGGTATATAATGAAATTAAATAAGGAGTTGCTGAGGGAATATATTTTCCTCCAGCTACTATAATAATTGCAGCTAACCTTAGAGGGGACAAGAAATTTTGGTGGTGTACACAGTATCCCTGCTAATAAGAAACTTCCAATTCTAGTTCTGCTGCTTCACTGCTAAAACGTGATGGTCTTTCCTTGTTTGGTGGTATGGAAGCAGCATCTTTCCATTAGTCAGAGATGCTAAACTAGTACCCTTGCATTGCAGAGCTTGCACTGTGCAGAGGCATGGACTAGATGATCCTGAGGATTCTGCCCCCATCTAAAATCCTACGTATTCCAGGTCTTACTAGCCACATCATGTGGCCTAATGGTCCAGCAAGGGCTCTGCAGACTTCCTGGCTTTAAATTACTAAGTCTGAAGAAAGAGAGGAAGGCAGTGGGAACACATGGTAAAGCATCTGTCTCCTGCCTTCATACCACAGGGGCTTGTATACAGCTTGGGGATTATGAGTGGGCCAGGCCTGATGTGTGCATGGCCAGAATGCAGGAGGTTCTCTGGCGATCTCAGCATATGGGATTTGTCATGCTCTGCCCCACCCACCAACCAACAATAGCCTTACTCCACAGACCATTCAACACATCACTTTGGAAAGCTGGGGTGGGGGTCATATGTGCTCTCTGAAGCAGTGAGAGAAGCTGCTGGTCATGAGAAGTGTGTGTACAAATGATGACATCCATGTTAGAGGGTGGGTGGACACTTTTTGGATTGCAGCATGTATGGACCCAGTATTTGTGGAAGGGCCCTGCACCTGACTTTAGGGGATCTCCCCTCCCTTTGCCCCATTCAGCAGGGTTTCCTGGTCCCTTTGTAGCATTTTCAGGAGACTATAGGGGCTGCCATGAGCAGAAGGGGGTGGGGAAGTCTCCTTCCATCACTATAGTTGACCCAGTGAAAATCTGGATCCAGCCCGCGATCTTGGCAGGAATGGGAAAGACAGCTATTGATTTCAGTGGAAGAGATGTAAGCACTTGTTAAATGCTCTCACCTAAATCAGTGGGACTAGTGCTTAGATGCGCCCGGATTCTGCTCTTAGGTTTTACAAATCTTGTCTTCCGTGTTGAAAAAGAGAATTCTCAAGCCATGCTTTTCCTAAGAATGGCATGCTCATTATAATGGAAGGGCTGGTTTGTTAAACACAATTGAAAATTTAGACTGCATTCCAGTGCACACTTCCCTGAAAGTAAGTTCCACTGAAAACAGGAGAATTCCCTTTGCAGCAAACCTGTGTTGGATCTGGTATGTGTTACTCCTTCAACATACAGCCTCATACCCATACCCAAGTCTGGAAGCAATGACTTTGTGCCAATAAACAGATGTCAGCTCTGATTCCTTACTCACCAGTGTTCTCAGAGATTCGGTCTCTGCTTGCAGGCTTTGAATTTTGCAAGCTGTTTCATGAAACTCTGCCCTCAGGCTTTCCACCAATTCCTCCTCTTGAGTTCGTACAGTAGGGGCTGTTTCTGTAGATTGCTGCAACATGTCATGCTGATGAGCAGGAGGGAGAGGAAAAGGATTCCGCCCCCACACACATGCACAAAGGGTCTTACTTGTCATTCTGTTAGGCATAGGTAGATCCATGGAAATTTAAAAGAAGACCACTCAGGTCTCAATCCTCAACTTTCCTTCCCTTTTATGTAACCCAGGACTGGAAACGATCAATTTCATTTGGGTCCTGCCCAATGAACAGGTGATATCCATTTCTTAAGCCTAGCATCACAGAGAGATGCTCTGTGCCCCGAACCATTTTAGGCTGCAAAATGCGTACTCACCCGGGAGGAGGTCCCATGGAACTTCGTGGACATGGACGGGATTGCACTGTTCGTTGCCCTTAGCCAGTTCTGTGCTTACCTTGGAGTGGAGCAATGCACCAGTCTCAGCACGATTCCGTTCAATATCTCTCTCCCAGTGAATCCGGATCTTCTCCAAGATGTCATCCAGGCCAGTTCCAATGGGAGCATCTAATTCTTCCAGAGGTGATACGGCAAGCTGCTTGTAAAGCATCTTGACATCCTGAAAATCAGCCACATCCAACAAAGGAAGCTGTCACTGACATTCTAGACAGAGGTTTGCTCTCTTTGGTGCAGCCCTCCATTGGTGCACAGGAGCATTCCTTTGCGCATTAGCACTCTGGCAGCCTGTGCTAAGACTCTCTTGCTGACCTCCCACCTTGTCTTTGTGCTCCTCATCTGTTGTGTGTCCCGTCTCCTAGTACAATGAGGTTGGTGACCTTTCTAGGCCTCTTAACAGGCCCTTGGTGCAGGAGTGTTCCTGTTGGGTAACATAAGCTGGAGGGAGGTGAGACTAACCTCCTTAGGCTGCAATCCTATACACATTCAAATGGGAGTAAGTTTCACTGAAATCAGCAGGACTTACAGTGGAGTAGACATGCATAGGAGCGTGCTGTTACATCTCCTTCAGATAGCTGAAGACAAATATTGGTCTGCAGACCTTTTAACAGTTAATGCCACTCTCTTTTATCAATAATCCCTGGTTTCAAAATATGTTTTAGGATTTTGTATTTCCATGTACTCCAATAAGTGCTGTGCCAAATCCCCACCAGTTTTTCACAGCCCTCATTTTTTTCAGTCTTTTTCACAGGGATGTTGAGAATCTTGGAGAAATCTCTCCCATGTGCAGGGCCACAGTGTTTCCTGTACTGTAAGGAAAGGCTCTGAGAGCTGAGAGGCTCTTTATTTTATTGAGTGAAGAGGTTGATATTGTTGCTGTTTCTTTTAACAACCTTTATTGTTGTTAGAGAACTTTTAACTGGAACCAAACCAAAGCAAAAATGTCTCACTTAGCTGAGAGGCTCTCAGCAGGTAGCAGTACTGGAAAGCCCCGAGAGAGGAAGGCCTGGTTAGGGCCACAGCAGGAAAGCTTAAGCTGGAGTGGGCACCAAGGGCAGAGCAAGATAAAAATGATAAAAGAACATAACCCACCACTTTCTTGCAGTGAGTTAATCACAGATGCTCTGTGCCCTGAAAAATGTCTCTGAAATTCTCTCCCATTCCCACAATATTCATGTGTAATTTCTTTCTGCCCCTTTCCTCAATAAATGGTTGAAAATAACTTGAAAAATTCAGCACAGTACTAATTTTATCCTCTGTGTTGTTATTGTACATTAAGTGAACACTCATTAAATGAAGGTGTAATCCAAAAATATACTCTTAAGAGAAACATCTTTATACTAATTCCTTGGATAATCAGTTGAATGTCACTTATGCACACACTACTATTCTGATTGGAAGCAGTGAAGTTACTTTTTGTAACTCGTTATTGCCACAGCATGTCTGATAAGTAATAGACTACTTTGCATACTTTGGAGGCATCTGAGAGCCAGTATCGTGTGGTGTTGAACCAGGAAGAACTGGGATCTAGTCCTACTAGGCCAGGGGTCGGCAACCCGTAGCTCCAGAGCCACATGTGGCTCTTGAATCTCTCTGCTGCGGCTCCAGGCTCCATCGCTCAAAGTACAGCAGGAATGCAGCGCTAGCTGGTTAAGTAAATTGCTACATTCCTCTGCTATTGTGCAGGGAAAGAGTGGAACAAGCTTCCTGCAGGCGCTCATGCTACACGAAATGCTGCAGAAAAGATTCTCTTTGTCCAAATGTCATCTCCTTCATCTGAATGTTAAAAGCTGTGCTTGGGACCCATCACAATTCACATCACTTGACTGTTTATCTGCTAATCTGTCACTAAACACACCTATATCTGTGACTCCGCCCCCCCCCAGGCCAATCATGGATAAATAGAAGTTTCTGAAGAAAACCAAAGCTTTAATAATATGTGGGTAGATTCATTTGCTTTTACTGCTGACAAACTTATGGGGTTTGCTGTTTAATGCATGCAGCCCTTTAGCACTGACTTTGACTCTTCAGGAAGCTGTTCTCCTATTCAAAATATATGAAAGGAGTCCTACTAGTTTATAATGTAAGATTAAAAATAACAGGTTTTAGTGACGGAACAAGAGCTGCAGCTAAATCATAGTGAAGATATACATAGTATTAAAGTAAAAAATGGTATATGCAGTGTTATCTTCATTTCAGATGTCAAAAGGGGTTTGCAGCTCTTTTCTTTTCTGTTTTCTTTTGTGTGGGAAATGGGTCCAAATGGCTCTTTGAGCGTTAAAGGTTGCTGACCCCTGTCCTAGGCCATGAAGCCCACTGGGTGACTTTCAGCCTAATCTACCTCGCATGCTTATTGTTGTGAGGAAAAAACAGAGGAAAGGGCAACCTTGTAAGCCAACTTGGGCTCCTTGCAAGTGGAAGAACGGTGAGGTATAAATGTAATTCAATAAAAACTTTGCTTCTGTAAAAGTCTGCATTTTTCAATGGATAGAATGAGAACTTGTAAAGTTTCTAGACAGGATCTAGAACACTCTTTTCCAACCTGCTGGCCACCAGACACTTTGGTTTACAGACTCCCTTTGCCTCAGTGAGCATTGCTAATGGTCAGGAAGTCTGGGAGTAGTAGACCAAAACATTTGGGAGTTACCAGGTTGAAGAAGTCTGATGCAGAGGTGCTGAAATGTCAAAAGTGAGCAAGCAAAGAACTTTGTTGTCTTATCTTTGGGGAACAGAGGCCTTAAAACCTGTATTTTAGTTGATGTGATTTTAAGATGTCTGACTTTTGGACTTTATCAACCTGATCTTGGACTTCTGTGAAGGTGAGACTAAATTACTTTGCACAAAAGTGAAGCAAGACTCCATCAACTATTACAGCACTGCACTGAAGACAACCTGTTCACTGATTCTGACAGGAAGCTGTCTTGAAATTAATACTTATCACATGCAAAACAAGAAGAATAAAATGAGGGCACTGAAGCTTAACCACAAACCTGAACCATCTTTTTTGTTGAAAGCTGGCCTTTGTTCAGGTAGACAAAGGAGGCAACAACAAAGGAGGTAACTTAAATGAAAAGATTCTAGTCATGTGCTGTTTTTAAACTTTGAATTACCTCTTCATGATTCTTTGACAGTAAAGTTAGTTCTTCTTTCATACTTTCGATCTGTCCTTCCAGGTCTACCTTAGTCAAGTTAGCATCATCAATCACTTTATAGAGGGAGTTAATTTCGTCTTCCACTGCCTTTCGGAAAGGTTGCTCATTTTCATACCTGCAGAGCAAAGGGGCAGTATGTCACACAGTCTCCCAGAGCTCAGTCTCCCGGCAGGTCCATTTGCCTGCTCCTGAAATCGTGTCCCTGCCCAACTGACAGATGCCTCATGAGTCCATCCCTTTCTTTACTCCAGCCCTACTATCCTTTCCAGTGCAAATCACTTTTACTGTCCTCTTCTGGGGGAATAAAGAAGGAAGAAATTGAACCTCTGGGGAGTTACCTGTCTTTAACATCTTCAGCACAGGCTTGAATATTCTCTGTCTGCAACATAAGCCGGGCATTTTCCAGGACAGCATCTCCAACCTAAAATGGTTCAAGCAGGCAGATAGAAAGAACATGATGCATTGTGATTCAACACTAGGTTGGATAGGAACACGTTTGGGCTGCTGGGTCTACACATAATGTATTCCTTGATCAATATGCATTTTTGTTATTTATTTCAATTTGGATGCCACCGCAATAGCCCACATCTGGGTTCTCTGTGAAGCCACAACAATTCTGTAGGCTTATAACATTTAACCTGGTGCTCTCCAAATATTTTGTATTTCAGCTTCCATCAGCCACAGCCAGCATGGCCAATGCTCAGGGATGCTGGAAGTGATAATCTAAAGCATCTGGAAGGCACTGAGTTGAGAAAAAGTTTATTAACCTGCCTGGTTTCTGAGTTCAATTAATAGAGTTTAATTCCTTTTGAAACTCTTTCCATTATGTTTTAAAATTGTTGCATACCACCTTGATGGCTTTTTTGCAGAGAAGGGGGCATATAACTCTTAAAAATTGATCAGTCTTTTAATTAATTAACCAATGGCAGCATGGAGGCCTTGCTGAAGCACTCCCTCTGGCAGTGTGGAAGACTGTGTGTAACTCATTAGATCTTCATCAGGAGCTATTGCATAAAGATGACTTCCTACATGGGCTAGTTACCAGAAAGGAGTGTGTTAAAAGCACCTATAGACAGTATGTATCTGACTCATATGACTCAGGCTTGGTAAACAAGTTTGCTGCACAATATAATTTGTCCACAATATAGGTCAATATTGGTCTGCAGCAGCCTTCTCCAATCTGGTGCCATACAGATGTTTTGCATTATGAGTCCCATCAATCCCTGACCATTGGCTCTATTGGTTGGGGCTGATGGGAGTTGCAGTCCAAGACATCTGGAAACGACCTAGTGTAGAGAGAACTGACATATTTTGTGTACACACATGTATGTCTCATACGAAGATACCCTATGAAACTAATTTATAGTATTTCTGGTTTTGACAATAGAAATGGTTCTTTATATTTAATTTGTGGTTTTCATTTTCATGAGATATAGTGATAGCATTAAGATTGGACCAATTTGTGGATGAGAATTGTTTCAGTGGCTATTCATCATAACAGACAAATGCACACATCACCATTTGAAGTGCAAGGGACCTAGGAGGTTGTCATTTCAATTTCCTTTTCCATTTTACTGTTCTGTTCCAGATGCCCTGTGCATTGGAGCACTGGATTCTTATCCTCATTTATATTTCCTCACTGATGCTGACACCTGCTAATTCTAGTGACAAGGTCTGTTGAAGTCAGCATTTACAATAAACACAATATTAATGACTTAATTATATGTAAAATTATATGTAGAATGCAGAAAGGCATGTAATAAAACCTTAATTCTGATAATTTGAATTGGATTATAATTATATAATAATTACTAATTGTTGTGTTAAACATACTGATTTCAGGGCATTGTGTGGATGGAAAAATTGTAACATGGGGAAAAGAAAGACCTTATGAAACCTTCATTAAAGCAGTCATTTCCCATACAACACTCGTGGCAAAATGCCATCTTGCTATGACATTTCACAAATGATAGTGTGAGGTATTTCTGAAATAAAAATGCCTATTATGTATTGCTTAATTGAGTTCCTGAATAACTCTCTGGCCCCATTCCTGAAAACCACAAGTGTGGTGTATACAGCTCATTTGTGCTTCTGGTTCCATAAAGCAATTGGAAGTGAAGAGCAAAGCTCTCTCTTAGTCTCAGCCTGCGGCTAAGAGACCAAAGAGCTGTCTTTTATTATGAATTCACACTAACTTGGTTCATGCAATTCATTAAGCCATGCTGGTTTATAAACCATGGTGGTTAAGCATGTTGTCTGATCCAACACCTGCCCCCCCCCCCCCCAGGATGGCTTACAAGTCACTCTGGGATAGCTCATGGTAAGATTTAATAAACCTGCAGTATACAAGGGGTTATTCTATAGACCCAGGGAACACAATAAGCTGTGGTCTAGCCAAAAAACCTATAGATCCTGTTGGCAAGAGAGGCTTGCCACTTAGCCAAGTGGCTAGCAGACAACTCTCTTTTCCAGGCATCCCAAAGAGGAACTTGAGTCAGTAGGAAAAGGTTCCCCTTCTTTGCTATCTGTGGGGAAGTCCCCATGGAGATATAGTTGCCCTTTTGAATCACAAGCCTTGTGCCCCTCTGGGGGTTTCCCTCAAGTTTTGCTACTTCCTCAGTGATACCCACTCAGGGTAAATTATGCAAAGTATTTTGGGATTGTTTTCTCCTGAATGGAAAATGAAGACCTATCAGTTTTGCAAAAGACCTGTTCCTGGTGGAGATCAAAACTACTAGGACAGCCATTTGCATCTTTGGACTCTCCTGGTTAGAGGGCAGGTAAGGCCAGTGGGAAGTATCGTAAGGAGCTGAGGCACTTCAAAAATTAACATCAGGTTACTGGCGATTGGTTTTATGTGGTTTTACAGACTTGAATGATAATTTATTCAGTGTTTTTTTTAATGCCAGTGATCAAAATACTTAAAGAGACGGGACCATTTCTTCCTTTCTCTAAATTGTGATTGGGAAATTTGCTGCAGGAACTGTAGAGGGTGACATTTTGGGGGTGTGCTTGCTGCCGTTTTTCTTTCTTCTTGAACTGATAGTGGAGCAGGACATTTCAGGAATGCTTGGTGCAGGGACCATCTCTGTTTTCTATCTAGTATGAGGGACTTAGATGCATTGCATATTTTTTTAAAAAATCATGGCATGCCATTCTCTACCCAATCATACAGTCCCCTGTTGTGCCGCTACTCTGGCAAACCACTGAACTGGTCCTGTGTCTTTTTCCTTTCTTTCTTTATAATCTAGATGTAGCCAAACCTAGTCTTCCCCCTCTCCTCTCCCCTACAAATCTGTAAATGTATGGCTCAATTTTTTCCTGAATTAAATAGGAGGCCTGATTCACCTGCATCCAAAATGTTTTCTTTTATCCTGCATAAGCAGGACAGCACCCCACCCTTGAGGAGTTTGCCAAACTGTGTTTTTGCCTGAACCACTGATCTGAACATGTTTCCATTCAGAGGCAGGAAACCTAGCAAGAGCTACAACAGCATAAAAATCTGAAAGTGGCTGAATCATCTAATCACACTGTGATGCAGTTAGGTGAATTGACTCTTCACTCAGTCATATGCCCTTCCCATACTCTTTGGAAGGTAATATATATTACATCACTGACTTCAAAATGTGCCAAGCCAGCCCTGCGGCATTTGGAAGTTCCCTTGTTTGTTCAGCTAAGTGAAGTCTTGGATTTCTGCGCCAAAGCCCTGCTGGATGCAGTGCAATGACACCTGAACTGGAAATGCCATTGAATTACTCCCCTCTCCCTCTACCCTGATGTGCTACCTGTTGCGTTTCTGCTTGATGTACTGTCCTGCATTCCTGATTACATTTGTCTCTGTTCCAATTAGGCAGTCAGCCCAGTGTGGTGACTCATCTAGAGTTGCACTCCTTTGAAAGCGATACTGTGAAATTATCTGCCTCCAGCAGATGCTGACTGAAAAGAGGCTTGGCCAGAGCAGATAATCATACAGAGATACAACCTGCAGCCTCATTGAAAGGGTGTCCTCTGGCTTCACAAGAATTTTAAATGATTTTGGGACAATGCTATGGTCCATACCCTGGAGGCACTTAAGCCTCTGAACTCAGAGCTAGACTTCTGCAATGTACAATTTACCCAGATGCTACAATCAATATCCAGGGCCTTCCTCTAACTGCCATCTCCAAGGGATGCTTGGTTGATGACAGCAAGGAGGGGATTTTTTGTGGTAGCCCCCAAATTATGGAATGATCTTTCCACTGAGACTTTCTTGGTGCCAACTTTACAATTCTTTTGGCATCAGACTAAGACTGATCACTTTCCTGAGGCACTTAACAGCTCTAAAGAACAGCTGTTGGGGCTGGGTAGAAGGCTCAGCTGTATGGCCCTTTCCTACCTGCCTATGAATTGCATTCACTGTTATACTGCTCAATATTTTATGGGTCTTTGATCCTCAGAGAAGCTCAGTAAAATAGAGCAATCAGACAATGGTTTGCCCAAGGCCATTTACTGAGCTAAATAAGGATTTGAGCAAGTCCAGTTCTCCAGCATTCAGACCTTCACATGTCCACCCAAACATCCCAAGGAAATTGTATGCAGTCCTATGCATGCTAAACTGGGAATAAATCTCACTGAATTCCATGGGGCTTACTTCTGAGTAGACAAGCAAAGCACTGCCTTGTTTGATCTCAGCCAGGCACAAGTCCCCATGGAGACCCTACATTCTTACAGTACAAGCTAAACTGGGCCCTTTCAGCACTTGGTAGACCTAAAAGCACATATTTTTGTTTAACTCCCCCTTGCGCACACACACACTTTTTTGCTGCCATCAAAGTTGGTAGTGCTGCAGGGACTGCAACTGACCCCCAGTCCACATGTTGCCCACCCTTCATACATAAATTTGTGCTTGGTTTTCATAATAAGAGGGTTAAAATGTTCATTATTTGTGGACAAAAGTCTGCAAATGCACTCTGCAGGTAACAATTTCACCTCCATTGGAAAGATTTGCTGTTTGCAAGGATGGAAGTATCTTACTCCACAGCCCATTCTTTAAAAATAAACCCAGCCTCAAAATGTGAGGAACCAAAGATGGAAACACAAGCACAAATCTCACTTGCCTGATTACAAACAGTTATCAGGCTGCTAATGAGGCAATGTCAGGTGGATAAACTCACACAGTTTTGGCAGCATCTCTCAGTAATTTTTCTCTTAATCATAGTAACCAATCCAAGGAGAAATAGCTGATTATAATCCAACCAAATATAGGCGAGCGTTTCATTCTTCCTCTCCTGTGCCTGAACCTCCTAAGGCAGTTCTCATACATAATACTGGCCTTCCAGAGCTCGGTATGAGCCGATAAATGCTAATTATCCTGGAGATTAAAATTAAAATGTGTTGTACGGGGAAGCTGTACATTATGAGCACACATCTGCGTTTAATCAGTGGCATAAGAAGCTCTTTGTTTTTGTTAATGACCCATTAATTTCAGTCTTTGCAGCCAGAAAGGTCTCATACTCACTTGGTGATAGATGGCCTCCCAGCTCTCTCTCAGGGCACCCCAGTTGCTGGCATTGGAAGACCTCTTGTTCAGGTAAACGCGGATGCGGTCCTCCAGCTCCTGGTTGACCTGCTCTAAGGCTTTCACCTTTTCAATGTAGTCCACCAGGCACCCGTTCAGGCTCTCATAGGTCAGGCCCCGTCCCCTTTCCAGCCCTTGGGGCAACGGGATGGAAGCGCAAGAACTACGAAGGCCTTGCAGGAAGACGCTGCTGATCCCCAGAGCTCTGCGCGAGACCCGGGTGCCCAGGCTGCTCACGCCTCCCGTTGGGACAACGCCCACATAGACCCCGGACGGCCTGGTCAGGCCTCCGCCTCCGCCAATGCTCACCCTGCGGCTTGTGGCCCCCGAGCTCTCCGCGGTGGATGTGGAGGGCTGCTGCCCCAGGAAGGACGCCCTGTGCCTCGGCAAGGGCATGCTGCGCCGAACTCAGGGGCCTCTCCCCTCCCTGGCCCTCTGCTGCTGCACACACTGCCCGAGATCTGCAGAACCAAGCAGATTTGGGCAGCAGGGGGGTCATTATCTGTGCTCTGTCCCAAGAGCTTCTGGGACATTTCTCATTGTCTTTGGCCACACACCCCGGCTGTGTTTGTTAGGGCAATTGTTCAGGCCTTTTCCACTCGGTCAGCAGTCTGTTTCATGAGAAATCTCTCTGCTTGCAAGAGCAGCACATGGACAAGACAATGCACTTTTGGGCCATAATAGTGGGGGTGGGGAGAAGAAGAAACTCCTTTATATTTTTAAGCACTGGCATTCTCTAGACTTCCGTCTGCAGAGTTTACATGTACCAGCAACTCATTGAGATCCCCTTCCATCGGGAGGAGCTCTGTTTATTGGAGTAAAAGGGCTTGTGTCTTTTCATCTGAACTCGAGTTAAAAACCTCCTAGCTTTTGATGCATGAATGAATGCATTTAAAAGAAAGAGTTGAAACGGGAAACAAACTGGATTGTGAACAGAAACTGGTGCTCATCTCTTTTGCGTGCATATAAATGCCATGTTGTTTGAGCTATGGAAAGGCTCTGGAAGCACTCTTCAAACAAGCAGCTTTCCCGTTGTAGGACAGAAGCTGGGATTCAGTGCATTTGCAGCTCACGCTGCACAGTATTGGCTGGTTAGTACCATGATGCCATGAAACACCTTTCATCCTTGTCCCAGAAATTTAAACTCCTTTTAAATTTAAAAAGCAAGAACGTGCTGATGGATGAACATGTGCATACGTAAATATACATCTGTTGGTTTGCTTATTTTTTTTAATAAACCTGATAATCCAGCACAAGCATGCTGGGAGAGAGGGACCAATGACTGAACCAGCATTTGATTCCTGATCTCTTGGGTTGGGAGCAGAGATTGCTTTCCTTCAGGGGACCCCACTGCCCAGTTTTTGCTGATTGCCTTCCCTGACACACTGCAGCTCACCCCATTGTGGGTCCAGCTTCTGTAAAGAATTGGCTGGAATGGCTGCTGTGGTATGGAAGGGGCAGGAAAGTCACCTCCACAAGCAGAGTCAGTTTAAATCTGGTTCCCAGCTGTCACTTACTTTGAGAAGGCGGGAGGAAGCTGAGCTTACCCTTGGAAGAGAAGTCTGCATTCTTTGAATATCTAGAGAAGCCCCAGAAACAATAATGGAATTTAGCTAGAAAAACATCTGCTAACCCACATCACCATATAAGGTACCCAAAATATGCTTTAGTAAGGCTGCAATCCTGGACACACTTACCTGACCCCAGTGGAATTTACTTTTGAGTAGACCCATATAGGATTGCACTGTAAATGCATGTCTGGCTTTTCCATATTTCACCACAGGCATGGGGCACAAGATTTTTCTTTATGAAAGCTTGATTATTCAGCATTGTGTAAATGGGGCAAGATCTTCCATCTGCATATTTTGAGACCTCACAAACAGCTGTGTTCCAAGCCTCACTGGCCAGAAATGGAGTGAAGTAATCTCACATGAGTGAAACTTGTAAAAATTTACGATCTGGAAGGGGAGGCATGCTAGCAAGCCAGGAAGAGGTGGGGGGAAATCATGTGTTTTTTTAACTTGGCAAATTAACCCTGTAAAAGAAATCTCGACACTTCCATTGTGATAATTGCTGCCATCTTGGTTGCAGAGAACCAGAAAGAAAAAACAAGGGAAAACCGTCCAATCTTTTTTAAGGGGTCTCATATCTTATTATAGGATTCTATCTCCCTCTTTTGGCCTCATTGCTCTGAGGTTCTGGTGTGACACCCAGCATGTGGACTGCTTATTTCCACTAGAGAGAGATATGGGAAATATTCCCATCACCACTTGCTTCCTAACTCAGTTCACCCACAGAGAAACACTGAGCTTTTGTAGAGAAGGTGACACGTGATTGTTGGATTCAGCTCAGAGATCAAAAGTGGGCTCCATGTGTAGGAAATGCAGTACCATCTCCCAGCCTCCATTCCTCTTCTGTAAAATGGGCATGATAATATCCTCTTGCTAAATCAGCCTTCTCCAATTTGGTGGTGTTCACTTATTTGGGGCTGTGATTCTTACCTGCTTCTGCTGTCGTGGTCAGGAATGCTGGGAGTCAGGGCTGCCCTAGGATTTTTGCTGCTTAAGGCCAAGAACAAGACAGGGCTCACTCCTGTTGCATGTAAAGACTTTAGTTACTCTGCTTTCAACAAATGGAACAACATCCTCCACTGCACATGAAGGTGATAGGTTTAGGGGTGGAGAGCAAGACTGATGGCGCACAGGTCTCTTCCTGTTGCTTAGGTGGGTGCTTCACTGAATCTAATGGTAGGAGCAGCCCTGCTGAGAGTTGTAGTCTGGAGGACACAAGGATGGACTAAGGCTAAACACACCAAAGCTATTTTATGTGCCAGTAACATATTTGCAGACAGAAAATGATGAATAATCATACATTTCATTGTCTTAGCTCTCAAACAATGCAGGCTGTTTAAAAAAAAAAGTGCCTTGGTGATGTTAAGGATGGCCAAATAGGAAGGATCCATGATCCAAGGCATCCACGGACCCCAGCAAACATGGAAACTTTGGCTTGTTGCTCATAGCAATGCTAAGATTCAAAGGAGACCTAATGAAAAAAGGACTGAATAAAAAGAGGGCAAATCAGACTTAGAAAATCATTGGGAAGGCTAGTGTATTGTATGGGCTCTTCCAGAGGAATACCCTGAAGGTTAATAAGGCTGAACAGGTAGTGTAATGAACATTCTCAGTGTTCAAAGCCAGGATAGTTTCATGAAGTCATTCCAAAGCATCATGGCCTTCAGCTTTTTAGGAAGAGCACCGGTGATAATTGCCTTGAAGCTGCCTTCCCAATAATTCTGTAGATAAGAGCTGCTTTTCCAGTAAGAATGAGACTGTTGCCATACTAAAGCAGCATTATTCCTTCCCTGTCTTCAAGGAAGGAGGTGGGGTTAGAGCCTGTGCATACTGACAGCTTCTGAAACTTCATAAGAGAAGAACTACAAAATCCATGACCGGAGGTGCCTCTGTTTCTCTGCCTAGGGTGAGGAATTGATGCTTGGCTCACCCAAAGAACTTTGTAGGCCCATGGCCCTGTCCTGGCCTACTGAGGAAACCAAGATGGCCACAGATGAGGGGAGTGTGAGCCTTCTTTTGTTCATTCATATTCTGCACCTATATGTCATCACAGTGTTCAATAAACTCTATACCACCTTTGACACTGGCGGTATCATTTCTTCTGAGGGAACCTCAAATCTAGAGTGAGGGGCCTTGGCAGGAACAGGCCCCTGGGCTTAAAGCAGCATCATATTCCTGTCAGCCCTGGCTCACAAACCAGACTGCCCCATATATCCTCTGAGCCTGGCTGCCTATATTTGCACTTATGATAGATGCGGATTCTTGCTTGGTTTGTTGGCCAATCCCTTAATGCTCAGAGAATGCTCTGTCAGCGGGCAGTTTAGTCATAGCACATTGTGTTAGGAGAAGAGGGACAGCTGTCTTTTTTGTTCCATGGCTCAACCCCAATGAATGATAGGCTGTGCCCCAGTATATCAATGCAGTCGGAGGCTCCCTGCATCGGCCTGAGCTTCTGAAAGGGGCTTGTGAAAGGGAGGGGAGATGTGAACAAAATGATTTAAAAAAAGAAACCTGTCACAGTTGCACACAAAGTACACATGATAAGCATTTAGTAAAGGTGACGAGAAATGGCTTCATCAGGCTTTTTCATTTTTGCTTAGAAATAGCTTTTATTTTATAAAGCTTAAGTTTGGTCTGTAAAGTTTTTAATCACACTTATAAAAAAGAGGTTGATAATTCTTGGGGAGGGGAAAGCTGAAAATGTTTCTCATAGTTCAGGGTTACACAAATGTTATATTTATAATATATATATTTATATATTTATAGTTTGGAAACCATAAAGGTGGGACTGCAAGTACCAGAGCAGGAGGGAAGGGCTCATATTTCAGACACTTGTTCACGTCCTACAAATAGGGTTTCTTGACAGAAGGGGTTCACAAGGACCATGCCGGTGTCTCTGTAATCACCATTGGCTGGGGAGCGAGGCTCAGACAGATGGTCCTGGAAAAAGTGGAGAGAGAAAGACCAAGCTGCTGAAATTTCATCAGACATAGGCTGTCAGAACGATGGTGTGTATATATGCAGTGGGCATACAGCAGAGAGCATCAAGCTGTATTCAATAAAGTGGTTATGCAGCTGAAATGGTGTGTATAGGCCAGGCGAGTAGGTTGTGTGGGCAGACTTTAGATTTGCAGGATCTAGTGTTTTGATCTTTTGCTTGGTGCTAAAGAAATACACTTAAAGAATTCTGAGGCCAAGGATTTGTTCTGAGTACCAGAACTGGCACTCACAGTCCATCCACACAAACATCCAGGCTGGGTACTCTAGCTTTCTTCATTTCAGCAGCATAATTGGTGCAAGGGGCCATTTTGTTGTTCTTAATGTAAAACCTTTAGGAGCCAGACATTTATGCCAAGAGACTGCAGATTGCCCAACCAGTAGATCTCATTTTCAGCCCACCTCTGCTGTAGGCCACTAAGCTCCCCATATCTGCAAGATCTGCTCCTTTCAGTGGTGCTTTGTGGATTTTGTCTAATATGAGAGAAGAAGCTCTTAATACCAGACTTCTCAATTAGCACAAAGAATGCAGCTTCAGAAGGGAAAGAGAAGTGAATTTGGAGTCTTTCCCACTCACATTTGGAAACTTGAACAACTGTAAGTTTGCCTTGTGAAATTTGTCATCACGTTTTCTTTAAGTGACATTAAAAAAAATAAACATTCATCACATTTAGCAAAATTCCACCTTATGCATGCTGGCAGGTATTTGTGAGGACCACATGTTTGGCCATTTTGACTGTAGTAGAGAAATCAGCAATGGCGTATCATGAAGGCACTGGTGAACTTTACTTGGGCATGGTGATGCAGGCTTGTCCCCCCTCTAAATACTAAGGAAAGAACAAAACCCACCTTGGCGGCAGTCTGGATTCTTTCTTCTGTGTGGGGACAGGGTTAGGAAGACAGGACCCTGCCTTACAGTTAGACCTGTGGTCCAACTAATTTAGTATTGCTGACATGGGTTGGAGGAAACTGTGCAGGTTTCAGGGCAGAAATATTTTTGCCTGTAAAGCTCCTGCATCCAGCACTTTATGCAACTACTAAAAGCTGTGGCTGCTCGCAACAAGCAGTTCTTCTCCTTACCTCCAAGGAGAGCTATGTCCATAGGGGAACCATCCAGGTCAGTTTAAGAGCAACCCATATAGCTCACTTTCTTTTGCCTATATTCCTTCTCGAGATGAAAAGTTACAGGGCAATGTAAAATGACTCATGACATTTTTAATGTAAGGTAAATTAAGTTAAAGTGGACCACAATGAATAGTTGGATCTAGATTTCGATCCTTGGAGTAGACTGTCTGAAATCAATGACTTAAGTGGGTGATGACTTACTGGTTCCATGGATTTAAATGGGTCTGCCATAAGCAAACGAAATCTGGCTCCAACCCCAGGACTGCTCCATTTCTTTCTCTTACTGTTTTTGTCTCAGACCAAAGAAGAGAGAGTATTGTAAATCTTAGCTTTGCTTTTGTGCAAATAAACCTTTACTGGCAGCATATTTATGCCAGCAAATATAAATTTGCAGGGTTCCTACTGATGATTCTTTAGAGCTCCCTTCCCCGTTCATATGTGTTGAACTACAACTCCTAGCATTCCTCTATGCTGGGAACTGTAGTCCAACACATCTGGAGGTCCTCGGGGTTAGGAAGGCTGCCTTAGGAATATGGCTCCTTTGAATGTTTGCTAAGTATGCAGAATACTTTACATGCTTCATCCATGATACCAATAGGGTGATGGAAAAAACCTGTGACTGCTGAAGATTTGTCCTGCTGGAATGTCATGGAAAGTATATGAATATTCTAGGTGCTGTTATATGACTCTCTCAAGAAGAGAGTGTTCACAATTGGTCCAGCTTCTGTTGAGAAAGTGCAAGATCAGTTTGGTGAAACTATCTCTAGTGCAGGTGTTGGGAACATGTGGTCCTCCAGCTGTTATTGGACTGCATCTTACATCAGGCCTAGCTAGCAAAATGTAAGGGGTCATGGGAATTACAGTCTTACAACATCTGGAGGGCTACTTTTCCCCGGCCCCACTCTGCTGGGATACATAAGGACACTACTAGGAGGCAAGAGGCAAACTAAAGGGCATGTGAGTGGATAAAGCAAAAAACAAAGAACAGTTGACCTGAGAAACAGAAACTGAGGTAGGTGGAAAAAATGGAGTCCCAAAGAATAGAACAGAGAAGGGATGGAAAAGAAGGTCATATAGCACTGGGCAAAAGATCTCGCAGAACAGATTATTTGCAGGAAGTGATGGTGAGCCAGTGTGGGGAAGCGGAAATGATGGAGAGGTAGGTGGGTAAGTCAGAATGGCTAAAGTGATTGGTACAGAGTGGTCAGGAGACTGAAAAGCAGAAAGCTGAGGATCAGACAGATGGTGGAGGTAGAAGAAAGGTGGAGGAGAAAGTGGGGCACAGTGAGGACTAGTGGTCCCCATGTCAATTGGGCAGTGCAGGTGGCAGTATGAAGGAGCTATCCATGATATGAAACCTAGTTTAGGGATAGGCTTCAGCACCAAGGATAGCTGCTTGAAAGTTTGAACCAAGCCCCAGAATGGATACACCACTCCAATGACATGGGAGCCACTTGCCTTCCCTGGGTGGGGTATGACCTCATCTCGGGCCTCAGAGAAGTCTCTATGCTGGTAGCTGGAGGGACATGCATGGGCCAGGGAACTGTCGAGGCCGAGTTATTAAGAGTCAGAAAGTTATAGTATAAGATCTGAGAAGACTGATGTGCCTTCAAAATTGAGCAGAAGGGAAAATGCTGCCAGTGATCATTTCCCCCAGTGCCATAGCACTGTGGCTGGCAACCCATTGGCCAAGAAGAAGCTGAAATCTGGCTACTGATTTGAACTAATCGTACCTCTGATGTTTCAAGAGACTGGATCTCCCTTGGTAATTCCACAGCATGTCTGTTGAAGTAGTCCATGGTGATAGCATTGTTCCAGTAGCTCAGGTTGTTTTCTGGGTTGGATGTTTTCTTCTTTCTCCGCATGCAGCAGACAGTTAGCAGGACAGCTGTTGACACAAGCATGTTGAGAATGGTCTTGTGCACCAAAGAGAAATCAAGCAGTGGCATGGCGGCCCTGCAGGCACGTGGTTGCTCCAGTCCCCCTGTGTTGTGTCATATGACAGCATGGTGAGAAGAGAAGCATCCTGCCTTGACACATGAGCTGGAACTGTTAGGCCCTTTCAAGTCTGTGTATAATTCACCTTACAAAATGACTATGTTGATGACTGCATTTTCATACCTGTATTGTTTATACCCTTAAAAGTCATGTCATAATCTGTTTATGCCATTCCCAAAGCAACCAACTAAAGGTAATGACTGTACTGAAGCCCACAGCTAACCATACTGAGGAACTGTCTCAGAACCTCTGCCTGATCAGACTCCGCAGCTACAAATCTGGTCTGTAAGCTGTGGGCTTTTAGCTTCTGCCATTTTCACTTCAACTTTCCTTCCTCACACATGTGCATTTGTGATAAGGATATAAGCCATGAAGCAAATCCATGGTTTATTGCTGGGTTATGAACTGTCAGTTGTTCACTATAGTTTGTTATCACAGTTGGGTTCAGACAGCACAAGAACCCACATTTCAACAATGATCCACTCTTCACCAGTCAACATGGGTTATCCACTACTGCACAGTGAATACTATTCTCATGCCCTAGTATTTCTAGGAAATATGCTCAGGAGGGCCTTATAACCAGGTAAACAAAGATTCTATCCATATAAAAGTAGTTTCGAGAGTGGGCTGGTCTCTTGCTCTCTGCAGGTTGTGCAGTGGGCATCCTCATCAGGTTCTGAAGTGGAGGAGGAGGGGCAGGAATGGGGAAGGGCTGAACCCTTGGAAGCTCCTTCAAGGTTGCTTAGGGAAGTTTCTCACACTGAGCCTGAGTCAATCTGCTTTGGAAGAGATGGAAGGGTTTTTGGGAGTGGGGGAAGAATATTCAAGACCCAGTCCTTGACCCTGTAAGGAGGCACCAGGAGAGATGAGCTGCTCAGCTGGAGGGGTTCCATTGTTCTCATGAACAGCAGGGAGAGCCTGCTGAGGAGGGAGCCTGCAGCCTTACTGAAAGGGAGGGAATGAGGAGAAGTTTCCAGGTTAGATTCAACTTTTTACTTAAGCAGAGGCTTCCCCTTCCAGCTTTTTAGAAGGCTCTTTAGAGCTTAAACTGTTCTGTTAACTATGGGATTTCAATAACATGAACTTCATTTCAAAGGATTGTCTTGAGATTCGGAACCTGAGGGAGGGAGGGCAGGGGCCAGTTCACACCAGTTAGATGCACGTAACAGTTGGCCAGTTAGGTAGCGGTGGCATCAGCATCACCTAATAAAAAGTAACTATGTGAGGTGGTAAATTTCAAGTTAAGGAAAGGGAGGGGGAAAGGGCAGTGTAACCCTTTCCTGCCAGCTATTTTTATGCTCAAACCCTATCCTTTGCTGCTTTTCCAGATTGCTTAATATGTGTCATTCCCTTCCTGGTGGAAAAAGCAGCTGGGAAGTGGGAGAGGATTTTGCATGGGAAATGTGCAAAGTTCCCTCCCTGGTCATACCTCCATGGCTATTCTCCAGATAACACAGTGCTGCAGGGGGTAGTCTTGGACTGGTATTGCCAGTCCCAGCATACTGCCTTCTTAACATGAAATGGAGAGGGGGAGAGAGAGAGGGAGAGAGAGAGGGAGGGAGACCACTAGCACAGTCATATCTGTTTTGATTTGGATCAGGCAAATGCCTTATTACCATGGAAAAAGCTTTAGAATCTGGGCAATTTCATCTAAGTCACTCATGACTGCTTTGCAAGGCATATTCTTCTGTATTGCCTAGCTGAGGAAATTCAAACACAGAGGAAGATTGTGTTCAGCTGGGTAGGATTAACTTTCTGCCCAGTTCCCATACTGTTTTATTAGCAGATGCAGAAGGCTTGTTTGCGCACAGAGTTTAGCCACTATGGGTTTATGTGCCCACACAGAGCCCCCATTTTGAATAGGCAAGTGATGGCAGCACACTGGTTATCTCAAGCCAGGTCCATAACCCTCAAATCACCCACATCTTGTTTTGCGTTCATCTGTGGATTGTTTACCCCTTAGACGATCCACAACATTAGGTCTGCATGACACAGGAAACCACAAGATACCAATTGGAAGGGTACCTGCAATTGTCCTGCATGCTGTGACATGGCAACCCCCACAGCTAAATTAAGCTATGGTAGGTGTTGTGTGAAACTGGTCACTGTCATTGTTGGAGGGTGTCTTGCAGGTCATGGAGGTCAATGTCTTGCTTGATGGAAGAAATCTAGGGGGTAGAGCATCCCCCATAGATGCTGCCCAAACTCTGCTTGAAAATCTCCAGCAAGGGAGAACATTTCACAAGTTATACTGATGGGAGTGGGCTTCCCTTCCTCCTTCTTGCTACAGCATCCCCTCACCCCCCCCCCCCAAATACCACCCAGAGTGACAGGAGACCCTGTGGAATGGGATTGGCTGTGCTGTGGAAGAGAGAAGATCCCCCAAAAATTGGATGGATCAGTTCCTCATCCTGGATCCAGTCCATGTTGATCGTAACGTTCAATCAAGCTTCGGCTACTGGGTGGTATAGAAATTAAATAAACAAGCAAACACTGTTTTTCTGCAACTTAAGCCCATTAGATCTAGCTCTCCCCTCTGGAAGTCTTCGTGCTCTCATATGTGACAGCCATTCTGGTATTTGTAACTCACTGTCATATTGATTTGTCATAACAAATAATTCAGGGAAAACCATAAAGAGAACTCCCCGTTTCTTGGCAAATAGCAAAATTAATAATAATTACCCTCAGTTCTGCTTGTTCTGATTCTTTCAGGTATTTGAAGAGTGCCAGCCTCCCTTCTTCTCCCCATTTTAGGACATTCCCATCTCATGTCTCTGCCCCACTAGGGAGGTACAAGAGATCAGTTTACACTGGGCTCTGTGGCCACCTCCTGCCTCATGTAGTCTCATGTCCGATCTCCCATTTTGGAAAGAGCAGCCTAAGAACGCCACATGGTTCTGGCTTCTCTGTGTGTCTTGTGATGGGCAACTAGAATACTGCAAAGCTAAAAGCCAGCTCTCCTAAACTTGGTGTTCTTGAGACAACTTGGATTGCATCTCCTATAGTCCCAGCATGGCCCAGTTTGACTGGGAATGATGTGAATTTCAGTCCAACATGCCTGGAGAGCACCAGCATGAGGAAGACTGTTCTAACCACTCTACCCCTCCAGCTTCCCCAAAGAGAAAGGATGTAGAAGAAATCTGCTATGAGCATCTTGCTTTAAGTGTGGTTTGAGGATGGTGATGACTAAATTTATGAGTCCTTGTTCAGCCTAAATAGAAACTCCAAGGCAACTTGCAGTTTAAACTTTAAATTTTAAAAAATCCCTTGTATATCTGTATCTAAATCTACTATATCTATATCTATCTATATCATCTGTCTATGCCTAGAAAAAAAACCCTCTGTTCTTGATACAATGGGGTTGAACCTAGCATTGCCACAACACTGAGGCTGATAGCTGCACAAGGCAGCCTAATTTGGCCCTGCAAGATGCAGATTTTAATGTTCTTTTGCTCTTTGGGAAATGTGGATAAAATGCTTAATCTAAATGATAAATCAGATTTCTGAATGAAAGGTGCTGTCCACTGAATGGAAAGAATACTAGTAGGTGAGACAAGCTTGGAATATTTGGACAAATACTAGCATCATAAATTAACAGTTTCCACCTCAGCACAATGACTGAGAACATTATCAATACACAAAGATCAGAGCTGCCTGTGAAGGAACAGGGGACATTGCTATGATGAGATGGTTAATCAGATGGCTTCATCTGCTCTTCCTTTATTCCAAGGAAGACCCGTGGTATGATACATCACTTCATTGAATAAATAGAAAGACTGTTATTACCACTGTCAGTTTCAAAACTTCAGGCTGTCGTGATGCTGACTAGAATGTTCAGGAACAATCCTTCCTTCGGTGTATCCACCTTCATTCATTTTACTCCTACTGTACAAATTATTTAACGCCTAAGCAACAGAAGGGGAGATAAGCAGTCCCTGAGAAGCCACAAAAAGTGCTTTGTGTATGAGTGCCTACTTAATTGAAGAGGGGATCCCCTAGGTACCTCTCTCTTTTTGGGCTTGAATGTGTGGTTTTCTTGAAACTGAATCCACAGGCTTTGTATTTACAGGAAGGGATTCTTAGGAAATATTAGTTACATCCCCATTCTTGGATCCCTCTTGGGTTATCAAGTGCTGACTAGGGTGCTGGTATCATCTTCTAGCCCCTTAAGAATTTCTTGTACCCCGAGTTTAGCTTCAGCCCTCACAGTCCACAATTATCCTCACAGTTGCTGGGTGGGGAGGGCAGAAGAATGTTCCAGGTAACAGTCTCTTCTTCTCAGTTGTGCCCAAAATGTTTGGGAGGGCTTGGTAGTGAATGGGCAATGGTGTGATCAGCACAGCTGCTGGAATATTTGGGCACTTTTTGAGGAGTGTGGCTATGAGAATGCCATACAGAGTGCCCATACATCAAAATTAGCCACTTCAGCACTGGTGCTGGCAGTAAATCCTGAACTATAGTTGCCTCTAGAAGTGTTAAAGATACAGAGCTTTTCTAGATGAGACATTTATGGGCACTTACGATTCCTTGTGCATGGTTCTAGGTGGATGTTTTAGACTTTGTTGTGATCCTCCAGTTTTGCTTCTCTTTTCTCAGAGTGCTTTTCCAGTCCTTTATTTTAGAACTGGGAAAATTGTACTTTTTTCCCCTGGTGCATTTGCACTATTCCACAATTGTATAGCTCCACCTAGAGGTTTGTAGTGGAAAGGCAAAAAATGAAGAATTCTGTGTAGATCTCAGATTTCAAGGCTAGGATGAAACCAAAAGCTCACAAGAAAGCTTATAGGGTTGAAGTCAGACTGAAGTCAGTTGCACTTCAGTCCTATGGAGGTCAATAGGTGTTAGCTCTGACTTTAAGTCCCACTGATTTCAACTGGAACTAAGTGCAGGTAAGCTTGGACCTAACATGTTGTTTCTTCTGCAGTCACCTATCCCAAGATTAAATAGTTTGAGGAAACGTTTTTTGCTCACTGTTTAATCACTCAT